ATATATACAGATGAAAATCTTGGTATTTACATCATTAAACATAGTAGATAACTTTGAGGCATAATGGTGGATATCTATAAGTTTATAGATGTGGATATCGCAGATTATGATAACCCGTTGAGATCCACTGTCCCAACAAACCGTCCATAGTCTATATAAAGCATTAACAGATCTATTGAACAGTTTAACACTTTGACTCATTACACACGACCACAGTATCTGTATCGAAAATCGACATGATGCTCGGAGACAGCTGGCTCCCAGTTATTCTATGTGTGCTCGTCCTCGCATACAAAAATCTCCCCTTTGTATGGCATGTCAGTATCCCAGAACCCTCATGTCTATTTTACTACTCCTCTTTTTCTTTCTTGTCTTCTTGAATATATATATGAATACTAAAAAAAAACAGATCCGCTTCCTCCGCACCCTCATAACCCGACTCTTCCTCTCCCCAACCGCCAACCTCCCCCTGCACCCAACCCACCTCTTCCTGCCCGCAATCCACCGCACCCGTTCCCCCGCCACAGAATGTGACTACACCTAACACAAGTCCAACTCGACGTTACTTCACCGACCTGGACATCTCGCGCGGCAGCCTCAGCCTCGTCCTCCTTCAGCGGTGTCTGTCATTCATGCCGTCGGAGGCGAAAACCACACCGCGGCGATGATCCTCAGCGTGTGCAGTGCATTTTTAGGAGGGAGATCAAGCCTTATCAGGGGTATGAGGTGTGACGCGTGTGATGGCGTGGGATGAGAAGTGGTTGTATTTGGTGTCGCATTTTGTGGAGAGGGGGGCGAGTGGGCCGCGGGAGTATGTGCTTCAGGGGGGGAAGAAGAATGTGACGGCGGAGGGTTTGGAAAGGAAGAAGGATAAGGGAGGCAGAAGAAGGTGTTTGCGTCTTCTGTGTCGAGATATGTCTTTAAGCAGGGGCGAAAGACGGTGGCGCCGGAGGCGGTCCTCCTGCAGTGTTGGGCTGTTGCCTGACGGGAGGACGCATCGTGGGAAGTGATTGAAGAGAGGAGGAAGCGGGATGTGGAGCGGCGCAGCTGAAGGAGGGTGGGATGCGGTGCATGGAGCGTTTGAAGAGGTGGATGTTGCGTTGGGCAGGTATACGGATTTGATGTGGAGGTGATGGACTACTGCTTTTGCACTGTGCGTATAGAAGAGTATACCAGGGTCATAGTGTTTTTTGGCTTGTATACTATATTCATTAGACATATGGCGTCATTCACAGGGTTGAGTGATGATCTTGGACACCTCAGGGATGATATATGAATATCAAACTGGTAGCATTTATATTTTGGGTGTCAACGCTGGAAGGCGATCGGCAGGGCGTCTCAGGGACGGGTCGCCGCACCAAAAACAACATCCGCGAGCTCCTAGTAATACGTAGAGGTTGCAAGCCATGCTTAGTTTCGTACATAGGCCTGTACGACTAGGCGTGCTGGTGCTGGTGCTGGTGCTGGCGCTGGCGCTGGCGCTGGTGTTGGGGATTGTGCTTAAACATGTACAAATCGAAAGTTATACTCACTTTTATTCAGAAAGATGAGTGGAAATTCTTCCACTTCATCCTCATCCAAACTAATCAGATTACCCACCGCCCCTTCGTCTGGGTCCAAATTGATTGGCATATCAGGCCTCCCGCCACCTGATTCTAACCCCCCAAACTAGGCGTAGCTGCTGGAAGACCTCTTTCCCCACTCGCCGCCATAGCTCGTCTCGTACGGAGCACTGACTGACTCTGTCAGGCCATTTGTAGTTGGCACATGCTCCGCCGAATGCGTCTGGTAAAATGCAGCATTCAGAGCCCAGCACTCCGCCTGGGCAGCGGCGTTCCCACCTAACACATAGTAGTCTTGATAGACGGGAATGTATAAGACACCATTGGCAGAGATTCAAACTGACGGATGCTCTGGTACTCGTTAGAGGTCAGGTCAAAGTCATTCACATTATTGAGCAGGCAGTTATCTGCATTGAGTATTTTCTATAAGCACTGCAAGCCCCGCAGAGGGAGCTTTTACCTACCCGACACAACCATGGCGCCCCTGCTGGCACTAGTGACAGTTCAACCTTCCCGGAAGAGTCTGGCACTCGACACCAGCCACCCCGCTGTCAGCGACCCTAACGCACCTGAGTCATGCAGTGGGGACAGGGCTCGATGTCGGACGAAGACTCCCCCGAGGAAGACTCCGAATCGTCTTCGTCGGAGGTCCCGGGGGCCTCGGCCTTGGAATACGCCGTATGGATGTTGTCTGCCTACTTGGAGAGACAGATGGGATTGTTATATCCTCTGGGATAGTCATAATGAGCTCCTGGGCCGGTGAAACCTGGGTGTGATGGAGGCGGACTACCAGCTCCAGGGGGGCTCTGGGAGGCGATGATGGTGCACTCTCCTTGTAGTGCTTGCACTCTCTGTGAGGGCAAGCCTCGTCCTTCTCCATTGCTTCGTGGCAATCATCGTGGCCACACCGATGCACTGGTAGGCACTCTGGTCAGCTGTATTCATACCCTTGTGTCAGTCTATATAATTGAAGGATGATATGTAGGAACATGACTTACGACCAGTTTATGGCGCGGTTTAAAAGCAGTGACAGCGCGTCAAGAAGGATCCAGAACAATCTGAAGATCCACATCAAGATGAGGAGCTGGGCCAGGTTGAAGAGGCTGGTGGACTGGATGGCACTTTTCACCTCATCGTGCAATTGGGAACGTTCGCTTTGGCGTTGGGGTTGAAGGCGAAGGTCGAGGTAGCCATGTTCCTTTCAAGGCAGACTTCATTAGCAAGGATCCAGTATATTGTCATATTCCTAGAATTGCCCTTCCAGTTTTGTTTTGTGGCTAGAAGATTTTGATTTGTAAAATGTTGGGATCTCAGCTATATCAAGCCCGACCAGATACCGATCCAACAATTTGGTGTAGTCAATTTGGTGTAGTGGTTGAGATAGAAAGACCAGGAGAGATTGTCAAGATAGGAAGCTACGATCGACACGATGGATATTGCATATATAAGGAACTCATACTATAGGGCCTAAGCCTCCCAGGCTGCACTAAGGACTCTAATAAACTCATTCACTTGGGCTATTGTGGTCACATTCAAAACAGTATGATAATCAGCGAGTGTCCTTTTGGGACAATGAATAGACAACTCTAGAACAATGAAGTCAAGATTCAATTCACTTCTAGACAATAGCGTAATATGTCACTAAGTAGCCTATGTGGATTTTCAACCAGATAATCAGTTTGTTTATACGATTGAGTGACTACAAGGAAACTGCCATGATGTTGAGGATTATATTCAACTTGGTCCATTATAGTTTGGCACCTTCCTAGACACACATCAGAATGACCGCATAGAGAAGTTCAATTATCACCATTGACAAATCCACGCTCCCATCTTCTCAACCAGACCATTCTTCTTCACATAACATCAACGCTCCGTCTTTATTGAAATGGATCCCCTTATCACTCAGCTCGTTGTGATCGGGTGTCTACTTCCCGTGGCTATCTTCCATCAAACCACATATCGCTTGCTACAACATGACAACCTGCCTCTGTTCTTCCTTCAGATAATCTTGCTCTACGTCGTCTATTTCTTGGCCAGCTGGAGCGGAATCAACATATCCTACGCCCTCGAAACCTTCTGTTACAGGATCGGTTGCCGCCAAATCGGAAACGCCATCCTGTCCCTGGCCAAAGCGCTCACTTCGAACAGCGACAAGGAGGAACAAATCAAATTCAACACCCAGTGGCACAGACACATAACAGGCACGATGGCAACCAAGCAGTACGGGCTGCGCCTTCTCGAGCGCAAGGCCGACATCGAAGCCCGCATTGACGCACACGGCCCGAGCAGCAAGAAGGTCCAGGAGACCATTCAAGAGCTTGAAGCGAGCTTGGACGACGTGCTACCTGCGCTGTGGATATTGGCACAGGAAGCCGATCAGTTCACGGTCGTTGTGGCAGCAAATCCTTACTTCGGGCATACGGCCCATGTCAACAGGGAGTACAATTCGAAGGACGCGAAAGTCAACCGAAACTTGCCGACACTGAAAGATTTTGGACCCTGGGTGAGGGCATTTTACTACGAGTTGCAGCGGGATACGGAGGATCACGACCGCGAGGAGTGTGCGCGACGGATGGGATGCTGCGCTCGCGATTGCGGCTGTTGTCAGGAGGTCCGGCGAGCGGCGAAACGGAGGGATGATGCGTATGATTCTACGAGGGAGATCTTGACTCATAAGGGTCACTGTACTGTTGACTGTGGCTGTTGCGTCCGCTGGAGAGGGTTCACCAAGCCGGTTGGGTCTGGTGGTTCAGCGTTGAAGGAGCGTCTAATAAAGAATGTCGACTAGTTCTTAAGTTGACAGGAGTACTTGTTCCTACTTGACGTCTTTAATACCAAGACGTTTGCTCGATTTATTCTAATCGAGACTCTACGTATCACGGTGGTACTTCAGGGGTAAATACATCAGCTATTCAGACATAAGATATGAGACTGTGCTTTAGTGTACCTCAAACCATATAGATTCTAGGTCCACGAACCAATGAGTATACAAATATTTACATTTTGCCTCCATGGTACTGATTTCCAGATAATGACCTCTATCTAGTTATACCACAAGAACATACACACCACTCCCACGGACGTTTGATGGGTCTGGCCTAGGAGCTCGTTTCAAGCCTAGGAATCTTAACTAATTTCCTTGTACGGCTATATTCACTGTATGGGATTTAGAGTCTGTTCATTAAATAAATTCACTATAATCTTTGTAGACAGGATTAATGAATATACTGTCGGGTTCTTTATACTTCTAGATAGATCACCCATAATTAGGGGTTTATCACGCATCTTAATAACATACACTATTTTGATACATGAAACAATGATTATTCAAACATTTACATTGTGTCTATCATAATGACTGACAATAAGGTTGTTATCATGATCTGACAAGTGGGTCATCTCCACAGCCGAGGGATTACATTATCGGATAGAATCATCTCGCCTCGCCGAGGACTCGCCAATTTTCACCCCATCGTATCTCGATTCCACCCAACATTGATCAACAGAATTCAACCTCGAGGCATGGTGGATCCCACTCCACACCTCCGGCAGCTTCTCGCTGCGCGAGATTTCGCCCCAGACGATCAAAATGCGCCAGCCCCGGCGCATCCAGATCTGACGCCACCAGCCGATCGTATTCATTCCTCGGTCCAGGACTCAGACACTGAGCCTTCAACCACCACGGTCTGCACATCGATACCGCCAACAATGCCAATGATACCGTCCTCCCAGGGCCGTATGCCCCGGAGCAGTGGTCGTCCGCGATCTGGCCCAGATAGCGCCACCGTCTTATCGGAAGTAGGTATCGTCTGTGACGCAATGGAGACAGGATCTAACAGACCCAGGAACGACGAAGTCAGATCCGACGCGCGCAAAAGACATACCGTTTGAAAAAGGCGGCCAGTTTACAGGAAACGCAACAGCGAGTCGCACTCTTGGAAACGAAACTGCAGAGTATCTCCGACTCGCTATCAGACTATAGAGCCGCGCTGGTGTCTGAGCTGCAGGACAGCCATCCACTAGTTACCGGCTTCGATAATATCTTTGATATTGCTGGTTGCGATCGCGACCAAACGGGGACGACATCCCAAGCGCCAACAGACAATGTCGAAGCAACGCGATCATACGACTCCAATCCTCCGAACACCCCCTTCGGCTACCACAACGACAGCCCCTTCACCACCACAATAGAAACACCCACTACACCTCTCCGACAGCAACCATCGCCTACAATAACCCCTCGCCCAGCACAAAAAACCACTCACACGCCTTCCGCGAGTGCTCCCTCTCCCGCCAGCTCCAGCGCTACAGCCTTGAATACGCCTTCCGCCTCTTCACCAACACCCACTCGCCCCCCGTGGAAATCTACCGCGTCTTCCGCCTCGTCCCGTGCCTCCGCAACCGCTCCAAAATGTACCCCTACTTCCGACGGCTCGTCTGCGCCGACACCGACAACCCACTCGAAGTACCCACCCTACCGTTCTACTGCATCGGCGGCGCCGGCACGCACTACCCCGCGCGCGACACCGCCGGTAACCCCATCTACCCGCCCAAGATGCGCCTCCCGCGGCGGATCTTGAGCGTGGGCGTGGGCGTGGACGGTGCACAGAGGCGGCTCGAGGCTTGCGGGCTCGACGGTCGGTGGTTCGATTGTCGCGATGTGGAGGGGTTCTTGCGCGAGCGGGGCGTCCAGGTCGATGGGTCTTTGTTTCCTGTTGTGAGGGAGTCGGATTCGGCTTCCCCTGGTGGTGGTGAGAGTGCGGACTATCAACTGCAGATGTCGCTGGTGGAGTCGTTGGGGGAGAGCGTGGCTCCGTCGAGGCTGGACCTGGAGTCGTTTTTCCAAAGTGAGTTTTTGGCAGTGTGAATGGGACTTGTCAAGTTTGCTAACTAAGCTATTAGGACTCCTCCGCGGAGTGGTCATTCTTGGTCGCGTGCCTGGATTCCGGGAATGTGATGTGGTGGGGGCGTTTAAGACGTCGGTTATATCTAGTTGATTGGAGTATGTGTATATGTTTGAGTACTATACATTCTTATATATAATCATCATCTGTTATGGAGATCATCTCTAGAAGGCGGACTGTAACAAAAAGACTACTGCACATGATTCGACATTGTATAGTACGATCAGGGCATAGCAGGATCATCTGACTAGCCATCTACAGCCTTCCTCCATCTCGGTGCAAAGCCACACAGCCACCGTGGCTGTTTTCTCCTTCATCTGCTCCCCTTGATCCACGTAAAGCAGTCCAGATTCTTCCCTCCCCCTATTCTAGTAGTCACACCTCTAGTCGCGGTGACAACTTCATCGACCAGGGTTGTGTTCACCCATGGAGACCTCGGTCCGGATGATATCATGGTAGAATTTGCAGGAGACCATCGCTGCATTGTTGCTGGACTGATCGATTGGGAGTGTAGTGGATTCTATCCAGAGTACTATGAAGCTGCTAAGTTTACTAATTGCCTATCGCCGTATGAGGAGAATTATTGGTATCTGTTTCCACCAGACTGTGTCTCGCCAAGGAGATACGCTCACTGGTGGCTTCTCGGCCGTGTGCATAATGCCCTAAAGCCCTAAAGATACTATAATAATGCCCTGTCGACACCAGCATCCTTTAGTTGGGAGATAGCTTCTAGAAGAGCCATGCGCGTTTGTGTGTCTTCCCCTGTAAGACAGGAAGCAATGTGATTCAAAGTCTCCAAAAAAGGACAAAACCCTGCATGTGATATGATTTCAGACAATAGCTTGCCATAAGCCCAAGTGTCATTTCTCTGGCGCACCTCAAACGGAAGACCGGCAGGTGATATCTCTTTTCGGATCTCCGGAGCAAGCCACATGTGTGTAATTCTACCAACACCACTGATATCAATCAGCACTGCGTTCCCGTCTGCGTCGAGGACAACATTCGAGGGTTTAATGTTCATGTGTATTATTCCTGCCTTGTGCAAGTAGCTTATTGCAGTAGCTATCTGTATAGTCCAGCTTTCCCAGGAATGTTCCCTCACGCGATCCTTATCTAATAGATTTTGTAAGGATCCTCCAGGGTAGAATACTGATAGAATGCCAAAGATAACCGGAGGTTGTTCTGTTGCACTTGATGTTGTATACGGATTCGTGGCCACTGCGATACCAGCCAATTGAGCAATGTTCGGTTCTCCTCGAAAGTATTCGAGATCTTTCAACTCATTGCGAATAGTTTCTGTGTCGTGGGCCTGGTATAGAGGTCGGTTAACTACCTTGAGAATGTATGGTGTCCTATCATTGACATCCACGACGTGAGAGACTCCGTCCGTAATCTCTGACTGTTCTAATAACTTGGCCTTACTGATCTGCCGAAGAGAAGGGAATTCACGGCATGAAGGATAGATAACCCTTGGAAGATCCTCTCGGATCGTGTATCTGTCTCCCAGAGAATTATGCAAAGGGCCCAAGAGCGAGCTCTTCAGTATTATGTATTTTCAACATGGAGTCACGTTCATCGGTGTACTCTTCTAAGACCACTTCACTGACCGTGTCGTTAAGAAGAGGGAGAGACCTGAGGTCTATCAGCCTGATAAAGTCCTGATACTCTTTGCGTCTCTGCCGCTTTGGGGTCTTATTTGACACCGGTCTGTCCACAGAGCTCAGAATCCCCCCTTTGAAAGTCACCTTGATCTACCACTTATGGCCTTCCGAGTGGAATATTAAGATTTGCGAACGACTATTAAGCTCCGCCTGGCCTTGCACGAGATAATCCCCATTTTCAAGATAAGACTTGAAATCGATCGAACATTTAGACTCGTGGAAAGAATCAGAGAGCATCTGGGCCCATAGATCGGCTGATCGTGATGGATGGACTCTACAGGGGACGTTGTGGATGATAATGATGTGTCTTATGTTCAGCAACCCCCTGAGCACACATCGTACACGTGACTCTATATGTATCTATGTAGTCACGTGCATTGTGAAGGTATGCTGACTCAACTTTGCATAGAGTTGCATGAATAGTGCCTTCTCCTAACCAGTAACATGGATTAAGTGGCAGGCAGGCATTTATGTCGTGTTTGGTCATCTCGTCTGGTAGCATGGTAAGCTACCCTAGGTCTAAGTAGGTACAAAGCCATAAACATACACTTGTGTCATGGTAAGTCAGCTCCTTTTCGGGTATCAATGAGAAGGACATGGATAGACTTGTCGGTCAGTCGCAAGTTCAACAGCCAAGGGGCCGTTTAAATGCGACGACATCATCAAGGAGCTGACTCTGCACGGCTACGCAGGATGGAGTACTTATATACTCCCGTCTATAGCGACGCAGATCATCTTTCTCTTCTTCATGGATGGACGGGCTAAAGGATCGACCTGGCGCAATCAGATAAGATCGGTGAACCTCGTGGAATCATAATTATTTCAACTAGTCACCCGACTAACACCCACGATCGGACATCCTGTGGGAACTCTATACTCGCGCGGTAGGTAGCTGCTAATCCAGGGGTTCGTCGACGCAAGCGCTGCATTAGCTGGTGATGATCTGCCTGATCGAGTTGGCTTGGCTCGGTAGCGCTGTTATAGCGCCAATCTGTATAGCACGGAGTATATCACAGAGGGTAAGGCTTGAATCATCGTACTTCATTTATGCAACATTAACTATTTCTCATAGACCGACCCCCTTCCCCCACCCTTAATTAATATACGACACTACCCACCCCACTCTCATGACTCGAATCTCGCTACCGCCCCCCATTAACCTGCACAAAATTCTTCTGCACCCGAATGCCCCTCAGCGGCACCTCGTCATCACCACAACTCTCACTCCTCATGTCCTGCCGGCTGCTCGCGCGACTAACCCGCACATCGGTCGTCATCTTCCCGCAGTCATACCCCGGTCGCAGATCTCCGGACTCGTGGCCCCCCTCGCCCTGCGAGTCGTTTTCGTCCGGCAGATAGTAGAACGAGTGGCGGCGGGCGCCGCCCGTGCCGGTGCGGCTCCCGTCTTTCATCGACAGGTCGTGCGGCCGCGTCCCGCTCGACTGGCCCTTGGATAGGGCGTCGGTGCGACTGCGCAGCAGGGCGGGCATCGCGTGCTGGATGCCGAGTAGGCGTGCGCCGGCTTGGAGGGCGGGCCGCATTGTCGGCAGGCAGGCGGAGACGATGCCGGCGGACATTTCGATCGCTGTCCAGGCGACTGTTGGGGCGAGCGTGTAGGAGGAGTCGAGGGGTGTGTAGGAGAAGAGGACGGTGAGGCGGTAGGCGGAGGCGAAGACCACGCTGCAATTTGTTATCAGTATATCTTATCTTTATTTTATTGTAAGATGATGGGAAAAGGACGTACAAGAAACCGAGACCAAATGCAATGGTCAAGCCCACTTTTTCAGACGTCCGCAGCTGCAGTTTCCAGATCTGAGGCATCGGCAGGAACAGGATGACCAGGTCGGTGGCGATGGTCGAGGTCGCGTTGGCGATCCACGTAGCGACCTGGTTGATGCAGTGGCCGGGCAGCTGCGGGTACCAGAGTTTCTCGACGGGGACACAGATGAAGACGAAGAGGAAGGTGATGGTGATGACCCAGCAGATGATGAAGGTGCCGATGCCGTAGGCCCACCGCTTGAAGTAGGGGAAGTGGAAGATGCGGTAGTACATGAAGAGGATGCTGATCTTGGTCCAGACGAGGTTGAAGACGTAGAGGATCTCCGCGACGACGAGGAACTTGGCGATGAGGACGATGTTCTCGGGGTCGACTGTGTCGGCGTGCAGGCCCATGCCGTTGTGGATCATGGCGAAGATGAAACCTACGACGACGAAGTTCCAGGCCTGTCGTTCTTCTTCTTAGTGATGCTCTGGTTGATGGGGGAAGAAGGGTTGGATGAACGCACCATCGACCAGAGAATGATCCAGTCATCCCACCATAGCTTTTGCTTTCGCTCCCATCGCGAGAGCAGCCGCAGACATACAGACACAAAGGCCAGCACCGTCACCGCGATGGTGGTGGCTGCTGCCCAGCGTTGGAGGCTGTCGTCATTGCCCATTGCATTTCATACTCTCATATCACGTCGCCTAACAGGAGTTTTGGAAACAAACCACGCGGGGCAGTAGGATTTATAAATTAGAAAAAGAAAAACAGACAGAAATGATTTTTCTTGAAAAAAAAAAATAGATTAAAACAACCAGCCAATATAGTAGGTAATATATAAAGGAAACTCCACCATCGTGACAAGAGTCAGGGGGCCCAAAGGTCCAAAATGGTCAGTCCAGATTTTTTACGACCGTTGAACCTTCTCTTAGTCTCGCGTCGATTCCGCATCTCCTCCTCTCCCTCCCCCCACCCTCATCTGCCGCAATGCCGAGTTACATGCGAACGGTTACGATGAGGCCAATCATGGAAGCCCCGTTGGATCCGCCAACTTGCCATGTGTTGGCGGAAAAAATGGCCCAAATCCCGCCTGTCTGTTTCCACTATCCGAATTCCGTTGGTAGGAGGAGACGATCTGCATGTTTTCCTTCAGGAAATGATATGAACCGGGGGGAGGACGAACCATGGAATGAGTGGCTGCAAATCCATCCGAAAGAGCCTAGGGAGAGGAACTAAATCGCGTGGTCGAAGTCTATGACCCACTATCCCCTCAACCACGCCGTCATTTGGGTGGCTTGCCAACCAAAGTATTTATTGCTGTCTAATTTTAACGAGATGAATAATATCTCTCCCGTCAATGGACCATGGATTGCACGCAACATGATAGATATTAATAGGTATGTATGTAAGTAGTAGTATATACAGATTAGGCATATTTCCGGACCATCTCCAAGACAGCCTGGTTTACTTCAGCCGGGTTGGTCGCGTTCAGATAATGGGCTCCTCCCTCGACCATCCGCAGTGACGCCTCCACCGACCCGCTCAGCAACCGAATCTGCTCCACCGGCACCGTTGTGCCAAACGGCGTGTCCTCACTGCCCTGCAGCCAGTATACGGGGCACTTGACGTCGCGCAGGCGCATCAGCAGCCCGTCGCGCTCCAGCAGGCAGTTCACTGCCATGCGCACCTTCTTGCGGCCCTCATCTCCGCGGTACACCTCCTTCAACGTCTTGGTCCAGAACTCGCCCGTCTCGGCGGGAGAGTTGGCGCCGAATCCGATGCCGCTCACCATGCCGCACCACACGTCGTCGATGAGGAAGTCGGGCGTCGCCGTCGCCGACGACCACTTGTCGTGGAAGGGCGCCAGCAGCGGCGCGGGGTCCCAGCATCCCTTGCTGCGGGAGTCGGGCGACTCGCTGTCCATGGACGTACCCAGGGGAATGACACCTTGGATCTGGAAGAGGTCAGTATCAAGGTATCGGGAGAGACAGAAGAGAGAAATACCCGCTCGGGCGCCAACAGGGCCATCCGCATCACAACCCAGCCGCCTTGGCTGGTTCCTAGCGTAAACGCCTTCTTGATGTTCAGTGCGTCGAGGACTTGCAGCGCCATGATGGCCGAGTCCCAGTAGGTGAAGTGCTCCGTGGCGCAGCTAGTAGCGCCGTGTCCCAGCGGCTCGATGGCCAGCAGGTTGACGGCGGCGGTGAGCTCGGCGCTCTCGAATTGCGGGCGGTAGAGCGCGGTGGTCATGCACATGGAGTTGATGAGCACGCAGGTCGGCTTGGAGGGGTCATATTGGCCGTTGGAGAGAGTGTAGCCGGCGTCGATGCCGCCCAGATGGGGGACGCGGATAGTTTGAGTGGCTGCCATGTTGCTTGATGTAGTAATAAATCTTCTGCAAGGACACTAGAGGATAGTTGATACTCCTGGATTATGGCAGTCGGGCAGACGTCGTTTTTGTATGTCCTCCTAATCGTGATGACAGTCGTCCTTTTTGGCAGCTCCGAAGATGGAGTAAACTAACGGTCGGGGGTTGATCCTTGTTCTGGTGCAGATCGTCGTTGAAAATGTTCGTTTGACAGGATTATTAACCTTTGCGACCGTTTTTCTCAACGGTTCGGTAGGTCGGCTACCAACCATCTGCCTGCCCCTATCCTGATTTTTCCTAATTCGTCATAGAATGGTAGAAACTGGCCCCACTCGGCACATCCATCTACTTCCTTGGTTGGAACGCAAACCCGGGCTCCAGGCTCAAACTCGCCTGCCTGTGTGGGACTGGCCGGCCATTTAAGATTTGACTTGCGTCTCATTTCGTGTCGGACGTACTCTCCGCAAGGTTGATTGAATTGGACTGACAGAGCTGACCGTTCTAAAGGGTTCTAGGGTTTTAAACGGTTCTGGAGTTGAATCTCGTAGATCGAGTCGCATGATCTTGAGTGTAAATCCCCGTCCTTAGGCAGATTTCTGCAACTGTAAAAGAAACCCTCTGTGGCGGACAATCACCTAGTAGGATGCAGGAATTGGCTGACTGATGTGTTGCATGAGAATCCAAGCTTGAATTCCTCTCCTAACGATGATCCCATGTGGAAACCGTGTCTGATATCAGCTCGGGGGCTGGAAGCTGAGATAAGGTCTTCAAGTTGGACTTGATTTAAACGGCTTCACTTTGTTGATTTTTTTCGTAGAATGATGTCAGGCTTGGTACCTCTCATGGTCTTTGTGATCCCTTGGTCTTCAAGGCATGCAACCAGTCATGATATCTAGAGTGAGAGCGGGGTCCTGGTGGATCTCAATTTCATCGACACAACTGATGGCAAAATAGGAGAAAATGAACTGAAGAAGACATTCCTGCCTGAGGAACATGGCAGAGACTGGGATGTCACCTGATCTTTATCTTTCATCTTTCTAATCTCTTCATTCTCTTCACTTTCCTCTGTCTTGTCAATTTCCTCACTTTCCTCGTCTACTCAGTACATAATATATCTATATTAGGTTCGTCGACCTGTCTCGCCGTTGAGAAAAGTGGGTTCAGAGTCACACCGCCAATCAACATTTGCCGAACCAGGCCAGCCCATATTATGTGTCAATTGATTTGATTCCTCAAATGTGGGTCTTTCCATGCGTTGTGAAGTCCACCGTACTGTGGAGTACATGGATATTGGAAATTGCACTGCTGAGCTGACTGTTATCTTGCCGCTGGATTGTCAACGAGCCGACTGCGTTGTCGAATCATACACCTCTCAATTGTTATTCAAGCCCCCAAAGCAAACGGGAAGACCGAGGATCCGGTTCCTCTGCATACAGTGTGACGTGTGTGTATCCAATGCGGGTTGGTTGTACAATGATTGGGGTGGTATATGAGGCTCAACTCGATGTACTCCAAGATATAGCTCATGAGGTGGGCCATCTCTTTCAGCTTTGGTAGATGGTCTTTCTTATTGGATATCCTGTACTGAGTTCAAGTGATAAGCATGTTTGCTGGTTGATAATGGGACTGATCGAAATGTGTATTGGGTTCTGTATTGGAATTTACGTGCAGGAAGAATGATAACAAGAATGTCAGATTCAACATGAGATCAGATTTTACCCTGTTAATTGAACAAACACACTCAAGGTATCTACTATGACATGGATCCATTCCATGCCTCAGTTGAGCCTCTTTTGTCTGTTCACGAGCAAGACACGTTCACTGCATCCGGATAGACCGACGTTGTGTTACCATTGAAGTAGGCGCATCTCGTAGGAATGACAAAGAAAGAGGCCATGCCTGCATCACGCTGCCAATGCCAGCTGCCAGCAACGTGACCAGCACTTCTTCCACTACTTCTCCCATCGTTGATATTCTTCTTCTCCACTGCTCACCCACCAGACATAATGTTCTCTCTCGCCTCCCTCATCAGCCTCGCCGCCCTCCTCGATCTCCTCTACGGCCTCTACACCACCTTCAAACATGCTCGCAATTTCGTCCGCTGGCGCTGTGGCTCTCTCCCGGCCTATCCTAGCGACTTCCTGGGCTGGAACACTCTCAAAGAACTCCAAGCAGCAGACAAAGCACGCAGGCTGCCCGTTCTGTTCGTTGACCGCTTCTCTCTCATGGAGACTCGCGAGAACCGTCGCGTCAATACCTACCTCACCCGCCAGGCCCTACGCGATGTCATCATCACCTGCGACCCAAAGAACGTACAGGCAATGCTAGCCACCCAATTTCAGGATTTCGAGCTGGGAAGCGCGCGCCGCATCTCCCTCCACCCTCTCCTCGGGAATGGAATCGTACGCCCCTCCCTGGTATACACCATAAAATAATAACTAACTTACATCAAGTTCACCACTGACGGCGAACACTGGTCTCGCTCGCGCGCTCTCCTCCGCCCCCAATTCACCCGCGATCAAATCAGCGATCTGAACCTAGAAGAGCGCCATGTGCAACACGCCTTCCGCGCCATGCCCGTCGACCCCACCACTGGCTGGACATCCGCCGTCGACATCCAAACCCTCTTCTTCCGACTGACCATGGACTCAGCCACCGAGTTCCTCTTCGGCGAGAGTGTCAACAGCCAATCCGCCGCGCTGGACACCAACCAGCCAGACTCCTTCTCCGCCAACTTCGACCGCGGCCAGCAATTCGCGGGCCAGCGCGCGCGCCTCGACAAGCTCCACTGGCTCGCCAACACAAAGGAAAGCCGACACGTCACTGCAGAAGTCCACGCCTACGTCGACCAGTTCGTCCGCGCCGCACTGGACCAGCAACAGTCCCGCAAACCAGACATCTCCAGTCCAGCGCCCACCAAACAGCACGGCGTATTCCTCCAGCAACTAGCAGCCGCAACCCAAGACCCCATCGAGCTCCGCTCCCAACTCCTCAACGTTCTCCTCGCAGGCCGAGACACAACCGCCTCGCTCCTCAGCTGGAGCCTCCTCCTCCTAGCCCGCCACAGCGACGTCTTCACCAAACTCCGCACCGCCATCCTCGCGGCCTTTGGCCCGGACGGCCCAAAAACCACCCCGATAAGCTTCATTGCCCCCATAACCTTCACCTCCCTCAAAGACTGCCGCTACCTGCAAGCCTTCCTCAACGAAGTCCTCCGCCTTTACCCAATCGTCCCTAACAACCGCCGCACAGCCGTCCGCGACACCACTCTCCCGCGCGGCGGCGGGCCAGACGGCTCCCGCCCTGTCTACATCCGCGCCGGCCAGCAAGTCCTGTACAGCGTGTTTGCGATGCACCGTCGTGTGGACCTGTGGGGTGAGGATGCGAACGAATTCCGCCCTGAGCGTTGGATGGAACACTCCCCCGGTCACCGGGTAGGTTGGGAGTATCTGCCGTTCAATGGGGGCCCGCGCATCTGCATCGGGCAGCAGTTTGCGCTCACGGAGGCGGGGTACGTGCTTGTGAGGCTGTTGCAGCGGTTTGGGGCGGTTGAGGATGTGTTTTCGGAGAGGGAAATTAGCTATGCGTTGAATTTGACGATCGCGCCGGGGGAGAATGTTACTGTGCGGATGAAGGCTGCTTAGGTTTACTGTTGATTGCGTTCTTACTGTTGACCAGACTCATACAACAAACTTAACTTGTCTTCAAAGGACGGCAAGTAGATGTACGTAGCAGACTTACGTAGTGTACTGATCAGGTGCTTGTAGTATGCATAGATGATCTACATAGGGTGGAGAGTAGTAGTGTCATGCGGATGTCGATCACACATATAGCGCCACATATAGCCACTGACGTCGATGGCATGTACCCCAATAATACCCTTCTTGCTCCCTAGATAGATTCATACGAATCCACCAAGTAGATAACCACTGATATTGCGAAATGACAGAAAAATAGACAGCATATATCATATAGTCGTACGTAGTTTACTCGTAAATCAACAAAAGCAACCCATAAACCATCCCCTAACTATTAATATCTCCTACTCACCAACCTACTACCTCTCTACCTAGGTGGGTAGATAACTCGCAGTACTGCAGAGTAAGTAGGCAGATCAAAGACTGAACTAGCAGCAAATCTCACAGCACTCGAAACAGGCCAGGCCGGCGCAGCTAGTTATCATTAATTAGTATCTCACCCATTCTCTTTCAAGGGGTGGGTAAGAGACACCACAGTAATGGGGAGAGTAAGACGAGAAAATCAAGGAGAAAGAGAGAAACTCACAGCCCACAGCAGATGCCACCGGCGCCACCCCCACGGAGACTCAAGTTCATCTGTTCGGTGGAGCGCTGTATTTATTAGTATCTTCCATCCATATATCACACTTTCCTTGTTCTAGTATCCGTAACACACACACACACACACACACACATATATATATATATTATATATAATGTATGCAATATACTAGCCCCATATAATAATACCAAAACAGGCAGAAGAATAAGAAATAATAACCAACCGGCTGCTCCACCACCAAACCCTCCTTCACGGGAGCACTGGGGCTCGTCGGCTGCTGCTGCACGGTCACGGTGCGGGGATCCCACAGCGGTTCTTGGTATTGGGGTTGATTGTTTTCGTCTTTGGGTTTGGAGAAGAGGTTGAACATTTTAGAAGTGAATTGGGGGGATATTGGGGAGATGGGTTGTGTGTGTGGATTGTGGATCGTGGTTATGGGGATTGGAGAGAGAGAGTTGGAGAGAGAGATGGAGAGAGGGATAGAAGAGAGGGTGAGATGGAATGGACTAAGAGAGAAAAGAAAAAAAGAGGGGTAAGGCTGAGGTGAGTGCGAATAAAGAAGGATGTGGTTATATTATATTATATTATCTGATATTATAGCGCAGTATATTAACGAGTTATGTCTAAGTTTAGTATATTATATCATCCTGGACTGTATTTGTATGTATCTGTATGTATGTATGTTAGGCATCTCTATTTACCAATAATATCTATACAGAGATTATATCTTCCGCCTCACCAACCCCCTCATGAAATCAAAACTGTTACTATCGCTCTGCAACTGCCACACCCGGCCCGTCCCCCGATCCTCCCATCCCAGCTCCTCCGCCAACAGCAACCCGTAGTCCCGCGAGATGCCCTTGATGCGCGCCCGCGCCCCGCCCACCTCCTCCACAGTCACTACCTGGTTCGTATGCAGCCAGTCCGCGTAGTACATCGCCTCGAAGCCCCGGTCGAATCCCGTCCGCAGGAACCGGGTGTACAGCTCCTCGAAGGTCGTCACCACGCGCGCCAGCAGCCGCTCCAGCGTGATGGGCGCCGCCGTCGGTCCCACGAACCGCGCTGCCAGCGCGCTCAGCGACGTCGTTGGCGCTGCGTTCGTCGCGTTGATCCCGATCCCTACGACCGAGATGTACTCGCGCCCGGAGAAGTGCGAGTTCACTAGGATCCCGCAGATCTTGGCGTACTGGTTTGTGGCTGTCGCGTCAGGGTCCTGCGCGTACACGTCGTTCGGCCACTTGAGCTTGACTGGCATGGCTTCGTAGCCCTTGTCGTAGGACTTGATCCCCTGCACGACTGCCATTGCGGCGAGGTACTGGATGAAGATCACTGGTGCCGACTGCAGCTTGTCGATCGGGTGGTGTACCACCGTCGAGAACATCAGCGCTCCCGCCGGCGACACCCAGACGTTGGACCCGCGTCCGCGCCCGGCGACCTGCGTTGTGGCCGTCGCGGTCGTCCCGTTGGGGAGCTGCCGCAGCAGCTTCGGGTTCTTCTCGAGGATGGTGTTGGTGCTGGTGATCACCTCCCCGTACATCAGGTGCGACCCGAACTCGCTCGCCCCCTCGCGCGACTGCCCCTGATACTCCCGCAGATTCGCGTAATACGCGTGGTGGTTGAACGACGGGGTCGTCTTGGACCCCGGTACGTCGTCGTGCACGATCAGCCGCTTCTCAACCGTGCGGTAATCGACGATCCCCTCCTGCTGGCCCGGCAGGGTGTCGCTCAGCCCGTCCATGCTCCACGCGCCCGGCTTCTCGATGCGGAACGTGTCGTTCTCGTCCTTGAGGTACTCTTGCGGCCCGTCTGCCGTCACAGCTTCCCGCAGCGACGCTAGGAGCGGAGCCGTGTCAGCCGGGTCCCGGGCAGACAGGTGCAGGGAGGAGAGGGACGGTACGGTGGTGGTGGACTGCGACGCCTGCAGCCCCAGCTTGACCAGACAGGCCTTGAGGAAGTCCGTGCGCGCCTTGTCGTCCGCCGCGATGGCGTCGATGAGTTTTCCATACTCGGCGCCGCCGGCCTTGCGGTCGAGGTTCACGGCCGCGAATCTACGTCGTTAGATGTAGTTGTCAGTCATAGTAATTACGATGTACAGGGTATGGTAGAGAAACGTACTCGGGGTGCGGCCCCGTCAAAATGGCAGCCCCGTCGCCCACCCGACAGTAGACCACGGCGGCGCCGTCTTCGCCCGCATCCACGTTCAGCTCCTCGGCGTAACGAGCCAGGACCTCGACTCCCTTATCGGCATATCGCCCCGCGTCGACAAAGACGCCGCCCCCATTGTAGTATGAGCGAAAGCCCTCCGGTACGACCACTTGTTCCGGGCTGAGCGCCTCGCGGGCGACCGACAGCTGCGCGGCACGAGCACCCGCCTCGCTGTTATAGGCAAAGCCCCCGAATGCCCCACCGCGGCAGGTTCCGGGGAAGAACGCGAGCTCGCGATTGCCGATGACCTGTAGTGTCTTGTCACCGACCTCAAACTCGCAGTGGCGGGCGCCGTAGTAGCCGCCGGCGCAGAACCCGAGGTAGGCGCCCCCGCGACGGACGTACTGTTCGATGCGACGGTTGCCGGCGCCGTTGAGGGCGCGACAGTATCCGAGATCTGCACCGCCGGGGAAGACCAGCAGGGCGCAGGAGGGAGACCAGGGCTGGTGGAGCAGTTGGTCGGCTGTGACGGGGATGACGGCGTAGTGAGGGGCTAGAAGGCGGCGGAGGGAGTAGAGGCAGTGTCGGACGGATTCGACGGTGGTTCCATTTCCTAGACTTATTAGCTATTGAATTGAATTATTGTAGGGATTGGTTATACCGGTGTAGACCAGGACGTTAAACCTGGAGGGAGCCATGGTGGGGAGATGAGGAATGAAGGCGGAGGCCGAGATAAATGACTCCGCAGGTCAATCTGGGCCGATCGTCTCACCTCATACATCCACCAGTGTCAACCCCAACACACTCAACATGTCTCCCAACAAACGGCCAGAGCAACCCCCTGTGGACGATGATGAGCCTGATGATTGGTATATACCCTGGACACCTTTTGCGCAATTGGAAACTGACAATATGTAGGGATAAGCGCATCTTCAGCACGGGCTGTGCTGCTGAGCAGGACCGCATGAACGACTGTTACTATGTTAAGAAGGACTGGCGGAGTTGCAAGAACGAGGTATTTATAACCCTACTCTATATACCCCTACTCTATATACCTCTACTCTCCGTAGGATCTACATGGCCAGTATGGTCCATTGGTGAATGTAGCTAATGGAACAGATGGAGGCATTCCGCCAGTGCTGGAAGCGACAGGGCAATGACAAACGGACAGACACGAAGGACGCATGATGCTGTACTCTACTGTACTCTACTGTATTTCTAGCCTACAATAAATCAAATTCCCACTCTTAGACACTGTTCCTGGTGTTGTGGATAGTAATCACGTGACACCATCACGAACGTCATCTCCGCGTCCTCAAACGGCGACAGATTCTCCAACACACGCGTCCAACCACAACCCAGCATGTCTCTCCGCCCCGTCCCTCGCGCCCTGCGCGCCTCTCTCCAAGTTCTCCGACCCAGCATCTCCATCCAGCAAACCCGCTCCCTCACACGAACAACTCCAACCCCACAATTCAACCCGACAGGCGCCTCACCTCCGAACCGAACAACAACCCCCAACAAAGCTACTCCTCCTACCACTCCCACCCCCTCCAATGGCTACCGCAACACCAACACCACAAACAGCGCCAACGGCACAAACAATACCGTTGAAACCCCCATAAAACGCACCGAAAACATCTCCAAAACCGGCCTCTCAGACCAGCCCCTCGAGCTCGACGACCCAACAGCAGACCGCATCGACTGGACGCGCTCCTTCCACGGCCTCTCGGCAGCGCCCTTCCCCAAAGAAGCAGCAGACATCCTCCTCGCAGAGGTCAACCCCGATGAAGTCGAGATCAAGCCCGACGGCATCGTCTACCTCCCTGAAATTAAATACCGGCGGATTTTGAACCGCGCGTTCGGTCCTGGCGGGTGGGGGCTTGTCCCGCGCAGTGAGAGTATCGTTACGCCGAAGACGGTGACGAGGGAGTATGCGCTTGTTTGTAATGGGCGGTTAGTTCTTCTTTTCCCACTTTTTCTTCCTCGCTTTTTGTTTGCGTTATAGAATTTGTTTTATTCCCCCAAAAAGCTAACTAATATAAAAAATAGCCTCGTCAGCGTAGCCAGAGGCGAACAAGACTACTTCTCCCCCGACGGCATCCCCACCGCGACAGAAGGCTGCCGATCCAACGCCCTCGTCCGCTGCTGCAAGGATCTCGGCATCGCCAGCGAACTGTGGGACCCGCGCTGGATCCGCCGCTACCGCGCGCAGTACACGCGCGAGGTCTTCGTCGAGCATATCGTTAATAAGCGCAAGTCGAAGATTTGGATCCGGAAGGATGATCCGGTTTCTTATCCTTGGAAGGAGAGCAAGTGATTTGTTCGTTCTTCCTTCCTTCCTGGATTTGAGGGTTTGATGGAGTGGGGTTAATGGGGAATGAGGAATGGTTTTTTATGTATGATAAATGCATGCTGGATTTGTTTGTTGATTTGATTTGTATTATAGAAATACTGGGAATAAAGTACTCTGCTATCAAGGAAGCCAACAAGAATCAAAAGATATCAAACAAAATGGAAACCATTAGATAGAAAAGAAAAGATCAGAAAAGATCAAAAAGAAAGGGAAAGAAAAAAAAGACTGCGCTATCCCAACTCCATCCCATACTCATTACAATATAAATCTACTAATTCCACCGCCGAAACGCCCCGGCATCTCGTGCGCCTGTCTCGCTGAAGCCGACCGCGGCGGGAGTGACTCCGGCTGCCGCTCCTCCTCGAACGAGTTCACGTTCTCTCGGGGTCGCTCGGACGGCAGCTCCGAGGGTGGCTGCTGCTGCTGCTGCTGCTGCGAGGTTGAGTATGGGTTGTCAGGGTAAGACGTCACCGCCTGCCCTGGGGCGGAGGGCCCTGGAGCCTCGTAGTGCTGGTGGTAGGGGTCCGTCGGGGCAGGCGGGTACTGGGTGGATGCCCGTCTCGGGGGCGTCGGGTGGGAGAGAATGGGCACCCCGCCTGTGGCGGTGGGGAACGGGGTCCATGGTCCTTGTTGGCCTGGGGACGGGGTCCGCGCCAGAGACCCGTAGTGCGCGCTGGCGGCTGCCGTGGGGTCATGTCCTGGGGACGCCGCCGGGGTCTGGTAGTTGTCGACTTCGCCGCCGGCGACGGAACGCGATCGTCGCGGGTCGGGGTAAGTGGCGCCGCTGCGTAGACTAACGGATGGGGTGGAGCCTGCACCACGGCGGTGCAGAGAGCCTGTGGACCGCGCGACGTCGAAGCCTGTCGAGCGGGACTCGTCGTCGGCTAGGTCCGTGTGGAGGCGACGCATCCCTTCGCTGGCGCCGGCGGCGCGCGCCGCGGCACCGGCATCTTTCGAGGCGGCGTCATCGGACTTGTCGTCGGACGGGGAAGGGCTGTCGCTGCCGGCATCGTCGGCTGCTACGGGTCCGCGGATCTGAATCTTGCGAACGGTGGCGATGAGCGCGCACATGAACTTGGAGCGGCGGGAGGCCCGCACGGCGTCGTTGGCCCAGTTGGACTTGTGGCAGATGGACACGGTCAGTTCCAGTTTGTCCATGTCTCCGACGCCGGTCACGTCTACGGTGAGTTCGGGCTGGAAGTCGCGACAGTTGTCCTTGTCGCGCACGAACCGCTCCATCTCGTCGCGGAGCATCTGGATGTCCGAGAAGGTGGTGTCGAAGTGGACCGGCACGGTGAGCGTCTCGTGCATGGCGTTGGAGCGTGTGAAGTTGTCGATCCACAGCGTGTTGAGCACCGCGTTGGGCACCTGGGTCAGTCGGTGGTCGGTCACACACCGGAAGACGCTAAACAGCAGCGAGATACGTTCCACCACATACGGCTTGCTGTCGATCTCCACGCGGTCGCCAATGTCGAAGGGGTGCTTGACGAAGAGGAAGATGCACGAGCCGAGCACCTCTTGCGCGGTAGTCGAGAAGACGAAGCTGAGGGACAGCAGGGAGGTGGCACCCGCAGCGATGACGGTGCCAAATCCACTGGTGACAAACGACACGAACACGAGCACGCCGATGATGAAGGCCACCGACATCAGCAGGTTATCTAGCACGTGGATAGCTTGGTCGACGTCGTGCATGCTGTGGTTCAGCGACTTGCGCTGGCGTCCGATCTCGGCAATCGCCATGACCATCTCGTCCAGGCTGATGTCCCCATTGGTGTCCTGATCCAGCATGTGGAAGCATTCGTCCGCGTCGGACTCTTTGCCCGCCCCGAGGACTTCTGAGATGTCGTCGGGGAACAAGGCCTCGCGGCCCTCAATGACGAACGACATCCAAATGCGTCGCGCCAGGGCTTCGGAGGAGCGTCGACGCTCGAGGGCCTGGGTGACAATCGAATGGGCCGCCGTCGGGTTAAACACCTCCTTCCCGGTAATCTCGTGTGCCACGTCCCCGAAAGCTGCAGTCACCTTGTTGCCGAAGCGCCCCACGTTGTGGCCCACCTCGCGAATGAGCCTCAGCGGCGCGGACGAGCTGGACCGGAGATGACCCGGTCCCTTAACGCCTGGGGATCCTAGCAGGGAGTCCGAGATCGCAGCGTCGTCATCACGGAACTCGCGACAGTACATAGGGAACATGGTGCGCGATGCATCGTACAGCATTCCGACCAGCTGGATTTTGCGCTTGGATTCTTGAATCTTGCGGTCGAATTGCTTGCGGTGGTAGCTGATGGAGATCAACTGCACCAGAGTTTTCTCGGCCAGGAAGATCAAGCTACAGACGAAGAGCGCGAAAAGGATATTCTTGATGGACTTCTCCCACCCCTTGACTCCTTTGTCGCCTTGGGACTTCTTCTCGGGATTCAGCGCCATGATCTACCCTCGTTAGTTTGACTCGTCCATTGACATGCTCAACTCGACACATACCGGGAAGAACGTGACTAGTGAGACTAATGCCCACAACACGGTGGCCATCGGCGTCTCCAGATTGCGCAAGATCAGTGCATATTTGCGCGTACCGGAGCTGACAATGCCACTGAGAAACTGGAAGACATAAGGCAGCGCGCGCGCCGCCAATTTCGACACCCACAGACTGACCCAGACGACCTCAAACCAGCAGAAGAACCAGGGCAGAGGGACACCGCCGATAGCGGCCTCCGGCGCGGCAATGGCCCCCACGATGATCGGAATGGCGAGCAAGATCGCCAGCGGCAAAATGTACAGTAAATACCGAGTGACCAGCGAGAAGTTCAACACGGCCTGGTAGATGCGACCCATGCGCGTGACGGTGCCATCTGCCGGATCTTCCAGTGGGACGCCCGTCGCTCCGGTGATGCGTCGGCGGCCGCCTGCGACACCAGGCATCGCTGCGTCCGACACCAGTCCGGTCTTTTCATTGGCGACGCTGCGGCCGGGTGTGTCGTCCGCCCCGGGCGGTTGGTAGCCCATGGGCTGTCCCGGCGGCGACCTCGGCGTTCTCACGCTGGGATTTCGCGCACCTGTCTGGCCCCGGCTGCCGACATTGCTCAATGGAATATCGATCGTCACGTCATGTGGATTGCCCATTTTGTTGTTGGCGTACTATGCGACGCGTTATGCATATAACGGCGATTCAACGAGTCTTCGGCATTCGCGTCAATTGAGTAGAAAAGGGCCCGCTGCCCTAAAATTGTGGGATAGATTCAGCACGAAGCACTCTGTGCGAACGTAATGTCAAACTTCGATAGTGGTGGAGCGACCGTGTGGGTCAATTAGTAGCGCAGATCAACTTGGGAGAGCACGGTCGAACTGTAGAGACAGACAAATGACAATGAGGCCCTTGATCACGATTCGTAATCGATCAGGGATTGTAATTGTCAAAACAAATGAAATCGGAAAAGACCGTTGCGTGGGAGGAGAGTGGAAGAGAATAGGATAGGAAGAGGAAGAAAGAGACAAGAGAGAAGGAAAAGTAAACAGGGAATGTCTGTGAAACCAGCAGGGAAAAAAGAGACGATTGCCTGAGGCCTGCTCGGTAGGGGAATTAGCTGGATTTGTTTCATCCCCCGCCACAAAACCACAACATCATTCATACCTCATTCTCTCCACCGTCCCAGGAAATCCCCCAAATGGGCTCCTCCATCCTTGTTGTCCTCCCGCGTCCGCTCGTTACTAGGGCCTACTAAGGAATGCCACAAGGCATACCAAAATACTACATTCCATCGGGCATTCCACCCCTGGTCTCTAACAACACCGTCGACTGAGAAGGATCAGTATCAGCACTGTCCGTGGGTTCTGTTCCTGCAGGATTATCTGGGGTCCTGGACTCTCGATTGAACCTTCTCGACGGGATCGTGGTTTGAGATTAAGGGCAGGATCGATGCATGGGCCAATCGGTTATGTCCGAGGGTTGACACGAGCGTTGGCCCCGTTGGAGCTTCGTGATCAATCAGATTGGGTTCTCGTGCCAAGTCTTGCGATCAGCCCCACTGTCATTTCCAGATGAACCATATCGGTCGGACTGGGCTCTGGATGGATGCGGGAAGAGGGATTGTTTCAGGTAATTCATTGTTGGGATGTCTTGCTGGGGGAGGGATTGAGAGCACTAATGGCCTTTCTATACCCAAAAAAGGAAGAGCACTAGGCAGCTATGCTATTTATACTGTATACTAATCTAAACCGCACCTCAGCCACACTTCTTGAAACATGGATTCAATAACCCAGCGGGATCCGTGCCTCTCCAGACATCATCCACACAATGCGCCTCAAGCCATCGCGGAGACAGATCAACTCCGGGCACAGCACCTTAGCCGCACCTCTTCCGCCGGCGGATGCGCCGATTTGGAATACCGATTCGCCTTTGGGACACGATCCATCGGACGACCAATTTGGTCGCACAACGTCAGATCAAAGGCAGCCACAAAGGATGCAACAACGACAGCCACTTCAAGCTTAGCCAGCTACACATGACGGGTTAGCAGATCCATCCAACAGCCAGCCACCAGGCGTTCCAGCCCACTTACCCTCATTCCCACTATAGCAGCAAAACTGATTAGCATGCTGTTGCTTCATGCAACACAATAAGCACAAGACAAGAAAAAGCAGTAAACTCACAGCACGCATGCCGTCCCGCGCCCCACCCCAAATACGCCAACGGCGTGCCTTTATCCTCCGCCCGGCCCGGTGAAAACCGCGCCGGATCCCACGTCCCAGGGTCGGAATAAACCGCGGGATTGGCGTGGGCTTCTTCAAGAATATAAAACTGTATTCTTGCTCAGCTGTCGTTTCACCAACAAAAGGAGGGGATCGGCCTACTGCGTAGGACCCACCGGGGATCACCTCTCCTGTCTCTCCGATGGGAATGTCCCTGTCACTGCAGTTCCGCCGGTACGTGGTAGCTGTTAGGTGCATGCGGATGCACTCGCGCAGACATAGGTCGAGCACAGGGAAGTCGGACTCCCACGTTTCGAGGGGGGTGCGCTGGAGGGTGTGAACCGGTGTTTCCTGTGGAGATGAGCGATAACGAGTGAGTACAGCGTCGATTTCCGCTCGCGCTTGCGCCATCCAGTTTGCGTTGCCCGAGAGATAGACAAGAAGCCAGACGGCCATGAGGGGCGTGTTGATTTGAGCGGCGAACAGCGTGGCCATGAGGTACTATCAGGTTGGTTTCAGAAGAGTCCGCGGGAAAAAATGAAAAAAGAGTAGAAGTAAAAGATAGTAAAAGAGCTCACAGTAACAACCTCCCCCATCGACAACCCCTTCTCCATCAAAATCCTCAACACCCCATCCACCTTCCGCCCCGACCCCCTCACAGCATCTCCCAAATACCCAGCCAGTTCCCGAATAGCAGCCACCCGCCGCCGATACCCCGGCGTCCGCAACCAAGGCACAAGTACCCTCCCAGCACTCGTCGAGCCCTCAATTTTCCGCAGAAGAGCCGGGCCCAAACCAGCCAGCGACGGCGAACTAGCACGCACATCATCAAACCCCGCCGCGCTCATCGTAAACTGAAATACCAGCCGATCCGCGACGTCGAATGGATCAACGAGGGTACTCGTCCCTGACTGTGCGGTTACGGCGTTGGCAGCGAACGCTAGCATAGATGATAGACACCGGCGAATGTTCTCAGTGCGCATAGTTCGCATGATGTGCGCGTTAATCTGGTATCCTTGCCAGCCGGTGGAGGGCTCAATCTGGGAGGGGTCGACTGTGGGGAAGAAGACGGTGAAGCTGTTGTTGGCGTCATTTTATACATTCTTTTCAGTCTACTGGGTGCGTTCCTGATGCTGGAGTGGAGTGAAGAGTGCTAGAGTACAGCGAGAACGCTGGGGGTGGACTCACCCCTCAACCATTTCCATCTCTCTGCGGTGAAAGAACGCTTCTCGACCTGCTGATCTAGACAGCCCGACGAGGTGATGCGGCCCCACAGCGAGGCTGAAGTTGCCGGTGGACGAGGCCGCCACGCCCTCGTTGTAGAAGCCGTGGCGGTTGTTAAAGAAGCGCCACGTGCTGAGGAAGGAAGGACAGTAGCCTGAGGCGAGTGGTTTGGGGGTACTACGGTCGTCGCGGGAGCGAGACGGTGGTCGATGCGCGATGGTGATGATGTACGCGAGGACTGTCACGAGGAGGGCGATAATGCTGCGGGTGGGCCATTCTGGGCTTTGGGCTAGTACTCTGGTGAGAGCTTCCATGGTGGTGCCTGTCATCATCTGCTTGCTGTGTTGGGTGCTGTATGTATGGTCGGTGTTTGTCGCTTCCACGGATGGTGCAAACTGCGTGGCTGTGGTAGGAGGATATCATGGATGAGGAAGGCAATTATTAGCGAGATGGCGATTGAGGGCTTGAAAAGGGTGGGCGTCTGGGCCATTGTAATGCTGTTTTTGTCTTTGTTGAGGCCTGTTCTGTTCTGTCTGTATCCTTAGTTCCAGATACGATGAGATGTTGAATCCGGTGGTGTGAGTGGGGTGGTGATTGGAGCCCGCTTATTAGGGTTTCGGAGCTTCTTTGTTTGGAGATTCAGTGGTGGATGCTGAGGCTCTTGGCGTGACAGGGACAATATGAAGCATTTTGGAAGGTTGGTATTGTTGGATCTTGTTTCGGGCTACGGGTCAAATAGAAGTGCTTATTCGAAGGTGCATCCTTTATAGCCATGGGGGCAAGTGCGTCATGGTGGATAACCTAAATAGATGTCTCACGGCAGATAGTACGTAAAAAAAAAAGAGTTTCATTGTTCTATTGGATTGCAAGTCGCATTCTCTCCGGGAGAAAACAATTGGGTAGTATTGGAGTAAGTCCTCCCATGGTCCAACAGTCGAGGTCTCGTATTGCGATAGGTGTTTATGGGCGTCTTCAACAACCCAAATAAGTGCTTTAGACACACATGGAGTACTCAGGGCTCTGCTCGATGCACTTCATCGAGCCGACACACTGCGTAGGGCCATCCCAGTTGGCTCCTCCACACTGCTGGAGAGGTCTGGCCTTGTTGGGCTCGGCCGTGCCGGTGGGTGCAGGGGCGTTGGTGGGGGGGGCAACGATAGGAGTGGCAGTGAGAGAGTCCGTGGGAGCAGACGTGGGAGCAGACGTGGGAGTAGACGTGGGAGTAGACGTGGGAGCAGACGTGGGAGTAGACGTGGGAGTAGACGTGGGAGTAGACGTGGGAGTAGACGTGGGAGTAGACGTGGGAGCAGACGTGGGAGCAGACGTGGGAGCAGACGTGAAAGCCTCAGGAGCGAACTCAGCCTTCACATCCGCGCCCGACGCTGCCGCAGAGCCGTCCACGAAGTATTTCTTCAGGATAGGCAGGTAGGCATCAGACGCCTTGCCCTCCTCGGGCTCCAGGTTGTACATGTAGTCGCCCCACCACGGGCCGGCAGCCCACCACTCGGCGCCCATCCAGACATCGCTGTTGGTCGCCATGTGGTCCAGCAGGCCCTCGACGGCAGTCTCGCACTGCTCGTTCACACCGCCGGCGAATTCGCCGAGGAAGCCCTTCTTGTTGTTGTCCTTCAGCCACTGCGTCGCGGTCTGCATGCGCTCCTTGCCGATCGTGGAGCTGACGCAGGTCTCCGACGTGCCGGAGCCGTCGGTGTCCAGGTACTGGTGCATCTCGTAGACGATCTTGTCTTGGGGATCGCTGAGCTTCTTGAGGTTGTCGTTGTTGTCGGCCCACTTCCACGCCCCGGTGTACTGGTTGCCCTCGACGAAGATATACTGGGTCTTGGCGCCAGCGGCGCGGATGCCGTCGATGGCGGCTTGGTTGAGATTCAGTACGAGGGACTGATCCATGTCGTGGTATTCGTTGTCTGCACAGCATTAGCTTGGTAGGCGCTTGAGGGAAGCGTGACGCATACTGGTGTCGAAGATGACCTTCTCGTTGGAAGAGAATTCGCCCGCAACAGTCTTCCAGAAGGATTGGAAGTCGGCTGTCGACGAGATGATATTCCCGGAGCTAAATGCGTTAGCGGTTGTATTCAGAGGCAGATAAAAGACATACTATCGGCCGTAGTTGTGCGGGTCGAGAACCGCGTAGGCACCGCTATCCGTGATGGACTGGATGATCTCCTTCAGGTGCTTCAGGTACGTGGCATCCAAGCTGCCAGACATGTCGTTCGGGACGAGTCGCTCCATGAGGAACGGCACCCGGAAGATGTTCATGCCCTCGTTACGCAGGGCCTGGATCTTCGAAATGTCGGGGAAAGTATAGTCGGTTCCCGGAGTGCCAGGGATGTTAGACTCGCCAAATTCGGCGCCAGACTCGTTGACACCGACCCCTAGACTGTTAGTATTTATTACTGCCAGGGGGGAAAGCATACATACAAGTGAATCCGGTATCACGCTTCTTCATCTCCCTCCGGGGGTAAGCGTGCACCAGGCCGGCGGCGCTGGCGGCCATGATCAAGGCACCGAATCTCATATTGAAGGATAGTTAAAAGAGTGTATTGAAGGTGAGTTAAGAACGAGTGGCTGAGAAGATAATTGCAGAATGAAAGGCAAGAACCGGTCTTGATGTCCAAAAAGAGGCAAACAACGATAGAGCAGCAGGATCGGTGCCTTTATGGGATTGGGCATCATTTATTCATGATCAGCGATGTAATTTCACTGGAGATCTAGGCCAGATCCTGAGACAGACAGGTCGTTTTGGTTCCACATCAGCCCACCGATGGATATATCAATCAGCACTGGAAACTGGAGATTTTCCTTCTCATCTTGGAATTGATCTTGTCTGCTAAGGGTGATAAACTGAAGCCAAAGTGTCGGTATCATGCTTATATCCTCTTGGGTATGATGATGTATAATTCACGATAGGTCCGACAAGGTAATTGAGGCTTTCGGATAGAATACAAACCTGGTCGGACACGGCGATCCTGTCTGCCGAAACGGCAAGATAGGATCCATGAGGACGGAACGTGGTTATGGATGTTCAACATGAAACACGATGCCGTCTCGGAGATTTGTTGACGGGTGGAGCATCCGGGTATTAATTGCCGAGCATCGGCCATCCAGACACAAATAGATTGTGCCTCCCGGGACAAAACTTGCTCGAACATGGGACAGTATATTGAGTGGTGCCCCAGCTCTGGATATAAAGGAATATTATGGGGTAAATCATTGGCGACTGGATCGGGTGTACCAAGCTTTTCATATTCTACCACCCGTGTCATTAATCGAATTTAGCACCTGTCACGGACAGGGTGCTACAACCACGGCAGTATCAGCGGCTTATGGTCGCTCCTTCCAGAGACCAAAGAGCCAAAGATAGCTGTTGCCAGTGCTATGCTGGTGTCTCTGTTATGGAAAGGGCTTAGTGTATCATTATGTTCCATTCATCTATCCAAGAATCGTCGCTCGGGGTATCAAACGCGTCAAACGAACCATCGAACATCGCTTGCCATTCGGATTTTGTCAATGGCGGGTCGTTATATTCCAGTGTCAATCCGTACGGCTCGAACTGTTCACGTAGACAGTCCATGCGGTCCCAAGGATATTCCATAGGCTCGGCACTTGCCATACGCGGGGAGAATTCGACGCGGATCTTCCTCAGAGCTGACTTGCGCGCGACGGCTTCTTTCATAAGTCCTCGTAGCCAGGATTCCTCCTGATCATTGAATCCGCTCCACTTGAGACCATATAAGATTTCCTCTTCAAACGACCATGTGAAAGTGTGGAGTTTGGGTCCCAGGAGCAGGTCTGCATGGTCTGGAGACCACCGGAGAAACTTTCGCGTTTGGTGCCCATTCACTGACCCCATTACCCACCTCGAGAGCAGAAGCGTCTCAAGATTTGGAAAATCGGCTGCATTGAACAAGGTCTCTGCGCTTGCGCCTTCGGCGAAAAAGGAACCTATCTCTATCGTTCTAAGCGTGTCCCGGTGGCCTGATAACCACGAATGAAGCATAGGCAGATCGGCGCCGTCGATGGGCGACCGGTGCAGGGAGAAACAGACCAGCTCTTTGGGCCATTGGATTAGCTGGGCAATCGCGTCCGGGGATGCCCTAGTCTCGGAGATATCTAGTGCCTTAAAGGAGGCCGTTTGGTAGTCCTATCTCGGGTCAACGTCGTGCTAACATCGGAGGCGGAAACCATTCATGGGATCAATAATTACCTTGGGCTCCACACATGCCGGGCCACTCTCAATCTCTCCAGCTCTCACCACCTGTAGCTTCTTCAGTGATGTGAAAGGGACTTGTTTCACGATGTCTCGGAGATTCATTCTGGCAAGCGAACCCTTGATTTGAAAGACTGCCAGTTCTCGCATGTGCTGACCGGCTGACCGGATCAAATCCCACGTCAATTGAGTCGGCCGATCATCGGGTCCCGCGACAGTCGCACCATCCCAGGCAGGAAACAACTCAACGGCGAATTCCAGGGTGTGGACTCGAGTCATCCATGCGAATAAATCATCCCAAATACGATAATGATCTCCATCGACTAGGTCTTTCCCGTTAATTTGAACTTCTAGCTGCCGGCACAGTGGTCCCAGTGCTGGAGTCTCTCGCAGTGTTCTATGGAGCAGCATGAAGCTCTCGGGCTCGGGTTTGAGCCTCGGGCTTGGCCCGAACACAATGGTATGGTATATAAAAGGAAGCACCAAGCGGTGGAACCGCCGACATACAAGGGCCACTTGTCTCGTGGATGGGTAGGAGCGAATCGAGTTGTCGAAATCCGCTCGGGGGCTCTTCAGGGAAGCGAAATCAATGATTATCACAAGAACCTCATCTGGGAAGTCGAAGATGGTCAATGCCATGGCCGTGACTCGGTTACGAATTGTGTCGAGACTTGTTGGGTATCAGAACTAAACTTTGAAATACAAGACTCAGCCTTGAGTCTGGGATTGAGCGAGTTGAGATAAAGGTAGGACGTAGAAGTCGTTCAAGACAGATTGAAGGTTGTTCGGCTGGAGGATGGAGAAGAAACCACGCGGGGCGGCCAATCAGCAGTTCATCTCACATACCTAGCACTAGATCATCACTTCTCAGTAGGGATTAGTGGTAATGTCGACATTTGACCATCTCTACGGAGTACTTCTAGACAAGATAGAAATTATATGATTAGTTGCGGCCACTGTGGCTCATTACTGGCAAATGACTTCCTGCCCAGCTCCTCAGCCGTGTACGAGCTCATGATCAACACCACCCCTGTCTATCCAACCAAGATGAGTATGAATACTACCATCCGATTGGCATCAATATAGCCATTGGGCTTCTTGAAAGCGCTGTAGAATAAGCATATAAATGGAGGTATGCAATGTAAGCAAACAGAGAGTAGGTTCATTTAAAATCAATGAACATGACATTCCCGAAGCTATAAAAAGGTTGCAAGATCAATATAAAACCAAAAAGAAAACTGCAAATCCCAATAACAAAATGACAATTAACCGATTGCACCCACCAACTCCGTGCCACTGATCAACTCCAAACAAGAAACGCAACGTCACAACTTGCCATCTCTAAAGAATCATAAAATACACGATCAGTAATATCGTCCAAGACCTCAACAAGAGAAGGGAGATATATCTAAACCTCACTTCCCAGCCCCCACCCACAAAACGGACAGTACTGCAACCCACCAGGTGAAACTGTCGACCAAGCATTCAGACACCTTTCACACGCCTGTGACACATACTGTGGGAGCGGGCGCGGCGGGCCCATATACAGACGCTGGAGGATATCAACCGCCAGAAGAGGGTGCGAGTCCAAGAAGTTCCTGAACTCGAGGTTGGCAATAAGGGCAGACATCCTCACGCAGGCTTCGTCGAGGAAAATGCGCTGTATGTTGCGGTTAGATTCCGATGTCTCTTCCGCCAGAAATGCGTCTCTGAATCCGGCGATGAACTCAGGGAGGGTACGCTCGGGGAGACTGAGGGGGATGGCTTGCTCGGCGCGGTAGGCGAGGTCCCAGATTTCGAACACCTCTGCGAGACGGGCGACCTCGGAGAAGTGCGTGATCGGCGTGTCGGGGAGGATGATTGACGTTAAAGGATTGTAGATGTAGCGGACAAGGATCTCCACTGCGGAGGGAGATTCGTCCCTCATGTCGAGCGTCTGGTGGCTAGTTAGTATAGGTTTGGCTGTGCTTTTTGATCTGATGATCATATGTGGGAACTTACAGCCGGGGAGTCAATGAGAAGACGAGAAAATGTCTCGTTTTGAGAGAGGACATTCTGGTGGGCGTAAAGATCACCCGCGGCAGTGTGAATGATCAGGTTGGGGGGCGGACCTTGATGGTAAGATGATCTGTTTTCTGTTAGCATCGTGGATATATAGATTTTGTTTTATCTTGCTATTGTCTACAATACAATGATAGGGCTATCACTTACTCTCCCACGCTGTCCTCAAATCCACTACTCTCGTCACCAACGGCCCCAGTCATAGGCTGGACGCCAAACCCGAGCTGACTCCCACCGTCAGAACTCAATGTCTCGCTCTCGTCTGAGACATCGCCGTCTGTCATATTGACAGACGACTCTGCCCCATTTGTGAGCCCTGCATTGGCGATGAGAACGGGGCTGGGAGGCGGAGTCAGTTGCCCATCCTCGTTCACGAAGACGGTACTGGGGTTTTCCCATGGAATGTTAGGAGCGTCAGACATTGCGATATGATTTTGAATGTTATGATGGACTCTAAAGATGATCTTCTTCAAGATGATGGTGGTGTATATGGTGAAGGAGATGAGTTGACGAGAGTCGGGATTCTGGCGAGAAAGTGGGAATCCCCCGTCTTGGGGGGTAGAAGGTTCCATCGGGCTGAGCCTGGCCTGGTGACTTGAAAGATCCGTCATTTTTGAAGTCTAACTGTGTATATTGACGGCATCCGTCGTCTTGATGATGGCATGATAGCATCTGCCCGAATGGGAATATCTCCGCAAGAAGAGGATGAGCTCATATAGAACGCAATAGAAGACGGACTATCCCACATGACCATGAAGACATGATAACACCGGGGCTTGTAAATAACATCGACATATACAACTGTTTGACTTGGGAGAGTGAAGTTTTCAAGATATGTCACTAAAGTCCCCACACGACCTACAATAAAGACAGGAATAGCCCTAACTCCACTACCCCAGATCCCCCAAAGTCTAAACCCCAACCATAATGATAACGCCCCTCCATTATCAACATAAAATCAAGATACTAGTGCAGATCATATCGTAACATATCCCCCTTTCCAAAGTCAATAAAACAGGAAGAAGAAAGAAGGAGGGGGCAAAAAACCAATGACGCTCCACATAAACTCGTTCCTTGACATCAACGGCGCGCGATTAATCCCAACCAGCCAACCTGCGTCCACCGCCCCTTCCCTGCATCCAGGTTCACCCTCAATCTGCGAGCGATTATCTCAGCGAATTGCATCTGCTGGTCGAGTTCATCACTTACGCTTGCTGAACCAGTCGGACTGCTCCCCCTTTTTTTACCTGGACCCGCTGCACCTTGGCTGTCGCTTGAGGACAGCCCCCTTCTGACGATTACCGACTGACTACGCGATGTGCGACGACACCCCCAGCATGAGCGATTTGTTAATGCGATGCAGCCACTGCTTGGGTGGATCATGCTCTCGTCTATGCTGATGACTTAAGGATTGAGAAGGACTCGCTACGGGTTGTTTCTTTGGTCTTTTGTTCAGTTTTCTCTTTCTTTTGTATCGGGTCGTTCGATGAGGCTGGATCGCTCACTGTCGGGACAAAAATGCTACAGCCACCCTCCGACAAATCCCCCCTACGGATACACCACCACTACATCTATATCTGCACCTGGGCCTTCGTCGGTTCGATCATTCTCTATCTCCCCGGGAGGCTCACCTACGTCGATGCCCTGCTGCTCGCGACCGGCGCCGCCACCCAGAGTGGCCTGACGCCCGTCGCGCTGGACCGTCTGCACACCGTCCAGCAGGTGACGCTGTGGTTCATCACCATGGTCACCAACATCATCTTCGTGCACTCGCTGCTCGTGTTGATCCGTCTGTACTGGTTCCGAAAACGCTTCCGCAACGCCATCCGCGACGCCAAGTCCGTCTGTCGCACCCAGCGGCGGCGTCAGAACGAACACCTGGCGGAGGTGCAGACGGCGATGCCGAATCCTCCCGGCTGGGAGCCTTCGAGGTATAGCTGCGAGAGCACACCGACTAGGCGGCCGTCGACGGATGGAGAGGAAGGACGGGCGTCCAGCCCGCATATCAGCTTTGATCGCGGGTTGAGACCACTACGACCGCCACGCCGGCGTCGGTCGTACTCGAGCTCGTTCTCGCGGACCACTACGGACTATGGGACCGAGGGGCTGGGCGAGCGCGACGGCACCTTTATGCCCCTGCTACCGTCGCTGACGTGGCAGCAGTCGATTGCCAGCTACTCGGACTGGGACGAGACGCAGAAGGAGGAGCTGGGTGGGATTGAATACCGGGCGTTGAAGACGCTGATGGTGATCTTGGTTTGTTATTTTGTGGCTCTGCATGCGCTGGGCGCGGTGCTGTGTGTGGCGTGGGTCTCGCTGGATGCGCGACATGGGCAACTGCTGGAGGATATGGGGATCGGCCGGTCGTGGTGGGCGGTGTTCACGGCGGGGTCGGCGTTCAATGATTTGGGGTTCACTTTGACGTCGGATTCCATGGAGTCGTTCCGCACCGCGTCCGTGCCGCTGCTGGTGATGACTTTTCTCATCGTGGCAGGGAATACGGGGTTTCCGTGCTTCCTGCGCTTGATCATATGGGTGCTCAGCAAGGTGACTGGGTATGGGACAGCGTTGGATGAGGAGCTGCAGTTTCTGCTCGAGCATCCTCGACGATGCTTCACGCTGCTGTTTCCGCGCGCGGAGACGTGGAGACTGGTGGGAGTCCTCCTGGCGCTCAACGCCTTCGACCTGTTTGTCTTTTATACGTTGCAGACTGTAAGTGCCCACTAGTTGGACGAGAAGCCAACCCACACTGACATCCCGACCAGACTCCCCAGGAAATCACCCCCGTGGCATCCGGGATGCGTCTCATCAACGGACTCTTCCAGATCGCCTCGACCCGGACCGCCGGGTTCAGCATCACCTCCCTCCGACTCCTCCACCCAGCGGTGCAAGTCTCCTTCGTAATAATGATGTACATCTCCGCCTTCCCGATCGCGATATCCATGCGCAAAACAAACATCTACGAAGAAAAATCCCTCGGCATCTACGAAGACGACGAAGACAACATAGACTGGGTCACAGGACGCCCAGTGCCACCCCCCAACAGCTGGACCGCCCACATCCAGCACCAGCTCGGCTTCGACCTCTGGTACGTGATGCTAGGATTCTTCCTGATCGCGCTGGCGGAAGGCGCACACATGCAGCAGCACCACGGCCCCGACGCCGCCTTCTCCCTCTTCCCGGTGCTCTTCGAGATCGTCTCCGCCTACGGCACAGTCGGATTAAGCCTGGGGTATCCGCGCAGCGAGACGAGCCTGTGCGGGCGGTTCTCATCGGCAGGAAAGCTGGTTATCATTGCGATGCAGCTGCGCGGGAGACACCGCGGTCTACCGCATGCGATTGACCATGCTATCCTCTTGCCGTGTGATGCGCAGCCGATGGGCGGGGATGGCGAGTGGTGGTGGAAGAGGTGGTTGAAGAGGAGGTCGAGTTTGGGGAGTGTGGTGGGAGGAAGAAGGGAGGAGGGGACTGCTGGGGAGGTGGAGAGATTACTTTAGTTCTATAGTATACCTAGTAATCTATAACGAGCTACTTGTTCCAGAGTAGGATAAGTATTTAAGTATCCTATAGTCAATCTATACCTACTAGTAAGCATATGAATATTAACCTAAATCCACAAGTAAATAAAGACATCCCGGTAAGCACGGAGCACTAGCTAGATATCAGATAGTATAACAAAACCATAAACAACGACAGTGAACCACTAGACTCCGCCCATCGAACAAATCTCCAAATCAGGAAAAACATCCAAAACATTCAAAAGCTAACTAACTAGCTAAAGGTTCAAATCCCAGGTGGAGACCGTCCATCCGATACTCCGATTCTCCGATGAGAGGCGAAAATTTTTGATAGTTGATAGTGAAGTGATACCCGTATCGGCGTATCCACTGTTCATTATCCAGTATCCAGTATCCGGTATCCACAGGTATGGGTGGGTATTGTGCCGTGCCGGCCCGTGGCAGAAAAAGATTTTTTATTTTTATTTTTCACTTCTTTTTTTTTAACAGGAATTGGATGAGTATAAAACTGAGGGTAAGAATAAATTCTATCTATCTACTCTACGGAGTACAGGGTGAGATATAGGATGGGTTTTATTTGGAATCAAATTCAGAAGTCAAGTTAGATTTCTGGAGATGAACAGATTTAGGGCTCATGTCTCCATTTAATGACTGAAAGGCATAGTGTATATTTTCCAGAGCCTCAGGCTCAAACCTCAAACCTCAAACCTCAAACACAAGCACAGGGAGTCGGATAGATCGGTAGACCGGTTAGGTAGACAGAAGACTCCACAAGCCGAGGCTCGTGATATTGTCCCGGCAGCATAGACGGAGAATCCACTCTTCTTCAGCTGGTAGTGCTGGAAGATCACGGAACAGGAGCTGAATGATAGGTAAAAACCAGTGGGAACTAGAAGATTCTGGTCCAAGGACACTGACTGACTCACAGGGTGGGGACAGCAACTACAGCAACAACCTCCGAGTCGGCGATTTGGATGCCGTGCCCGATCGGATTATGGATCAAAGTTGTGCTTTGGTGAGTCACATTTGGTTTAGTTTTAGTAATGTTTGTGGGCATAATTTTGGTGGGCCGTGCGTATAATTATAGGGAATATTTATGTACATAGCTATGCGTTGATTATGCTATATATAATCATAAGTGATAGTGATCAGTGATCAGGGCTTCATATTGTCCATTCCTTGTTGGAGACTGTCAATCCAGCTAGACATAACCTCAACAAGAATCTACTCTTGCATCATCACAATCTCATTGTCCTTGTCCAAGATCCGCCCCAAGAGACCCGGTTTGAAGGGGTGGCTCACGTGGCTGGATGACGTCAGGACTTTAACACCCTCAGAATGAGGCCATGCCAAGACCGTCCAGCAGCCGAGGCACTCCCTTATGCACAATTACATCCAGTCATCCACCCACTCGGCGTGACACTTCCAGAATGACCGTTCGTCGCGTGGTGGGGCCTCTTGGCTGGCTGTCTTGGAAAGAATGTCGGACAAGACCGTCTCGGATATGTGAGATGGGCTGATTATATGCATATTTCCATCTCTATCTAATCTATCTATCTGCCTATCTCCGCGGATGGTCACAAGCCACAGGGGCCCAGGGCGGTGCTCGATCCTTGGGATCACTCGGGCATGATGATCTATTCCTACTGTGGAATTGCATTTGCTTATGTTGGATCTTGCTGTAGTTGTACTTCATGAAAAGAGATCTGCCTGGGTGTAGGAGTTCGTATTGCGTACTCTGGAAACGTTATTCTGCTCCCCGCTGGTAGATCTGCTTGGCGGATACTGCAGGATTGTGGACAGTAAGATTCATAAAGGCCACGTCGACTGGGCGGTGAAAAGATATCATCATTTAGTCCCAACTTGGGTCTGTCAGTCCCGCAAGGAGGCAGACGCCAAGACTGGATTATCATTTATTGTTTATTATTTATTCATGTAGCGTGTATAGTGTATAGTGTGGATGGTGTCCTTCGGCCTCTTCTAGAGCCGCAACGCGTTGCCCCGCCGTTGGTAGATGGCTCGGTCCCCGTGCGTCAAGGCGTGCTGGCTGCGGATTACGTGGGCGTCTGTGGTCTTCTCTTCCTTTTCCTCTTCATTTGCGATGCGGTCTGCGGGGTCAGGCTGAAACAATTCGATCTTGTGGCTGATAGACTTTACCGTTTAGTTCTACATTTCTGTTAGGGGGTCAGGGGGATAGTAGGGTATGCTATGGCTAGATTCGCCTCTGACATGGGGGAAGAATGATGATGATGATGATGATATCAATACCCCGTTGGACCACCAAAACAGAGCCTTGTTGGGGGAAGAAGAGGGGCACTTGGCATAGCGTAGCTGATGATCATTGCAGGGTTCTTCCCCCTCAATAAAGACCAGTATTGGTTCCCATTGGATCCTCGTGGTTTGAACGGCCCGTGTGAGGTGAACACGAGCGATTCAATTGAATGATTAAAAATCCAGTGGTTTGAAATCAAGGACTGATTGTAGTAGATTGATGGAGAGCGTCCATCGAGTTCCATGGACTTGGGCGAGTGAACGCCGAGCGGCATTGCTCACTAATGCCTGTTGGCCCAGGCTAGACCCGGGCCCAAGGATGGTTCCTCCGCGGGTGAGCATTAATAATGAGTTAATGACAGCCTGGGGTGCCATAAACCCGAATCTCCGTCACGGTCTGGAATTCTGGATAATTAGTTTGGATTTTGTCCTGCAGTACCGATTGATGCTGCCTTCTTGACTAGGAATGTGCAAAGTTAGTGAGGATTGGTCTTCCCTCCGGATGACGGAGACAGACAGAGTAAGTATGAAGGATACCGGACATAGGCCATCCGATGCTTGGCAGAGACGGAAGAGAAGGAGAGAAGGAGGAGGCGGTGAAGTGGAGAATTCTGTCTGACTGAATTCAACAGCCGATCCACGGATTCCAACTGGGTCAATCGCGGTTCGGACTTAAGCGGGCTCTCGGAAGCTGAGAAAATCAAGGAAAATCCACTAGAAAATTACTAACGACTAGTTTTCCGACCACTTTTTTTTCATTATTTTTATGCTTGGCCCAAGGGATATTAGAAATAAAAAGAATTTCAAAGTAAAAAAAGAATCGTTCAGCCTGGAAAAGTCTATCAGAAATCCGGATATATCAAGTCCCTACCTTCCCCCGTCGATCATCGTAAATGTGATTCATATATTTCTTCCTCTGTCCACTTCATCCATCCGAATTCTTCTACATCGACTACTCCTCCATCCTACATACCAGGAATTAAAGTACCTACATACTACAACCACCACCTGCTGAACACATCACCACGGACATTCATACTGCAGACTTTCTACCGATCCTCGCCTCATCGACTCCCAACATCTCAACCTATCAACTACTCCCACCCCTAGCACGGACTATTGCTGCGACAACGACATCCTGCAAGGTGGAGACGATAGCGAGCATTGTGAAGATCTATAAATTCGGTCAAATTATAATATCCCTGCAAAAGTCTGCCTGACTCACCGCTTCCGGTTGCGCCGATCCGCGATTGGACCAAACGTCCCCACCGCCGGATCCAGCCAGGAAGTGACTGCCTGAGTCACCGCGACGAGTCAATTTGTCTGGGCCTTTGCGGGAGCTGGACATCCATTCGCCATGACTACTTCTACTTCTACTTCTACTTCCACTTCCACTTCTCCTCCTCCTTCCTCCTCTTTCTCTCTCTCTTCTCCTCTCTACACTTCTTCCTCCCCCAGCTCCTACTTCACCTCATTGGCTCGTCGCCGCCAACAGAAGAAAATGAGCGTTACTCAAACCTACTATCTCGCCCACACCGCCCGCAAGAAGCTCACCCGGGAAGCTTCGCGGGCGGACCACGACCTGCGTCTCCTCGTCGGCCATGCCAACCTCCTCGATAACCTTATGCTCGACCTCGCCGATGCAGAGCAAGAGCAAGAGCGCTGGTTCAACCAGACCGTCAGCGGTGTCAACAAGAGCGTCCCCCAATCCGAGCGCCGACACATTCAGTGGGCCGACGCCCTGGTCGAGGACCCCGAGGAGGATTGGGATGCTGAAGATGTCTCCGATGCCGACTCCGACCTCAGTGACGACTCGGATGACCTCAGCGATGATGATTATGAGCTGAACGAGGACTTCACCCCCGTCCGCCGGCGGGCCCCGTCGCCGGTGGCCATCGTCACCGAGAAGGAGGTCTCTGCCGATGACGACTCCGACTCCGACTCGGAGTTCGAATACGAAGACGACGAGGATCTGAGCGATCTGACTCTGACCCGCTCGCCCTCGCGACAGTCGCCTCCCGACCTTCTCCCCGACTCCGATGGTGAGTCGGAGGATGACGCCATGCCGCCCTCGCCTCCCCAGCCGATGCTGGAGTTTGGAGAAGAAAAGACCCCTCAAACCACGGAGATTCCGCTCTCCGATGCGGGATTCGAATCCGAGTTTTACGTCCCCAGTCAACCGCAAGGCCCTGTCATTGAATCTTATTAAGATGATTTGAGTGCTTGCTTCGTTGTACCCATACGTGATACCCTGGTTTTACTTCATTCGCATTTTCTTTTCCACCACAGCATCATCGGTTGAGCATTTGTCCTTGCATACGGCGTTTTCATTTGGGAGGATTAAAAAAGAATGAGAGGATGGGATCCATATCGGGCACCGACCTCGATGGATCTCCGTGGTTCCAGACCACATCCTTTGGCATTATTTGGTGTTCAGGCCCACTTTTTGGGCCGTGATTTGTTTCTTTTCCTTTTCTCCATCTCTACCATCTCTACTTTGCATATGTTTCCAGCGAGCAGACCACGCAGGCCGCGGCTTTTTTTGTATAGCGCCTAGCATGGCATGAAGATCTACGATGATGACCCGTATATAGCTCGCATTTACATCTAATCAATCTTCAATAACTCATCTCAAACCAATCTTCCTCTCCTGTTCCTGAATAGAGTAAAATCAAATCAATCGAATAAATCCTTCGATCCTGTCCAAAGGCAGGTACATTATGTCCTGCCCAATCCGGGCCTGACGCCTCATCAACTGGCATGTGAGGGCGCCGCTCGACCCAGACGCGCCTTCACCGCTGGATCCATCCCGGATCAGTGACGGATCAATCACAGGCGGATCAACCGCTAGTGTTAGGACTAGTTGGGACTGGACTGTTCCTTGTTGAATTTTTTTTTTTCTTCTGTCTTTTTTGGAGGGAGACAAGTCTCAACAGGGGCTTTCTGCAGGGTGACTTGTTTCTTGTTTCTTGTTTTGTACTTTGGGTGTTGGGCGTGGGTGTGTCGGGTGGGTTGATCCGTTGATAAGGATAAGGTCTTGTGGCTGTTCTATCTGTTGGTGATTCGATGGTACTTTTAATATTATAATTTACAATAAATAGTTATAATGATATTACCATAAATGTTCCATAATATTTACAATATATAGAAATGTATACTAGAATACAAGGTCAGTAAGGTGACTGACCTGCCTGGTCAGGCAGCAATACGCGCCCGACCGCCTTGATCTGCCGTCATACCATCGCCTCCTCCAACCACTTCAACAATCTCCCCATCTCAGCTGCATCCGGAAGTCCTATCCTTAGTATCCTGTCCATTCCAAAGCTACCCTCCCTCGTTCCTGAACGGGTAGCTCGTCGCCCGACATTCCTCCCGACCTCCCTCCATCAAACCATGATCGTCGCCCTTTCGAGGGGTCCACTGGCTGAACTTCACGAGCTTCACGCTGGCTGAGCGGCACAGGCCCCTTGCTTCTTCACCGGCATTGATTGGCCGCCGGAGTCGGTGCATTATCGTCCTGCAGAGCTTATCGGGACTGCAGTGTCTTGTCTGATCCTCCCACCTTACTCTCCACTTCCCACGACAGCCCCTATCATGTCTACCGCCTCCCCGAAACCGTCTCCCAGGCCGTCCCCGCGCCCCTCCCTTGACGAAGAGCGTCCGGAGACCCCCTCCCAGTCGAGTACCGAGCAGACCTCCCAGACCGACAATAGCCCCCGCAGAAAGTCCATCCAATTCAGCGTCGCCTCGGCGGCCGAACCACAGCCGGAGCAGCAGCGCTCCTCCAGCGCGTCCGGTCGACGACGACGGGTGTCACAGCCCGACGTGCCGGATCGGGAGAAGGACAAAGACCGCAACACTGGTCGGGGGGTGTCGCCTCCACCGCCCAAGTGAGATGTCCCACACAGACCAGTCGGGTACACAGCTAACAAGGACAGAACCTACGAACGTGGCGTCTCGTTCAACACCTTCGACAACCCCGATGCAGCCGACTTCTCCCTCACGCTGAACTACAAGCACAAGGGATACCAGTGCACGCGCCGCAGCCGGACGTTCCTCTGCGGGACGGACCAGAACGACTACTCCGACTTTGCGCTGGAATGGCTCATCGACGAGCTGGTGGACGACGGCGACGAGATCGTCTGTCTGCGCGCTGTGGAGAAGGACTCGAGCATTGCCAGCGATGCGGGCATCGAGGCGGGGAAGCATCGCCAGGAGGCGGAAAAGCTCTTTGAACAGGTGATCCAGAAGAACAGTCAGGACGAGAAGGCCATCAGTTTGGTTCTGGAACTGGCTGTCGGGAAGGTGCAGGACATAATCCAACGAATGGTTTGTCTTCTCCTCTGCCTTTCCCATCTGCCTCTTCTTTCCGTAGGAAGCTAACCAGTCAGATCCGAATCTACGAACCCGCCGTCCTCATCGTCGGCACCCGCGGCCGCAGCCTCGGCGGCGTCCAAGCCCTCCTCCCCGGCTCCGTCTCCAAATACTGTCTTCAGCAGTCCCCGATCCCCGTAATCGTCGTCCGACCGTCGCCCAAGCGCGAGAAGAAGAAAAAGAAGCGCATGGCGGACCCCACCCGCCGCAGCTACAACCACATCCTGGAGATGAGCGAGCGCCGCGGCAGCCACATCTTCGACCGCAAGTCCAGCGCCGAGAGCAGCACCGCGCGACTCCCCGACGAGGAAGCCGCCGTCGCTGCCGCCCTGGGCCTCCCTCCGTCTTACCAGAACTCGCGCACCTCGCTGTCTACGTCCGAGCGCAGCGGCAGCGTCAGCCACGAGGACGCCAGCTCGACTGGAGAGTCACCCGACGCTGCAGTGACTAGCCCGCTACCTGACAGTGTGGATAACACGGAGTCGGAGGGTGAGAGCGATGCTGATGATGAGAAGGAGAAAGAGAAAGAGGACCAGCCGGTCTATTCGTCGAACCCTAATATCCCGTTGATTGTCACGGGGGATGACACGGTCACTAACCAGTAGATCTGACTTGATATGCTTTAGATTAGTTGACGGATGGATGGTGCTGTATACCACGACTGATGTTTACTAGATAATGAATTCTACTCATGCTTATTAGTATTACTATCACTTGTTTATCCGTATCTACCACCTCCCTAACACCTCCCCACCACCTACATACCTACCTACCCACCCATTTACACAACTACCCACATCCATAACCAACCAAGTATCCAAAAGTACCCAGTCAGTCAACAAAAAATGATGATACCAACCAACAACAGAACCCCCAGTAAGGCAAATAAGTACCATACTATCTATACCAGCAGTGTATACAGAAGACCCAACCGGGCCCAGCATTAACAAAACTGAATAGAGACTGAGCAGATAGACACTAGATCCATAGACCCATAGATCCATAGATACAGAGTTAGATAAGATAACTCATCCAGCGGTTAATGAGTTTGGCGGTATCCATGGATTGTGGAAAGTATACTAGATTACAGTGATTGGGTTGTCGGTTGTGGCTTTACTTTCCTCAACTGTACATCCTATACTATGCTAGTTACTATGACTAGATGTTATCGTGTTGAGTTGCAAGTGGGTGAGTATGAGATAGGATAGGTATGATAGAACAGGATACAGTCTGAATAGTAGTTGAAGGTAAGTGGGTGGATACTACCTACTCCGTTCAGCACTACGAATACATCTACGACCCCAAATCCAATCCCTTACAATATCACATATCAACCCTAACCCAGCCAAAACCTACACAAGAACCCAAACCTAGTCCTAAAAAGAAGAGTGAAAGATAAACTGATAGTAATAGTAATAATAATAATACTAATGATAATAATAAAAAACCGAACTTTTCTAAAAAAGGAAGCGAGAATCGAAAGATAGGAAAAGTAACATAAAAAGAGAACGTCTAACCATATGCAATGCATACACAAAACACGCGCAAATGAGATAGGAAATAACAACAGGATACGAAAGAAAGAAGAAAGGAGAATCAGAAAGATAAGGACCGGGCACAGTATTGTCGTCAATCAATCCTGGGCTGGCTTGCTTTTTCTTTCTTGCTTGCTTGCGTTCTTCTTTCTTTCTGTGGTCTCTCCTGCCGGGAATCAAATCAATCATTCAATCCATTAATCACTTCCGTTGGGGGTGTCTGAACATCCCTATAAGTGATTGATAGATAGATGGTGGAAAAGGTGGGTGTAGTAGGAAAGTAGGTAAAAGGGCTCTCCGGGTATTTTGAAATGCAAGAAGCAATTAAAACACACGAAGGAACAAAATGAAAAGCAATCATCAAAGAAAGAAACAAGGAAAGGAAAGGAAAGGAAAGGAAAAAAGAAAATCTCCATGTTCAAAGAAGAAACATTCCAATCTTCAGCTAGATTGTCTTTTTTGATTCTCCCTCTGGTTCGTTCGTTGGTCCGTCCATCATCGATCGTCATTACCGTCGCTTTTATTTCTTGGATGTGTTTTTTTTCTTTGTTGATTTTTTGACTTTTCTCTTTTTTTTCCCGCTCGTTCATTGTGTACATTCCATATGTCCCTCCGTCAAAAAATATAATCATGCACGAGAAGGGAAGAGGGGAATAGACAAAAAAAAGAAACAAGAAAAGAAAAGTTGTGAAAGAATGAAAGCCACGTGTCTATGACGCGTCGGTGCCGTCCTTAGACGGGGTCTTGGACGGCCGTCGCTCCACGGCGGGCTGCGACTTGCTGAGCATCGGCGAGGTGTGTGCCGACGGCGGGGACGTCGCGAGACTGTCGTGATCCTGCAAGCTGGCCAGGGCACTACATTCAATTGTTAGTCGAGTCAAACACATCATGAGGGGAACGAGAAACTGTACCTGAACGCGTTCATCGAGGACGCGGCCTCCTTGTCTTCCTTCTTGCCGGCGGGCGGCGTGCCCGTACGGCTGCTGGCGCCGCTGTCGTCGCTGCCGCGCACCAGATTGCCGCCGGGGCCCAGGTTGCGACGGCTGTTGCTGCGCGATCCAAGCATGCTGGACGGTCCGAACGACATGGGCTGGCTCGTGTTCCGCGCCGTCCGCAGACGTCGCAGATCATCGCTGCCGACCTTGCTCGACGCGTAGTCGGGAGGGGGCGCCTGGTGGCCGTAACCACCGAAGTTGCGCGCATCACCGCGGCCCATGGCCATCCGGCCGCCGCCGCGGTTGTTCTGCTGCTGCCGCATCCGTTCCATCTCGGCTTGTTGCTGAGCACGGGCGGCCTGGACGAATCAGCACAGTTCCAGTTATTGTTGAAATTTCTTTCAAGGGGGAGAAGGGAAGGAAAGGGAGAACATACCTCTTCACGGATTTCGTGGATGGTCTTCGGTCCCTTGTCGGAATCCTTGGACCTCCAGTTGGCAGCACGGAGATCAATGATATCCTAAAAGAACCGGTTAGCATGAATAGATAACCAGATGGGAGAAAAGAGATACATACCAGAATCATGAAGCGCATACGGCTGGGCAAACCTTCGGTCTGCACCATCATCTTAATCCGCTGGAAGTACACGTCCATCATGGCGTGGCCGCGCTCGGAGACGTCGAGGCTGGCACCGATGGTGCGCAGCAGGCTCGTCAAACTCTCGACCTCGGCCTCGTCGGGCATGCCCTCGTAGTCGACCAGCTTCTTGACACACTCGTGCATGATACGCTCCGTCAACATGCCCAGCTTGTACAGCTCGCCGATGAACTTGACCAGACCCAGACCGCGTCGCTTGGCGGCGGCGGCCTTGTAGTACTCGTCGGACATCATGGCGGCCTCCTCGGTCTCGCCCTCGGGCTTGGGCGGCAGGTTGACCTTCCAGCCGCGCTCGAACTCCTCCTGACAGCGGTTGAGCAGGTACTTGCGGAACAGGCTGCCGCCGGCGACGACGTTGCCGGCCTTGTCGTGGATGTTGTCGTCCTTGATGTCCGGGCTCATGCTCTCGAGCATGCTCTTGCAGAACTTGGCGTAGATGGACGCCCAGTGGGCCTCGTCGGTGGCCTTCTCGAAGGTGAGCTGGATGACCTGGCGCAGGGTCCGGCCGTCGGTCTCGTCCTTGGACTGCGAGACGATCTCCAGGATCTGGCCCGAGATCCGCGGGAAGTTCTCCGGCGTCATCTTGTTCAGCGCACCCTTGACCTTCCGCTGCACAACGTCGGGCGGCAGATGGGTCGAGCCGGGGGCAGGCCCGGCCGCGGCGGACTGGACCAGGCTGCGCGGCTTCCAGCCGGAGGACGAGACCTGCAGGGCCCCGACGTCCATGCCGGCGGTGAGGGGCATGCTCTTGGCCAGCTCCTCCTCCTTGCGGTGGTGGTTCTTCTCGCGCTTGCTGGTGTTGCGCGTGTTGGACCGGGGGCCGGAGCCGACCCGCGGGGACGGGGGCATGCCCATGGCGTTGGACGAGTTCGTGCGGCTGAGCGACGGTCCGCCCATGCGCATGTTGTGGAACTGGCCGAAGGGGTTGCCACCCATGGAGGCGGCGCGGGCGACGTTTTGCAGGCGGATGTCGGACGGCGTGCCGGGACCCATGCTGCTCCGCGACGGGCCCATGCCGAAGTGGCCCATCTGAGGGGCGCCGGGGAGGCCGCCGGTGCGCGAGCCGCTGCGGCTGCCCATCGGGGTGCGCGCCGATTGGGGGCGGGAGGCGGCATCGCTGTCGCCGACGGTCTCGCGCACGCGGGCGTCCCAGTCGATGGACGGCTTATCCTTGAACACGGACTGGAACTGCAGCAGGAACTCCTTGTTGTAGTGGAACTTCCGCTCGGTCGGGGCGCTGGCGTTGAGGGCCGGGTTGGGAGAGACGATGGAGTCGGGGTAGGTGACCTGGCTGAGATCGCGGAGGAAGCGGGCCGACTGCAGGGCCTTCATGGCGGCGCTGGGCTGCGGCGGCTCGACCGGCTTGGTCTCCAGCTTGAGGGCGGCGGGCTTGGGCTTGGCGGCCGCGGCGCTGGCGGGCTTGTCGGGCGGGCCCATGGCATCCGCGGCGGACGCGGGCTTCGGCGAAGTGCCCTTGGCGGCGGCATCGCCCTCGGTCGGGAGTCCCAGGCGCTTGCGCTCCCGGGCCTCCTCGACAGCCTCGGCCTCGCGCTCGGCCTTCTTCATGTTGGCCTCGTAGTTCTCGAGTTCCTCCTTCTCCTTGCGATCGGCCTCCTCCTTCTTGCGCTGCTTGTCCTCGTTGTACTTCCGCTCGATCTCGGCCTCCTTGGCCTCCATCTCGGCGATCTCGCGCTCGATGGCGTCGTAATCGATTTCGTCGTCGTCGGCCGGAGCGGCAGCCGGAGCGGGGGCCGGGGCAGGGGCAGCCGCCGCGGGCTCCTCCTTCTTCTTCTCCTCCTCCTCCTCCTTCTTCTCCTCCGGCTTCTCCGCCTCCTTCTCCTTCAGGCTGAGATCCTCCAGACCCTGGCGGGCCTTCTCCTCCTCCGTGGGAGCGGGAGCGGCCTTGGGGGCCTCCGTCGGCTTGGCAGCGGCGGCAGTAGCGGCAGCGGCCTCCTCGGCCTGGCGCCGCTGGTCAGCCTCATCCTGCTCGATCTTCTGGCGCACGGCATCCTTGAGCTCCTGCTTCTTCTCCTCGTCCGTCTTGAGAGCCTTGGAGTCCGTGCGAGCGTGATCGGCGCGCGGGGGCGGCGTGGCGGTCGGGGTCGCGATCTTGACGGGGGACGGAGTGGCGCGGGCGGGCGAGGCCGGGGGCTTCTCAAAGGACTTAACGGAGCCGGTGCCGGGGTCCCGGATGACGATGGGGCTGCGCTTGGCGGGCGGGATGACGAAGTTCTTTGCGGTGGGGTTGGGGCTGTTGCCCGCGCGGCTGCCGCTGTGGGCGTGGCCGGGACCGGCGGGTCCGACCGGGGGCGGGGGCCCCTGGCCGCCCAGGCTCGAGCCAGGTCGGTCGTTGGACACCTGGGAGGGGGTGCGCGACAGCGGGGTGGCCTGGGGGGGACCGGCGGGCACGGGGTACTGGCCCTGGACGAAGCCCGGCTGGGCGGGGTAGGGGATGCCGGGCCGGGGTTGGGGCGACGGGGGGGTCATGAACTGCATGCCGTAGTTGTTGGGCGGGTAGTAGCCGTAGCCAGCATCGTAGGGGTAGTTCTGTCGATGTTTCATCAGCGTTAGATACTGCTCGAACTGACCACTCTCAGGCGCCAAGTTGGGCGGCGGCAGCGGCACGGGACCTTGGAGCCGCGGGGGGTGGGGAACATGGGGCCCAGTGAGCATCGCCGCGCGCGAGCCTGCCCGACGCCGGGGAGGCAGGCCGCGGCGCGGCGGTCTCGGGGTATGGGGGGGTGAGGATGGGAAGGGGGAGGAGGTTGATGATGATGATGATGAGGTGGGTGGGGTCTCACAGTCTGGGGGGCCATGTGTTGCCCGTAGCCGTAGGGCTGGGGAGGCATCTGGGGATGGGCCATGGGGACCTGGTTCATCTGCGGCGTGGTGGCCGGGTGGGCGTTGGCCAGGGCCGGGCTGCGGTTGGCCTGGTGCGGCGAGTTGGGGAAGGGGCCCATCGGGCGACCCTGGTTGGGGCCATGGAACTGCGGGCCCATGTTGGGACCGCCCCGGGGCTGGTTGGGGGAGCGGAAGTTGGGACCGGGCGAGTAGGGCATCTGGCCCTGATAGCCCGACTGCGAGTATCCGCGACCGCGGCCACCCTGGTGCGGGTAGCCACCCCGACCGGGGCCACTGCCCATGTGGTTGCTCATATCACTGTGCGTAGACTGGGAGGATTCGCGGCGCAGGTGAGTGGATTGAGGACCGGGACCCAGGGGGGCTTGGGACGACGGGCGCATCTAGAAGAGGCGAGTCGAGCGTTAATAAACTAGATTCACCCTCGAGGAATGTATGCCAAGCAGGGGGAAAGAATCTTCTGCGGTGTGGAATGATGGGATCGAGATGAAGATCATCTCGTGTGGGAGGTGAAAAAAAAAAAAAAAAATAGAATGGGAAAAAAAAGACGGGAAGATCATAAAAACAGACACGAAACAAACGAAGAGAATGCCAAGACACGACCAGGCCCGTAAATTTTTTCCGGTCTCTTTTCTTTGGGCCGCCCCGATCCGATTGTTCTTTGTGTCCGACGCACCAGATTGTTCACCGCAGGAAAGGAGCGCAGCGACACACAAATCACATGGAATCGAGTACGAAACACCAGCAGATAACACGTAGTAAAAATAGATAATAATAAAATAAAATATGCACGATTCAAAATCACAACCGGAGATGAGGCGAAAAAAAAAAAAGAAAAGAAAAGAAAAAAGAAAACTTACGTTGTCACCAGCCTCACCGAAACTTCCAAAGTTGGGAACGTTCCCCTGCGACTGATAGGACGACGGAGGAGGACGACCGCCGCTGGAGGCCGGCTGAGGGATCGGCGAGGGCGAAGTCTGAGGCGAAGTGATGCGCGGGTTCGCCGTGGCAGCGACGCCCAGACCCGACTGGGGCGGACCGGACAAGGCGGCCGGGGCCCCCAGGTTGGGAGAGGTCTGCTGGTTGGCGAAGCCAAACTGCAGACTATTGGGACGCGAAGACGGACCCCCGTTGGGGATGTAGCCCGAGGTACCGGCGGAGGTGATGGTCACGGAAGGTTTTCTGGCGTGATCGGGCTGGGACGAGTTCGCCGGGACGGAGGGAGAGGAGGCAGAGGCGGCCGGGGCGCCATTGACGATGGTGACGCCCGGCGACTGGGACTGCTGCATGGGTTGGCCGCTCACAGGAGATGGTGCAGACGACTTCCCATGGTGCGACGAGCCGCCCACGGTGACGGGAGCGGCGGTGGAGTCCGTCGCGGACTTCTTGGTGGCACTAGCGTAGGAGGAGCGCGAAGACGAAGAGGTCGTCGTCGCTTGATTCGCGGTGGCGGAGGAAGGAGAAGAGACGCCGGACTGTCCGTTAGATTGAACGTCTGCCTTGGGAGGGAGCGATGTCATTAGACAGGTTTGAGGGGGGGGAGGGGGGAGGGGGGAGAGGAGAGAGATTTTAAAAAGAGAGATGAATAATAAGAGAAGAGCTCTCAGATGTGGGAGAGAAGAAGAAGAGAAAGAGGAAGAGGAAGAAGGTGAGAATGAGATGACGAGAGGGGGAGAGAAAAAGATGAGAGCGCGGGATTTAGTCAGGAAAAAAAAAAAAAAAAAAAAAAAAAAAAAGTGTGGGAGAAGAAAAGACAGAGAGTTGGTTGGTGGAGTGGAGGGAATTGTGGAGGGACGACTGAAAATTCACCCAGCAAATAGAATACATATAAAATATATGATATAATATGTATGATAAGAGAGGAATACAATATGAAATATGATCATATAAATTACTGTGATTGAATCAAGGACGGTCACAATCCCTCAGTGTTCTCTGTGGATTTGGCCTGAGAAATCAGGGCATCTCCAGCGGAAGCGAAGATGAGGCGACGATGCTAACTATACGGCATTTAATTCAGTGATCAATACGAATCTATGGAATTAATTATAAATAGACACGAATACAGACAAAATATGAAGACATGAAGAGAAATAGAGTATAAAATGATATGAATGTGATATTGGGATATATTTTAGATGAACAGTTTGATACTGACCTAGATATATATACCTGCTAATCCGTATATCCACCGCATATCCAGACGTGATCTTACACCTCGTGCTCTATTCTCCATTCCCCCTCCCAAATCGAATAGAAGGATACAACAGAATCTCTGAATCTTACCATCAATATCAAACCCATCTACCATGGATAATACATGTCAGTCGCCACCCTGAGGCAACACAACTGCTGCTTGTGATAATGTCAATCCGACCGTGCATAACCGCAGGATGACTCAGCCGGTCAGATCGCCGCATGTCATCATCATGTCTCAATTGAGTCTATTCCCGCCAGTCATCTTACAGATTGTGGTCAGATTCTAGGCACCGACCGGTGCATGCGTTATCATTGGTTACACCTCTCTCTTGTGGTTCTCTTTTTTGTACGAAAGAACGACACATATAGAGAGAGTGCGTGAGATAAAATAGACAATGGTGTATCCTACATGGTAGACCCCGGAAATGGGATCCCCTAAGAATGCCGGGACCGCGTATACTCCGCCATCCCTCGCGCCGCCAGATCCGCTCCCGACGCCGCTGCCGCCCCCCAGCCACTGCGATCCCCAGCCGGACGCGCCGGCGACCGGTCGCGGAGGTCCTCCGGCTCGATGTGGTCGAACGAGTGGTCGCTGCGGTTCTTCCGCAGCGACGACGACGATCCGTACGCCAGGTCGTCGTCCACCGCTCCCGTCTCCAGCGTGCTCTCCTCCCGCGCCAGCGCCCGTCGCACCACCTCTAGCACGTCACGCTGCTGCGAGAGGAATTCGGCCTTCTCCGCCCGCGACATGGACGCCATCTCGCGGGGCAGCATCGTGCCGCTGGCCGACAGCTCCTCCGCCCGAGCATCGTGGCTCTTGCCCGCCGACGTCACCGACGCTACCGCCGCGCTCAGCGTCGTGTACCAGTCGTTGCTGGCCGGGGCCGCCCCCGGCGCGGGGCCAGAACCCCCCGCCAGGGGGATGTTGAACTGGGACAGCAGCGACTGGGCGTACGAGGCCACCCCGCTCGGGGGCGGTGGGGGCGGGTTCTGGGCGGGCAGGCCCAGAACACGCTCCCGAATGTAGTCGATGGCCCGGTAGAAGTACAGCAGCCCCAGGGCCTTGGCCCGCTCGTGGCTGCGGCCCATGAAGTCCTCAATCTCGCGTTCGTGGTGGGTCAGGAACGGATCGACGTAGGTCTGATAGAGGATCCGGGCCCCCTGCGTCTGCGGCAGGACGAGATACGAGAAGAAGAAGAGACGGATCCAGCTGTAGAATGGGATCCTAATGATCACGACTGTTAGTACCGGGATGCGCGGTTCCAGGAGGGGGGAGTGGTGTTTACCATCCGACGATGAAGTAGGTCCAGGATTCCGCCATCAAGATCGCGGACAGGACCACCCAGTACATCAGCCATGGTGCCAGCTGGGAGGGACTGGAGGAACGGAGAGCTTTATAGGAGGCGAAGATGGGGAAGAGGATGGTGATGACCGAACTGGAAACTCATTAGACTCCGACTGAAATTTTTCACGGTGGCCTAAATATAGAGATGAGGAACTTACGAGAACAGATCCGCAATGATGCCGAGCATGATGGCGGTTGTATATCTGGCGGAGGATGCGATGGCTGTCTCTCTCAATCGATTGAGAATTGAAGAATCGGGAGACGCTCAGAGTAAGATTATAGGAGTCCCGAGAGGAAGTCGACGGAGCCGGACGAACTGCGGGGCAGCAATGGGAAAGAGGAAGTAAGGAGAATCTGGTTCGGATGGAGCTCGTTGGCAAGCTGAGGTTGGGCGGATCCACCAGGACCAGAGCCGTCAAATGTGAAGCGGCCAGCCGCAGGGACGGGGCGGACCAAAATCAATAGACGAGAAGGGGAAATGGAAGTGGAGTCAGTCACAGAAAAGGAGACAGAAAAGGGGAGAGCAGAGAGAGATCGAGAGAGAGGAAGAAGAAGAGATCTGTTTCTTATTCTATTTCTATCCTCATTCAGCTCTTTCTCTCTTACTCTCTTTCTCGTTCTTTCTCTGTCAGATCGACTATTCCGTTTCCGATCATGGTCGAGCCTGACCGCTTTCGATCGCCCGATCTTAGTCTTCGCTTGCACCGTATATGATATACTGACGTCATGTTCTTCTCTGTCGATATTGAACATGAATTGAACATTCCGTACGTCTAGAATAGATCAGAAACCGAGCCAAACCGAGCCACAGGAAAATCAGAGAAACAATCTGGCCACAATGAACTTCCCTGCCCAGACAGCATGCCAAGGCGGTGGGAAACTGCCGGCAATGGGCCCACCTTGGCCTCATCCTCATCATCATCATCATCATCCCATCCACATCATTCCATCGTGTTGGCTTGACAGGGTTTCTTTCACTTCTAGGCATCTGTGCATATTACTAGATCTCTATTTAACTTGCTGTTTTCCACCTACTGCTCTTAGTTACACTACTTCTTCCATGAACCATCACTAACTCCATACAACCATTATACATCAGCCATAATGTGTATTGCCTTGTTCTCCACCGCTCATCCAGACTACCCCCTCATCATCCTCGACAACCGCGATGTATGTCTCTGCAAATCTCTCAGACCCTCATACGCTTACTGACTTTTCTAGGAATTCCTCCGACGACCCACCGACCGCGCCGACTGGTGGCCCACCCCGCACTCGAACGTCCTCGCAGGCCGGGACCTCGCCCGCCCCACGCACGGCACCTGGATGGGCGTCACCCGCGAAGGGAAAGTCGCCGTGCTGACCAACTACCGCGAGCAATCCTCCGACAAGGCTACGGGGCGACTCAGCCGCGGCATGATCGTAAACGAGTGGTTGATCGGGGAACCCGACAGCCCCCGGTCCACACGCGACTTCGTTGAACGCATGGTGGCCAGCGACGAGGCGCGGTCCGTCGGCGGGTTCAGCCTCGTCTGCGGCTACGTCGACGAGCCGCTCGCCCTAGTCTCCAACCGGTCCGCTACGATGGACCACGTCTCGTGGGTGGCGAGCGAGCGGAACCAGACCCTGGGACTCAGCAATACCACCTTTGATGACCGGTCCTGGCCGAAGATCCTCGACGGGGAGCGGCTGATGGGCGAGGCGATTGCGGCGCACAAACAATCTGGCGAGGGCGAAGATGCCCTCATCGATCGCCTGCTGGGGGTGCTCAGTCACAACAACCTCCCGCAACTCGGCCCGACGCTACCGCCGAAGACTACCTGCCCTACTTCCGACGGAGCATCTTCGTGCCCCGCATTGGGGCCCGCGATACGGTGCCCGCGTCGGCACCGGCGCTGCAGGACGGGCTAGACACATCGTTCCTGCACGGCCCGTACGGCACGCAGAAGCAGACGGTCATCCTGGTCGGGGCGGACCGGCGGGTGCGGTATTTCGAGCGGACGCTGTTCGACGGTGACACGAACCCGATCCCGGCGGGACAGGGGGACCGGTCGTTTGAATTCGTGGCGACTCGGGAATGAGTGATTATGAGCGACGATGGAATTTTGTACATAGATGATGCATGATGAACCAGGCGTATAGACGCAATACAACATACAACCTCCCATAAACTCCAGTATTCATGATCGATAATTTAATGACGACGTCGGCACTACGCCCTGACCAACGCAATGATTCCCAGTGCACAAGACAGTTGGGGCAAATCAACATCGACCTGACAGAAAGATAAGGAAAACGACGGAATGTAACCTAAACCAACAAACACTGAGACAAAGACAATCAACCCGTGACCCCACCCCACCTATCCTATCCAATCCACCAAGATCCAGTAATATCGAGTCAGACGAAGCAAAAGCCGCTCAGACAGAAGTCTACTACCTACACCACATGTCTTTGTTTCCTACCTACCTACATTCCAATCCCACCTTCCCTCCTATCCGATAGGATCAAATCAAGCCACTTAACAAGATCAGATATACACACACCACACACACACACACACATATGCAAGCAAAATATGTCATACCTCCCCAGTGGCAAACAAGCCGAGCTCTGACCACAACGCCACGCGAAAAATGACAACCAGGGTGGGGTGGCGTGGGGTGATACCGACCTAGTATAGTACGTACTAGGTGTGCAGGGAGTCATCGGGCAGTCCGAGTCAGTCTGTCTAGACCACGGCTGTCTAGTATTTCCCCACATCGGGACTTGTGCGTGGGGGTTGTCTTTGTCTTCTTAAAGGGTAGTATAATGATATACTATGCTGTATACTATATGAGGAGAAAATATTAGATAAAACGCGGAGAAGGAGGGAAAAGTAGGTAAGATCGGCGTGACGCTTGTGTTTTGGGTATCTTGTCGGCGGAGGAATGGGTGTGGGTTGGGGTCTGTTGACTTGGTTGGAATGAGGTTAGTATAGGGTTAGCATGAATTAGTATAGGTTAGTATAAAGTTAGCGACTATAGAAGGTATAATATATGCTTGTTGGTTAGGAGGAAGATGGTGAAGGATTCTGTTGCCGATGGTTAATATTGCGGGGAGAGTCGGGATGAGGTTAGCCCTAATTGTTTGATATCTTCATCTTCATCTACCTACCTATCTATCTAGTATCTATATAGATACATATATTGACTCGATAAACTCTACTTTTTTATTGAGATACCTTGTCTTTAAGTCATTATAACCTCCATGTATCACATATCACCGACGATTCAATCATCTGGACCCCCCAACAAATAAATCCAGTGCCGACGCCGCCCAGCACGCCCAGCCCCTTGGCAGCATCTTGGCTTCGCCAGATTGGGAGCTGTGAGCCGCGGGGAAGACCATGACTTGTGTCCCCGTGGGGGAGCTTATTCTTTTTTTCTAATGCTTTTCTTTTCTTGCTTTTCTTTTTGTGCTTTTCCGTTGGCTGGGGTGGTATTTGTAGGAGGATGTAGGACAGGTCTGATAGGTATAAAATAGCGCATGTATCCCCCTGCATGTGTCTTTCTCTTTCTTTCTTCTTTTTTTTTTTTTTCTCATCCCTAGTTTGACCGAGCCTTGAGACAAGAAAATAGAAAAAAAAGAAGCAGAAGGAAAGAGGAAGAAAAAAAAATGAATGAACCAGCAGACCCCATCCCAACCGGCATCCTCGCCACAGCCAAACAATCCTGGGGCGACCTCTTCCGCTGGAAACAGCGCGTCTCAGTCGTAAACGCCCACGGTGAGACCCGCGCAGAATGGGTCTCCCCCGATCCCATCCAGAACCCCATCAGCCTGCTGTGGCAGCTCTCCCTGCGCGACTGGATCTTCTTCATCGTGGGCTTCTGCGCCTGGACCGCCGACGCCTTCGATTTCCACGCCCTCTCTATCCAGACTGTCAAGCTGGCTGATTACTATGATCGGTCCAAGACGGATATCTCCACTGCGATCACGCTGACGCTGCTGCTGCGGAGTGTGGGGGCTGCGGCTTTTGGGCTCGCGGGTGACCGCTTTGGCAGGAAGTGGCCGATGGTGATCAATATGCTTGTTCTGGGGGTGTTGCAGATTGCGACGATCTACAGTCAGACGTTTTCGCAGTTTTTGGCTGTGAGGAGTCTGTTTGGGCTGTTTATGGGTGGTGTTTATGGGAATGCTATTGCTATGGCGTTGGAGCATTGTCCGTATGTTTTCCCTCTTTTCTTCTTTCCTTCTTCTCCTTCTCTATTACCTGGAGGTATAGACACTGACTTGGACAGTGTCAACGCAAGAGGTCTCATGTCGGGTATCCTCCAGCAGGGCTACTCCCTCGGATACGTCCTCGCAGCATGTGCCAACCTCGGAGTTGGCGGGGCCGTGGAAACGTGGAAGACGGTCTTCTGGATTGCCGGTGCGTACTTTTCCTTCAACTACACCAGCAGTCAGTCACTAACAATAGACAGCCGGCCTCTCCATCGGCGTGGGTGTCATCCGCATCTTCTTCCCCGAATCGCAACAGTTCATCGACGCCAAGAGATCAGGTCACCAGGCCACCGACGCAGCTTCCTTCTGGCGCGAAACGAAGGCCATCCTGGCGCAGGAGTGGAAGATGTGCATTTACTGCGTTATTCTCATGACATGGGTATGCCAAACAAAACTCCCCAAAAAGAAAAAGAACAAAAAGAGATACTGACAAGAAACAGTTCAACTACTACTCCCACACCTCCCAAGACTCCTACACAACATTCATGCGCACGCAGAAAGGCCTCGAGAACGCCGGTGCCTCGCGCGCCTCCATCCTGATGAAGACAGGCGCCTGCGTCGGCGGCACCATCATCGGCTACCTGTCGCAGTTTTTCGGCCGGCGGCGCGCGATCATCGTGTCGGCTTTCCTGTCGGCCTGTTTGATCCCCGCGTGGATCCTCCCGCAGGGGGAGCGCTCGCTCAGCGCGAGTGGGTTCTTTCTGCAGTTTTTCGTGCAGGGTGCTTGGGGCGTTATTCCTATTCATTTGAATGAGTTGTCGCCGCCGGCGTTTCGGTCGTCTTTTCCTGGTTGGTCTTCCTTCTTGTCCTCTCCCTCCTTCCTTCGCGGTTTTTATGCGTGGCATGGAGTCGAGATGAAGTGTATGAATTATTGCTAACTGTGATAAAGGAATCACCTACCAAGTCGGCAACATGATCTCGTCCCCCTCGGCGCAGATCGTCAACGCCATTGCCGAGTCGACGTGGGTGAAGGGCGTTACAGGCGAGCCTGCCCCGGCGTATGGTCCCACGATGGGAGTTGCGACGGCTATCATTGCCACCGGAATTATGGTGACGACGGCGTTTGGGCCTGAGAAGCGCGGGAGACGGTTTGAGACTGTTGTGTTGGGCGCGCAGGATGAGATTACGGCTAAGGCGACTGCTTTGGAGGACGGGTTGGAGAAGCCCGTTGAGGGGGGGAGTGTGGAGGTGGAGGATGCTAGTAAGGGTGGGTTGGAGAAGGAGGTGAAGGTGTAGTTTCTTTTTTTCTTTGATTTGGGGGTCGTGTTAAGAGGATGATGATCGTGAAGTATGGTATACTTCTATTTATGATTGATGAGATGGAGATAGGCAAGGTTTAATTATGAACTTAACGGTCTGATTAGGAATGAACTGTTTTACATGATATACATTCTGGATACCACTACATGATCTACGGAGTAAATCGACTGTAAACGTAGATGAGACCAAGCCCAAGACAGCATCCATACATACAACCTACTATATACAAACATCCTCTCCCCCACCAATATCACCCTCAACCACTTATAAACCACTTAAAACCCTAGACAAACCCAAACCACTGCATATCCGCATCCCCTCTAACCTCAACCGAGTGTCCCACCCCCGGCGCAAAGATCCCCACCACCTCATCCCCATAAACAGTCGTCGTCTCATCCGCACCCACATCCACACTCGCCGGCTCGTCAAAGTTATACCCGAACACACCCGACCACTGCTTGCACGTCTCGTTGTAGTTGGGCGGCAGCAGCGTCTCGTCCACGCCACCGTGGTAGATCTGCATCCGCGGCCGGCTCCCGCTGTAGCCCGGCTCGGCCATCGCCTCCGCGATAGCTGCCCAGTGCTCGGGCGTCGTGACCGACTGCCCTTGCGCGCAGGTGCTGTTCCATGCGGCGGGGATGTCGGCTTCCGAGACGAAGCAGCCGGCTGGGACACCGGAGTAGACTGTCGCGGCGGTGAAGAGGGAGGGGTAGGTTGCGGCCATTACGTTCTTTTTCCTTTGTGTCAGTATGGTCTTACATTGGAATGTTTCGCATTGGAAAGAGAGAGGAAGAAGAAGAAGAAGGAAAAGAAGAGTGGGAAATACCGTCATCATTGCCCCCGAGCTCGTTCCCGTTACAAACACCTTCTTAGTATCCGCCTTGTAGTTTTCAGTCGTCCAGGCAACCATGTTCGCAATGGAGTTGCTGTTGCCGCCGCCGTTGGCCGTCAGCGTCGACGACGAGCTGACGTCCCAGCAGGTGCCCTCGTAGGGACTCTCGGGGTAGATGACGATGAAACCGTGGGTCTCGGCGAGGGTGGCGTAGGGGGAGCCCGTGAAGTATGCCTCGGCGGTGCCGCTGCCTTTATTCTCTCTTAGCTTCAGTAGTCGCGCTTAGGTGGGAAAAATACGTACAGTAGTGGATGGCGACGACAATCCCCGGGCTGGCAGCGAGATTGTTCGGCACGTAGACGAACATGCCGACGTTGCTGGGGTTGTCGCCAAAGTCGGTGACCTGCTGCAGGGATCCCGGGGCGACGGGAGCCTGGCGGGCTTGGTGGGCCACCCCGGCCAGGGCCAGGGTGTAGAGGAAGGGGAGAAGAAGGATGGTGAAGATCATTTTGTCCGGTAGATCTTTGGAAGTGATCGTGATCGTAAGACAACTTCAGAGGGACGTCGTCTGTTTTATATCGCCCTCGGTCGCGACAGGACCTTGGCTAAATTAGGCTATTCCTCACGGACGGATTAGGGTTAGAGATGGATGAGGGGGAACGCGCCAATCAGGGATTCTCCGTTCCTCCAGAATCGGAAGAATTCCATGTTTCAAGGTTTGTATAGCCTGATTCTGCATCGAGACGGTGATCTTCATTTCTCCTCCTCTGGGAGCCCCTGTAATTTCATGGGTGCTGGGTAGATGAAACAGAATAGCCGGCACGATCAAACCAACCCCAGGTATATCCACGAACCAGGCTGAATAGTGAGTTGAAACGAGACAGCACCTCACCGGTCAAAAGGAAACATCTTATAGATACGCCAAGTAGAATTAAAGATCCTTATTATAGTGGTAGACAGGGTTGATATATAGTCAAAAGAGGGAAAACGTCATTAAGTCTTTAGTGCTTTTTAACTCTTGTTATTAAATGACGCAAAGAATACCACTCGGGTATAAAAGAAATCTAGACACTTCTGCGCTCTGTGGGTACCCTTGGATGCACTATCTTATATTGCAACTAAACGTTTATGAAGCAAAACAGTATTCATGTCTCACACTTATCAGCTCCATTGTCTTGTTTCAGATTTGTATTCAAGACAGACCTCGTCCATTTCCCAAGACCACCCACACTGTTCTACCTGCTCGAAGCCATCCACAGCTCCCAGTTTGGTTTTCCAGTACACTATGCACTTTAACTGCAGCATCATGCACACTTTACAGAAGCGCCACCTCGCGCACTGCTGGATTTGGCGGATCATGGTGGCGATCTGCTCTCGGTTGTAGTCCTGGAAGGGGCCCTCGTCCTCAATGTAGATCCTCGTCCTCCTTGTAGAGGTCCCTGTCGTCCGAATAGACGCTTTGCCCGGCCAGCGCGTTGATCTTGAGTTTAGCCGACGCGGAGTAGAGGCGCTTGCTGGCCAATGCCTGGGCGATTTGCATGCCCAGGTCAAGATATTGTATGATCTTTAAGAGGAGTTCCACTAACAAAGGCCCCAGGGCTGGTTTGGGGTTTGTATTTCCCTAGCTTTGATGAGTTAGCTTCCTTCATAGAGAGACGTGTATGTATCTGTGGATGGATAGGCAAGCTTACTTACTGATGTAGGGAGCCCAAATGGCTGGATGAGCAGCTTTGATGCTTGGTTGGCATTCTTTCTCTTCTTTTCTTTTCTTCTTCTTTCTCTTCTTGTTGTTGCTGTTGCTGTTGCCGTTATTGTTGTTGTATGTTGTCTAGTAACAGCCACTACAACAAAATGCAAAATGCTGAACAGCTCTTTGGGAGGGCTTGACTTGTCTGATATCTGTTTGGGGTCAACTCGTTGTCGAGGTTGAAGTTGCTCTGTGAGTGCAGCCAGACGGGGAAGGAACGAAGGTCTCTGATAGTTCAAAAAGTATCTGAAGAATCTTCAACAATTGATTCTTCTCTATTCTAGTTCTATCAGTGAATCAATCTTAATACACCCGGGACTGGGGATTCCTATTTGGGACTTCGTGAATTGTCGTCTTATCTAGAAGGTTGTATTCTGTGAATCTTCAGGTTGATCTGCTTTAATCGAGAACAATCAAAGTAGAACACCAACCTTGGATCTTTCATCTATATTCCGACACTCTATTACACTCAGAGTAATCTACAAATGCGCCTTCGTTTGCCCGACAGGCTCCTTGAACCCCTCGTATCCTCTACTTTTCACATCCGCCAACACCCCACGGAGCCTCCCCAACCCCCCCACATACATCTGCGTCATGGACTTTTTGCCCGGGATATTTTGTCGAAATAGCCACGAAGGCGCGTCACGGAAGATACTCCCCTCCGCCATCGCCTCGCACAGCTCCGCCCACTTCTTCGCTGCCTCCGCAGTGGCCTCGATCTCACATGGGTAGCCACGCTGCGCAGACAGACTCTCCGCCCGCTTCATCAGCCCCACAGCAAAGTCGACGTTTGTCTCCGCAAGGGGGGGTATATTTGCAAACGCGGTGGTGGGCCCGTTCAGCGTGAGGAGGTTCGGGAAGCCCGCGACAGACATACCCAGGTACGTGGATGCTCCGTGGTTTTCCCACAGGTCGTGCAGGCTAGTCGGGCCATGGCGTCCAGTGAGCGCGACACTGGAATAACTACCCGTGAAGGAAACAAACCCCGTCGCGAGAACAATGACGTCCAGCTCGTGGACCGTCCCGTCCGCCATGCGGATCCCCTCCGGCACGATCGCCGTGATGGGGTTCTTCATCGCCTCCACGGCGAAGACGTTGTCCTGGTTGAACCGCTCGTAGTAGCCGTCGTCGCAGAGCGGCCGTCGAGAGTAGGACTCCGTCGGCGTGAGCATCGCCCGCTTCGCCGGGTCTTGCACGATCCCTGCGATCTTCTTCCGCAGGAAATGACATACTTCCTCATTGGCCGTGCGGTCTACCAGCACGTCGACGAACCCGCCCAGCATAAACCGCAGTCCGCTGCCGCTCTGGTATAGGTTCTCTAGTAGCTCTTCACGGTCGGCCGGCGACAGGTCCATCAGCTGCCGGCTGGGCTCGGGGAACCCCATGGCCACGGAGGACGCCCGCGCCTCCGCCCAGATCTGACGGTACCGTGCGTTGATGGCGCGGCGCTCGTCGTCCCCCACGAGCCGATTGCCGCTGGGGATGCTGTACTGCGCCCGGCGGATGAAGACGTGCAGGGATTTGACGCGCGGGGCGACTGCCGTCACGAATTGCACGCCCGATGAGCCCACACCGACGACGCCGACGCGCTTGTTATCGACGGAGACGGTCGGGTCCCAGGACGCGGTGTGTGCGATCTTTCCGCGGAAGCTCTCGATTCCGGGAATGTCGGGGATGAGGGGTTGGTTGAGCAGGCCCATTCCGGTCAGGAGGTATCGCACGACGAAGACATCGCCCGTGCTGCATGTTACGTGCCACAGTTTGGCCTGGTCGTCCCATCGGGCGGCCTTCATCTCCGTGGCCAGCTGCAGGTGCTTGCGCAGATTGTGCCGGTCCACGACGTGCCGCAGGTATTCGAGCACCTCCCGCTGGGTCACATACCAGCGTGGCCACGGATACGTCTCGAGCAGCTCTTTGTCGAACGAATACCGGTACACATGACTCCATGTGTCGCTCATGGCTCCGGGATATCTGTTCCACCACCAGGTGCCGCCCACTTCGGGAGCCTTGTCGATCGCTTTGACATTGAAGCCTTGGCTGAGGAGGACGTGGAGGGCGTAGATGCCGGTAAAACCGGCTCCCACGACCAAGGCATCGAGACGGTGTTCTTGCGGCATGTCTGGATTTCTTTTTTGGAATTTGTAGAGAGTCTAATGAACAAAGTGAGGAGACTGACATGGACCTGTCTTTATGTAATACCGTGTCTTTCCCCTCTTCTCTGGTCCACGTCCTATCCATGCAGCTAATTCCTTCTTTCTCACACTAGACATGGGTCTGACTGGGTTGCAGAAACGGCGCATTGGTTTGGACTAATTACAACAGCCAATTCTTGGAAAACGAATGGCGGATCGCTACAGCTGACGCGAGGTACGCCTTAACAATCCCATTATTTGCTAACGTTTTACTCCTGAATATCCATCCAGCTCATGCGAAACCTGCCAATGAGGCTGATTGGATCTAAATCCTGTGTTGCGGAGCCCTAGACAATCCTCACCTTTGTCGGTATTTCGAACGCGATAGACACTTTGTTTGTGAATGGATCAAAGAAGTGACCGACTTCATGTCTCTTTGTCTGGCATGAGACAATCGTCCATACGGCGTCATCCAAACAGGATGTCTCTCCTGATAGGACGAATTCCCCTCCGACAAGGAGAGGACAAAGGACGACAAAACCCTATGTTGTTTGAAGTCCTTGAATTCCATTGATGCAAGACAACCACTATCAAACAGCACCAGCGTACCACATCCCATGAGACATGGACTGGAGTCCGGTCTACTAGGTCAGTCCAGCACGCGAGACTGGCATAAAAAGGCCCAGGACCCCCGCCCTGGTGACCGCATTGGACTTATCGACATAGATTCACACCAGTTCACACCACCACATCACTTACATTCATCCATCAAACCATACGTACGGACCCCTTTTCATCCAAACCACCCACTAACATGGAGTTCAGAAACAGGTACGTCGAATACAAGACCAAAGAGCGTATGCTGCTCTACTGGATCATCGACAACTTCAACATCCTGGCAAGACAGCTCTCCAGCAAGTCCGTGACCGAGAATCTCACAGGCCAGGTAAGCTTGCCCATCCTGCGGGCGATGTGCACCGCAATCGCGGAGCACAAAAGGACTATCCCCCCCTTTATCTACACACTCTTCTCGCAGACACTCCGTCTCAGGGAGGAGACCCACCAGCACTATGTCCATTTTGGCGCTGACACTGCCGACACCAGGCACGGCAACGAGTCCCACAAGGCTTGGATTGTCGGCATCCGGGCGGCTTTCGAAATCCTGGGAGGTCCCGCCTGCCTTGGTCAGCGTACGGAGAAGGAACCCTCTGAGGTGGAGCTCAACGACCTAAGATTGGCTATCCTGACTAACAAGTTCTCCGTCCTCCATTTAGACGGCGAAGACGCCCCTTCCGACCCCGACATGTCTGGAGCAGAGCACAGCGACGCCCCTCCTAGCAGGGCTAAGGTCAATAGCAGTTCTAAGCGAGGCAGAAAATCCACGAGAAGGAAGAAAGGAAAAGGTAAGGACCCCGCCTCCCGGAACAAGTTTAGAATGGAAGATTGCTGCATCATCGAAGACGACAAGCATGACGTGAACTACGGCATGGCGGCCCACTCGCTCTTGCTGGAGTGGACCCAGATTCGCGACTATATGCAATGTAGATGGGGAGAAACGGCGTACGGCAAACTAAGCATCGGGGTAACAGGCGGCCTCGCCAGAGTTGCCATCGCGACCATTCGCCGAAGTGAAGCCCATGTCTTTGCTAATTTCCCCAACCGGGGCTCGTTCGCGGACGTGCTGCAAGCTCTTACCCATGGGAACCTCGATGCAACCCAGGAGAATTTGCGCCAAATGAAGCTCAAGTCCCTCGAGGGGTCAGACACTGCCGCCGAAGTCGATATCGATGTCAAAGAGCAGTACCTCGTGTACACCTACGAGGTGCTACTGGAGTTCATCGAAGACTTTCAGAAGAATCGCACGTGCAAACCGACGAAGAACATGATGAAGCTTATTCACAGCTGGGACAAAATGTTAGACCTGCGAAAGGCCTCCAAAGAAGAGCGCATTCAGTGGCGTCGGATCTACGCCATCAAGTGGCTCTACGAGGTCGTCACTGTCTTCGCCTCTGGGTACACGGCATACGTCTTGGCCAAAGAAAAGGATAAAGCTGCATCCGAGATCGACTGGTCATTCGAGGGGCTCGAGAAAAACCAAGCATACAGCACACTGTGGGGAATGCACGAGTTCATTAGCGGAATCACGAGCCTCGCGATGATGAAGCCTGGCAGCGACGTCAAGCCCAAGATTACGGTGCACCAAGTCTTCGAGCTTCAATGTGTTCTCGACTCCTTGACTGCCTCCCTGGGTTGGATGATCCACGGGTACAAAGGCCACATCATGTGGCCGCATCCTAACGGCTACAATCCGACCCGGCAGCTGGCCTACCTGGAAGCGTGGCACGAGAAATGTTTGGGGCGGTTCTGGGAAACCATTACGGAAGTGGAGCCTACTGCCCACGGTGTGCACAGCCACTATCGCAACCTCGGAGCGTTCGAAAGGGTAGTGTGTGCAAACATTTCCATCGGGCAGTGCCTCTGTGCTACGTACAATCTACCCGAGTCTGGCCGCGCCGCGCCGTCCCTCTTTGTCGCCGACGGGGAACCAAAGCAAGAAGCCGGCGAGTTCATGGTATACTCGCCCTATCTCTGCGGCGCCGGTCTAGTCGAGGCCCTGCAGCAGTCCTACAACGCCGGGATCAACCTCTTGGAATGCATGCCGGAAGTCATCGGCGTTATCCACATACACAACATGCTATTGAAGACCGGCCGGCTAGCCAAACCCGTCCCAAACCTCATCCACCTACAGAAAGCATTCGTCCAATCATTTTTCCCGAACGCAGAGATCCCCAGCACGAACTTTGAGCAATGCTTCCACGAGATCGTCGGCCGCTGCATCAGTTTCCACGAGACGCGCACAATCAACAAGAAGATGAGCGAAATCCGCAAGCGATGGAACGTCGGGAGATACCTGGCAGATCCCAGCCTCAACATCCACTTCAACACCCGCTGCATGCTAGACGTCTACCAGCAGGCGCAGTGGAACCCAGAGGCCATCCACGACGCCAACCTCCCGCTCGACTCGCACCTAGCCATTCTGCGCCTCGGCCAGACCCGCCACATCGTGCCCCGGAAGACAGGCGAAGAAGTCATGCTCAACACCGATTTCGTGAAACGTGCTCGCGCCGAGGGCCTCCCCGAGAAGGCGATGCTCTCCATGACAAGATACGTGGAGCAGTGCCGCCAGCAATGCGAGGCATCGCGAGAACTCTCCAAGGGACTATTCGACGACCCTCGCCACCCTCCATCAGACATTAAGCACACCGCACCGCTGGACCCCCTAGGAATGCTGGACGTCGCGTTCAAGGACTTCTTAGAGGAGACTCACGGGGAGCTCCGGCCCGTGTGCGGTATGAACTACCTGCTCATCGTGCAGATGTGCATGCTCTGGTTCGATGAGATTGAGGAGGCTCTCAGGGAGAAGAACCATCCGTTTTGGACAGAGCATTATGTCAACAGGTGTGACAATGTGGCGATCAAGCGGAAGGCGCTTGTGCGCCACGTGCTCAAGGAGGGTCATCGGAAGAATGGCGATGACTGGTTTCTGAATATGCTTGTGGAGAATTTTGGTACGGGTGAGTGGGGAGATGACAAGTATGACAATATGTATTGGACAGCGCCGCAGCAGGGTGTTATTACGTTTGGTGTGCATGAGTTGTTTTGGAATCGGGAGTAGCATTCTTTTCTTTCTTTCTTTATGCAGATAGACTGTTCAATTGGCGTTAAGCAATCTGATCCTTTTGGCTAGGCTTTGAACCGCAGATAACGTGTACTCTCAACAGGACAGGACAGTCGATGCATGGATTAGGGCTTACCATGTATCGCGCTGACCTCGTAGCTCGGCGCCGCAGCAACCCTCAACAACGAAACATGAAAAACCCACGATAAAAAAAAACCACAAAGCAATCACAAAAGAAACAAAAAAGAAAACAAGATCAAAGCAAGAAAAAAAAAAAAAAAAAAAAGAAGCTCACAACCCCTCCAACCAAACCCCCGAATCCACCACCCTCGCCTGCCTACTAAACACCTTCTCCATAAGCACCTCATGCACATCCTCCTCCCGATCCATACAAAGATCCCTCAGCACCGTAACCCCAAAATCCAAATCCGCCGCCTGCCGCACCGTCGACAGCACCGCCCCACTGGTAATCAGCCCCACGACCACAACCTGCTCCGTCCCCAGCGACCGCAGCAGCAGTTCCAGATCCGTCCCCGTAAAGGCGGACACGCGCCGCTTGGTGACGACCAGGTCGCCGGTCTGCGGCTCCACGAGCGGGTGGAATTGAGACTCCGGGTCGTGCTCGGTGTAGGTGGCTTTTGGGACGACGCGCGCGAAGGACGGGTTGCGCGGGTGCAGGTCTGGATAGCCGGCGCGGAAGCCCGTGCGGATGTGGATGATGCGGGTGGTGAGGTTGAGGCGGGCTTGGGCTAGGGTTGTGGAGAGGTGGGTTAGGTAGGGGGCCATCTTTTGGGGCCGCCTAGGATGGAGATTGTGGTGTTTTGGATGTCGAGGACGAGGATTGCTGTGGGGGGCATTTTGGTGGTTCTTTTTGTAGAGAGAAATGTTGCTTTGTAGATTGGAGGTATTGAGAGAAGAGAAGAGATATTAGATATGGCTGTACAGTGAGAGGTGGATATTGGAGAAGCTCGTATAACCCTCATGTAGACTTGGTTTTTATAGACATGCCGGTTCCGCGATGGAAGCCGGTACCGGGCCGGAGTCTACATCTCTTGATCGAATCAAAGAATGAGAAGATACTCAGTTGATTATAGATACAGTGGAGGATACGTAGTGTTGATCAGATTTATCAGTCAACTACAAAAGATATCATGACGCATTTGGCGCTGTGAGTAATCTGATAACATCTTATAGTGCGACTAGATATGATCCCGGCCTATAGTCAGCCTAATATAAACCAGTCACAACTCCAGGATTATCAAGGCTATCTGTACTAGGAGTAGCTTAGCGAAAATACATCTACCTACCAGGTAACCATAATCATCTCGTATTAATCTATGTTCCATGAGATTCCCCAATAGATGAGTCAATCTATCTGTAATGAGTCAATCTATCTATACGAACAACCTATATAAGAACCACAAGGCCCACTTATCCCACATGGTAATCATGAGCATTCAAGCAAAATCAAGCAATTAAGCAGCCAACCAATCAATCATCAATCAACCAACCAACAAAATGACCTACACAATCCACCCCCTCACGCTAGAAGACATCCCCGAAACCTTCACCATGGCCCAGCAGGCCTTCTCCAAATCCAACCGCCACTTCTACAACCCCTACCCCTACTCAGACGAGTCCCACGCCCAGCTCCTCGAGCGACAGCTGGACTTCTTCAAAGACCGCCCCCCAAACCAAGCCTTCAAAGCCGTCGACGACGCAACAGGGCACATCGTAGGTGCAGCCGGGTGGGGCGTGCACGTCGAGGACGAGCCCGTCACGCAGACGCTCAAGGAGACGGTCGAGGCGCGCATGCAGCCCCGCATTCCGGAGCTCTGCGAGGATCCCTTTCGCGGTGTTTATACCGCTATGAATGAGGGGCGCCGCGAGGTTATTGGGGTTGTTGGTGGGGAGGGGGGGGAGGTGGTGCGGTTCAAGAAGAGGGTGGAGTTGCAGTTTCTGCATACGCATCCGGAGTATCAGCGACGGGGGATTGGGAGTGCGCTGTTGAAGAGGTTTCTGGAGGAGACGGCGGGGTTGGGACTTATGCTTTATTTGCAGGCTACTGATGAGGGGAGGCCGCTTTATGAGAAGATTGGGTTTGAGGCTGTTTTGAAGCGCACTTATGTGTTTGAGGATGGGGATGCGGAGCCGTATAATATCTCGGTAAGTTTTCTTTTTTCTCTTCTTTTCTTTCCTTTCTTTTCACTGGTGTGTGGCTCTGTGCTGATGGGAGTAGTTCATGGTGAAGTCGCCCAAGGTGAAGACTTTGTGTGTTTCGGGGGAGGGTCTGCATTCTCCAGAGACGGCTATTGCTTGATGGACGACGGGCTGGGTAGTACTCCGCATATGCGGGGATGACACTTGGGTCAAGCCCTCCCAAATGCTAAATAGCATTTGGTGCAGTGGGGATAGTACATATGTAGTCGGCTTATCGGACTTAGGGTTGGAATCTATGGCTATTGCATGAATCGGACTTATGGTGCTACTATGGACTCATGGTTCATATACAAGATACAGCTAATTACTGGCCCTTTCCTTCGTAACATCTTCTTCCCATTGTAGTATATATAATTGTATAATTGTAGACAACCATTCCAATCCCCCTTGAAAGTCCGAGGCAGACAACCCCTGTCTGTCAGACTTTCGACCTCCTTACTTCACTTCCCCAACAATGCTAACATCATACAAGGAGAAGATATGCACTTCGGATCCGAGATGCCACCCCACCCCGATGGGCCCACCGCCAAGTGTCGTTAGCCGTTAGTGCAGCGGTTGAAATCACGCTGCGTAATATGGAGTCTATCGTGTGGGATGGGGCGATATTCTGGGTAGCCGACCATGGATGTCTCAGCCGTGTCGTATTCTCGAAGAGAGGACAAGCTTTGTGTCGTGTGGGGTGTTTGGTCGATAGACGTTGTATCCGAAGGCAGCATATCTCGGGTGTTGGTCAATTGTTCGCTTGGCAAGAATGTCAGACCGTAATTAGTGGTAGTCGTAAAGGGGTGAGACCCCAAACCCCACTCGGCCGAAGCGGCGCTTGCTCGGGTGTCCGTCATGCACGATCAACCTCAGCTGAAGAGAATGGCCAACCATCGAGGCGATGGAAAAATCAGACGTCCTCTTGCCACGCGGCTACATATACCCCTCCTTAGTCTCTCTTCTGACACAGACACGTCCTCTTCTCTTTTGGGACTGTGGGAGGTGCATCTATCAGAATGACTCATTTCGTCGCCGTTCCCCCTTGGTTCCCTCTAATTGATATGGGGAAATAAATCTGCCATAATTCGGTGGACCTGGACCCCCAAGGCACCCGCCATGGTGATACCAGTTACGGGGAGCGTCCCGTAGTTCACTCGTGAATCAAGAGGATCAAGAGTGAGCGCTGGAGGGACAGCGGCTCGAAACTACCTCGACAGAATCGCAAATCGCAGAAATCCAACTCGTCAAACATTTCCCATGTTCATACTGGGAAACAGCATTACGTCCGAAACCCGATTGAGAATCCCTTCTATGTGGCTATCGTCCATGTAAACGGGATACCCAGCCCCCGTATACAGAGATTCGGTCGCCTCGGGCGGCACAGACGCCGGGGAGATCATATCGAAAGCCGTCGGATAGTTGGGGGTCACTTGCGCGGTCTCCGGGGCCGACATGCCCTTTTCGCGGGCGCGGAACGCCGCGCTGACTTCCCGGAGCGCCCGCAGGGACGATGCGAGGTGCTTGGCTGAGTCGGTCTGGCTGTTCTCGGACTCCTCGCCGTTGGCGTGGACGTGATCGGCTAGTACGTTCTCCAGCCGTTGGATGAGATCCCAGGTTTGTGGGTGCACGGCGGCGTTGTTGTGCGCGACGAGCAGAAAGGCTGAGGCGATGGTCCGCTGTAGGCTGATCCAGCTTCGCGAGCAATGCGTGTTGATCGAGTGCAGTTCGATGAAGGCTTCGATCGTTCGCATCAAATTCGTCAGGCAGTCCCCCCGGATGATTGCGCGTCGCTGGTCGTCCAGCGGGGCGTCCGGGTCCAGGGAGACGCGACACATGAGGGAAATGTAATACGACGAGTGCAGCTGCAGCTCCGTCCGCTCGATGTGATCGGCCAGTGTGCGGCAGTTCTCCCGCTGTCGCAGATGCGGAGCTGCCTCCGTGGTGATGCGCTCGATCTGTTGCTTGTACTCCCGGATTTCGTGGTATCGGAGGTGGGTGTGGTGGTGGAACAGCAATCCTCGCAGCATCTCCAGGGCGACGGAAATGACTCGGCAGAGAGTCTCGAAATACGATCGGTGGCCGGGCATGGACTTCGGGTCGTACGGGATCTCCGGCTGATTGATCATCGTGATGGACGGCCGGTCATACGCCAGGGAGAAGTGGCTATTCTGAAACGCCATTGCCCACCTACTTACTATTAACATGGGATACCTTGCAGAGCAGCCAATCCATCACTTACCACACTCTCCGCCGCGCTGCCTTGGCTCCGATAGAGAACCCGGGGGACTCCACATGGAGACCAAGCACCATACACATTCGCTCCGTCATCCCTGTTTAAACATCCATGAGTGGTGATCCATAAGACAGGGAAAAGGCTACTCACCAAGCAAGGTATACGATGCCCCCGCATTCATGTTGTACGATAACACATTGCTGATGATAAGCAGAATTTGAATCACGTCCACGGTCGGATGAGACACATAATTGACCATCCGCAGACACTGGTATGAGCAAGACACTGCACGTGGTCAGCGCCATGGGAACAAGCAGCCACTCCCGGAAAGCTCACGAACCATAAACCCACGACGTCAGCCGCCGCTCGCTTCCCGATAGGTCGGACAATTGACAGCCCGACGCCAAGACGGCAAAGAGCAGACTGAGGAAAGGAAGGCTCATGCCAAATGGCTTCATGAGACCACTACTATCGGGTTTGTAAACACCACCCGCGTTGGCCCGGTTTTGTAACAAGCGGTTCATTTCATCTTCCACTCTCCGCACGTTCGGGAGGACAGGGTATAACACCGCCCCAATATCTTTGTAGAAGTCGAAAAACCTGCAACCGGAACCCAGTTAGTAAACAAAAAGAAAAAAAAAAAGAGCGAGACGGATGGGTATTTCTGGGCACTAACCTTCGACACTGTATATCGTCCGGGAGCACATCGCATACGCCGGCGATATTGAATGTAAATGGGTCCGACGACCAGAGGTCCACGAATGGGTATGCGGCAGACTCGTTCCCCATCGCTAGCTCCGCAAGGAGTTCACCCGTGGGCAACCCTTGGGCCGCTTCCTGGGAGCCCTTGGTCTTGCCCAGGATGTCTAACAGGGCCGATCGGGAGCCAATGTGGACCTCGCCGGTTTCCAGCCTGCTGGAATCGTATGCTCCGCTGGACGACATGCCGTCATCGCTGGCCAACGTTACCGAACGAGGATCGGTCGGTCTCCGCTCCGAATGGTTCTGGAACAGCGAGTGCAGACTGGTCACGATCTGCTCCATGGCCTGCATCTTCGCATTGACCTCATCCCATTCCATCTGCGACAGAGATACCATATCCGACGACGCGTGAGGGTCCGGATCCGGGCCGCCATAGTCCCCCACGGAGGTGGAAGCAAAACTGTAGCGGCCGCCATCGCCACCGGCGGGTGTGAAGGAGGACGGCGGCGGGAATTGTGGGGACGGGCCCGCGGAGGTGGTCGCGGTCGCGGTCGCGGTCGCAAAGGGATCCGACAGGAGCGGCGGTTTCGAGGCGTGGGAGAGTGACGGACGGCCGTAGGTGCAGCTGAAGTTGCGCTTGACGCAGTTGCTACAGGGCACATTGCGATCGCATCGGACCTTGCTCGCTCGACAGGGCAAACAAGTTTTACACTCGCGCGGCCTGCGCCGGACCGGATAGACAGGCATTCCCGACGTCTTGTCGCGGGACGCGCTCAACCTGCCACCCCGCTATCGGCGACGAGGAACAGACAGACGCGAGAGGATGGAGGTGGAGAGGGTTGCAAAACACTAGTTCGGTGCAACCAAGAGACGGTGCCTGATTGGCATAGACACGACGACAATAGAATAGAAAGGTAGAAAATAAAAGAGGGGCGGGAATATAAAAAATCAAGATCAGGTGAAATCATAAAAGAAGCATCCAAATCAAGATACGAATAAGCTCAAGGGTATAATATCATATCACGTCGGGGAAGGTTCACTAGGTGGGAACAGAGCGAGCGATTGGAATCTAGGGTCGTTGGCGCAAGGCGTCAGCAAAGTCCATGGCCAGAATCAAGATTTCGTCACCGAGACAAGTTTAGTATTGTCTAGTTGGACGAGAGGAGGAAAGATGCGCGAGGAGTGAGGGGTGGGCGACAAGCAGGTCGGTCGGTCGGTCGGTCAGTTTGGCCCTCCCCATTGGATTGGAGATGATAGGCGAGACTTGGAACCCTTGATGGATCACACACATTGGAGGGATGATGAGGATGGTGATGATGATGTTGATGATTCATCCATTGACGGAGAGACCCGTTTGGGTTCAATCAGCAACAATCCAACACCACAACAGACTCCTCTTTTAATTCCAAGAATGAAGACGAGGAAGGGATCGTGGGATTCGAGGTCTACTTGGGTAGGATTTCAGATAGGTTGGACCGACAATAACAAGGCACGGGTCGATCTTAACCGCGTCTGTTGGAGGAAGTAAAGTGTGAAAGCTCGGAAGTTACTAAGGTGGATTCCTGACAGTGACTGGTCCGGCCAAGCCACGGCGGTGGGAACCAGCAAGTTTCCGAAAGGGTTGTTGACTCGTGTGGAGTTGATTTACCTATTAGGAAGTTGTTTGAAGATATAGAATCCAGGGATGTTTATGTATTTCTATTCTTACGCAGTATTTCGTGGTCTTCATTCTCGACTCGAGGGATTAGCCCAACCCGTTCTATACAGTATCCCGTCCTGATGGACAGGTCAAACCCGCTGATTGACTCCCACAGGCTAATTATTCCTACATGTACATGTACTCCATGGCAGGGTTCTCCAATGCGACCTAAAACGGAGAGAACGAATGATGTGGAGCGGAATACGTCCATGCATCCGTCTCGACGACTGACCGGGTGGGAATCCCAGCGTTGCTTGCTCGGCTGCATCAATTGACATGTCACCCCCCCACCGACTGACGAACCCTCAGGTCTTCGACCGTAATGTATTCTGCGAAATCTGTGGCACCGCCCACCAGTCATGGAAGCGAGCTTTGGAGCCCACCTCCGGGATGTCGACCCGAAGATCCACGGTCGGGCTGTCGGGACTCGAGCCTTTGCTGGTGTTGCGCATCGCGAGTCCCTTCTTCAGGCTTTCGATCGCGAGGCTGGTCCCGATACAGGCTCGCATGGTATCCTTGACGTCTTTCTTCCAGTCTTCTTCGATTGCGGGGGTCGTGGAGGCGGTTGGGTCCGACGAGGTCGGCGCAAAGGCTCCGTTGGCGAGGGTGGTCTCCCAGGCCTTGCGGGCTTCCGTGATCGCCTTGGTCGCCCGTTCCAAAACAGCGCCGTCACTATCTCCTTCGAGCAGGGCCTCACGGCGGTAGTCGTCGTACGGGACTAGTTCGGGTAACGTGATGGGGAGGAAAGGTTTCATGCGGAGCTCGTATCGTAGACGCTCGCTCGAGTAGGCCTGCGGGGAGGAGGCGGTCGGCAAAATTTGGTGCCGGCCCAGGAGCACATACAACGCATGGAGGGAGATGGCAAAGGCGTCAACGGCGACAATTTGCGTGCTCAGTCGCTCGAGAAGACGGAGCGATTTCTGGAGCACCGCATGCCGCTCCGCAGCGTCGCGTTTCTTCCCAGCCAACGCCGTCAGGTTTCGCTTGGCCGTAGCCACGGTGAACGTCCGGATCCGATCGAGGTGCCCCAGGTGCGTCGAGCAGATATGTGACAAATACCAGTACATTCCCGGCAGTTCTTCAGGTGAATAGATGGACAGTTCGAACCCAAGCTGGAGGATGAGGCGGAACTGATTCAGTTTCTGGTGGTAGGTCCAACTGCTAAGAGGGTATGAATAAGTGGAGTCGCCGTTGCTTAGAATAAGCGGCGGCTCGTCGCTCAGCGTGCGAAGCTGCTCATCCAGATCTTCCGCCTACAATCTGGTCAACGATACCCGGCAGCTCACAAAGGGAGAAACCCAAACTTACCTCCATCTGCAGATTGTCCCAGTCGACGAGAGTGTGGCAGACAGTTCGACGAATTCGGCAACGATTGAGACAAGCACTGCGGAAAGTATCGACAAAGGGCTACTTGTGGGTTAACATGGCATCCTTATTGATCGCGATGATGGCGAAGAGGGGAGGGTACCATCAACGCACCTGGGAGAATCGTTTGACAAATCCATCCATATGTTGAGCAATCTGAAAGCGAGGATTGGAAGGCATCTCAGTTTGATCTGTGTTTGCCTGGAGCAAGATACTCGTGGGCAGTACGAGTTCCGCGAGCTCATCATACAAGAAGTCTCGGACCGGGACCACTCCAAGGACCATCGCACTGTTCACAATCAGGGTTTGGAGGAGAGACCGGATGTAGACCGATGGCTGGGGCTTTCGAGACAGCATAGTCCAGACGGCGACCTATATTTCGTCAACATGGACACAGTATATCAGGAATCGACAGCATCACCGTACCTTGACATTGTGGGGTCCTCGGTAGTCAAGGATCCCCTGAAGATCGATCCCATCTTGACAGAGCCGTTTCAAATGCGCCAGCGCATCATCTTGGCTTATGTTCACCATTGGCCGAGGAGGAACCGTGCTTGCTAGCCTTCTTTGGACCTTCCAACTGAAGGATTCCGGGACCGGCTTTCCGATGGATGCCGATTGAGCCAAGTCAGATAATCGCGACAGACAGGCCCGAAAATTATCGCTTGACCGATTTTGGATGACATCAATATCCTGGTATAATCCTAGAAGCAAGTCACGTCGAAAATCAATCCGGAGTTTGATCGCTGCTTTCACTTCTTCGTTGATCCCATCTTGTTGCTCCTCAATCCACGCAGCCGCACGGTCCAGCAAATCGAGGAACGGATCTAGGTCGAACGGGGATAGGAGATTGCGATTGTAGAGTTGAGTGACAAAGTCCTCCTCCTGCTTGATGTTAGTCGGGGTGTCATCACATATTCAAATAACATCAGCCCACCTCATAGTAATACTCGGTAGCCACTCGAGTGTGGACGTAATCACAGCACTTCACAAGAGCCATACAATACGCTCGTAGTACGAGATTCACCAATGTTGGTTCCTCATTTGCGCCATCTGCGCTTCCACGAGTGAATCGGGCCTCCTCGAGCGTTTCTGGCACAGGCCACAACAATCTGTCGAGGTATAGAGACGTGAAGAGGGTCTGGGAGAGTGGGTGGCCCATATGCCATGCCATCTATCACAAAGGTGTCCACTGTCAGTTCATGTTCTATGCCATCTTCGGCGCCATCTTCTAGGAAGTCTTCGCTCACCTCATGGCAAAGGAGTCCGTCCATGATGCCCACTACCTCCTCCGGAGCCAGCTCCCGCGTAATGTCGTAGTCGTCCTCTAAGGCTTGCGCATGGTTTTCGTCAGGTCCGAGGAACCCGCTGTCCATCTTGGAGTCCATGATCTGCATTCAAACTTCCATATCAGCTCTCTGTATTATGATATAAAGGGCAGGCCCAGGTCGCGGCTTACCTCCAAGGCACCAACCGCCTCGAACAGCGTAAAGTATTCATCTTTGACCAGTTGCCCAGTAGACAGCTCTGCATGATAGAACAGTCTCGTTAGAACCTTCCAAGAAAATCTGCGTGAAGCTCAATGTCCAGGGATCGGGTCGTACTTGAAGCAGCTTCTGTGAACTCGTCGGTGATGTCGCGCGGCACCACCGACTGCGACGTTACTCGCATTGTCGGGGCAGACGCGCTGCTATTTGGAAACATGTAGGACACACTGGAATCTGCAGCCCGCTGTCAGATTCGCTGAATCGTGATACTTGCGGGTAAAGACGTCGTTTCGAGGGTCGCAGAAAAGCGAGGATTGCAGGAGGCCGGGCGAGGGGGGAGGCGGGGACTTCGGGCGGACAAAACTTGCGGGCAGAGTGAGGCCCGCCGTTCAGGTCGGTTGAAGTCTACCTACGTCGTCAAATCCGGCATTTTTACTCTCTACAATACAAAAACATATTGGTGGGAATTTACGAAAAGATGGCTGAATCTTAGGGAGGAAAAAGCCTTCTCTATTTAACTTGGTCAACGGGCTCAAATATGCTACAGAGGATCCAGTTCTCTACCAACAGACAACACTTCCCCCGTGGACCCTGCCTTCTCCCACAATACACCTTATATCATCGCAACAAGTGGTTTCGAGGAAAGAGGCGTTTATTTCGACCCGGAGTTGGCGGCCATGGCCTCGTTGTTGGCCTGGCCAAGATTCTTGAATTCGCCCTGCTTGCCGTTCTGTTAAATAGACAGTCAGTCCCCGACCCAAGACACCCTCCCAATCAAGACAGCAAACTCCTCTCAATACGCACCTCCCACTTGGCAAAACGCAGCTCCATCAGGCCACGGCGCTCAGCAGCGACACGGGGGCCCTCCTTGAGAGATCGGCGAACAGCCTGGGCGGCAACGGCCAGGTAGCGGTTGTAGCTGTAAGTGGACATAGAGTTAGCTAGTGCATTAAACAGGCTGAAAAAATCGTAAGGTGTTCAAGCATACGTCAAACCAGCGGATTTCCAGGCGGCAACCATTTTGACGGTGTGTGAATGACGAAGGGTTTCAATCGTTCAGGAGTGAGAATCAACCACTATCGGGTGAGTTGCGGACGGTCGAGTTCGGAGCATCGGGAACTCTGCGGGTCATGTGACACACGTGACCTCTAAATATCACGTGATTTGTTGTCCATCACTTCCATGATCAAGGCATGATAACCTAGAAAGAACATTATGGTTTCATGATATTGATGTTTAGTAAATTGGGCCAGGCTGTTAATAAACCAATGCACATATTAGATCTCATTTAATTGGCTTTATGTTTCTAACACCTATCGGAAGGTTAGTTGAGATATATTTGGCTCAAGCACAAATCTTCCGCAATACTACAAGATCCATGCTTTGTTCAATTTGCGTTTAATGATAAAAAGGTCGGCACTATCAGGTTTTCTTTGACATCGAAATTACTTTACACAGGATTTAAAAGAAGGTCTATAAGAAGGAAGATGAAAACCACAAGGAGCAACAAGGAGATAGAATTTCTAAGGATCTCAACACAATATATGAAAGATAATTCAACACAATATCACACCTATAAGTATAGGTTAAAAGGGTCAGCTTGAGATATGATATAATACAATTTGCTATAACTCTTCAAGACTCTAGTTGTTCCCATTTGGTTAGGGTTGTTCATAATTTTGTACGTAGGTGAGTCTATTTACATATAGTCCTAAATAGGAAATCCATCAAGACCGCGGTCAGTCTGTAGGATCTCTCAAACACACCTCAACTTCTCATAATCAACAGTCTTTTCCAGTTCAGGCCCATCATTTGTCGTTCTCTATCAACACTATGCTTCACTTTCACTTTGCAAAGATGTACAATTGCTTGCAATCATAAAGCAATGGGCAAGTGAGAAGTACACAGCTCACCTCCCACTCGCTGAGGCGTGCTTGAGAACAAACACATCGTCAACTTCCCTCATCTTCTCCCTACCCATAACGACATTCCCTCCCTATTATTATTTCTATATCTCTCTCTCTTACCTCATATGCGTAAATCTTGTCATAGGAAGATCGACTTTCCTGGACAGAGTGTGCATTGACAACGACCGACAACTGCAATATAACCTCACTTGAGCAATTAGGAAACTTGACACGAGGCGAGCCAAAGCGCGTGAAACCAAGCCAGATACAACACATCAAGATGCCCTCAAGAAAGGCGATGAACCGGCCTAAGAAACGCAACTTGGTCCGCTGGGATGGTATATACCCACTATCACTTACCCGCGGGAATTTAAAGTGCTCTGGGATGCAGGCTAACCATGAAAGACAACCTAAACGAGATTCTCCTCCTCACAGTCCAGTCGGTGTGCAACAAGAACGGTATCAAGATCCCTTGGGTCGAAGTTGCGGAGACGATGGGACACAATGCAACAGATGGGGCTATCGTTCAACATCTGGCCAAGCTTCGGCAGCGCCGAGTCGATGCCGGCAAAGCTGTTCCTCCACCTCTCCGGCGTGGGGGCGTTGGAGGCAAGGCAGCTGTCTCTTCGTCCCCCAGATGTGTCCCGGCTACAAGGAAGAAGCGAAAGTCTGAGTCAGTATCAGACACTGAGAGGTCTACTCCAGTTTATGTCCAGTACGATGACGATTCTTCGGAAGACTACGTTGAGGGAAAGAAGGGTAAAGGGCGGATAAAGAGCAAACCAGGTGTCCGAGATGATTGGAGTACCGCTCACAGAGAGAGAAAACAGGGATTCATGTCCGAGGACGAAGAGGAAGGAGATTATGACAGCGAGGTGGACACCCCGGGTGAACTGCTGTTTCGAGGCGCCAAATTCTTGGACCTACCGAATGATGAAAGTGTTTCCTCGCCCGTTGCTTTTGATCCTGTCGCTGCTTCGCCTACTGCCGGACAAGCCCAAGACAGCCGTATTGTGGTTCTCAGGTATCGGAAGCTTCCTTCTATTACAACGGAGGGATCATCCCAGCCACTCAGCTCGAGCCCCGTCGAGCCGGTTGCAATTTACAATGAGAAAGCTGACCAGTCTTCCTGCTCGGGGTGTGTCGACGCTGAACTTACTACCGCACAAGACAGCTTAGTGTCTCCTAGCAATGGCACTGGACAGCATATCCCAGAGTATAATACTATGTCCATCATCGATCCGCAGAGTGTCATTCCTGCAGCGGGATTTGAAAATGGCCAGTTCGATCTATTCCCGGCCACGTCCCAAGATAACTTCTCGGGTTACCCATACCCCGATTATGGATATGGCTTTCAGCCTAGTACGCTTCCCGACTCTGGTAGTTTTTTCCAAGATCTGTTGGAATCACCGGATCTTTTCTGGAACGAGACACAGGATCAACATGACTATGTCGCTAAGGGGGACGGCGACCTGTTTTGGCCTTGAGATGGCCACACCACTTAAGCTTTCTTTGCTGCATGCAAGAGCGAATTTGACGGCTATACTACGATACAGATCTGTCGCCTCTTGACTTCACATTTCTTTCATTTCAATTTGGACTCTCTTTGATTAACACACGCCAAACTTCAGGCAAGCGCCAGTACTTACGATATGATATTCGATCATCTAAAATTAATCCTCGGGATAGAGAAGCGAACATTTTCAGACATTGACCAAATGGGCTCGACAGATTCAGCATAAGAGTCGTGCCTCTGACTAGACGGCTTTCTTATTCCACTTTCTTATCTTTGTTCGTTGCTAGATTCCTATCTCTTCGTTGATTTCCCATCTCCTTCCCGATCCACTTTCAGCGTTGAGTTCATGGACACGGCCTTCGATTGGTTGAGCACTTACTTAAATTTGTAATGAAGCCTTCATATTTCTTGCAATGATCTCAGTTGATTTTCCACATCTCCATCCCAGTGTAGTGGGTAGAAGATGCCAAGCACCCATTTCTCAATATCTTACCAGGAAAAGGACCAGCAACAATCAGATAGATAATACCCAACAGGCTGGTCTACGTAAGCAACACTCGGAGTATCATTCTTAGGAAATCCTCCCGTGTTGAAGAACTCTTCGGCAGTGCTGGTTGGGTGGCTGCGTCTAGCGTCGAGTAGTTTACGGATTCTGAACAGGGATCTTTCTGTTATTTCTGCTAGGGCGTGGGAGCTATATTAGTAGAAAAGGAAACAGGCTTTCAACTTGTTTCACCAAAAATAGGATAATGAAGTAAAATATCGCCTGATATCGTTACCAGAGAGGCCTGTTACGACTGACCACGTGGTGGGCGAACAAAGCCATTAACACTGCATATCAAGATGTATGAAGTGTTCAAAATGGCCAGTTCAGTCGCACAGGAGCCAAAATGTAAAAGAGTCAGGAGGTCAAGTTTATAGATCACATTCAGACCCCGCCATGCCAAGCTGCAGCGACGCGCCTATTGAAGCCACTATACCCTATCCCGTAAGTCCCCCCATCGACAACCGCAGACTACGGAGCATTCGTCGTCCCGAACTCTCGGTTTCCTTTGCCAGCCTCAACCTTACTATGCTTGTAGTTCCCGCCTGAGTGGTTTTGTGCTTTTTTCTTTTTTAGTTTGTTTTAATTTCTAGTTTTTTTTTGATAATTTTTTTCCAAACACCCACTTCTGACCATGGGAGATAATATTACCATTGTATGTTGCGATTGTTGACGGGCTGTGAAGCTGTAATTTCTCGATTATCATTTGGAATATCAATGTCTGACGTCCACTGCTAGGATCCTGATTATAATTCTGCCAAAGAGTGGGACGCCGATGATCTAGATTCGTGAGAATCCTCCCCCATCGGGCTGTTTTTAATTTCCCACAATTCGCGTTCTCACGATTTAGTTTTAGGGAAACCACCTCGATCACGTCGACGGTGGCGAGGGGCCGGTTCGAAAATGGTAGAAGGTTGGTTGGCTCTGTCACCTAGAACTGTAGAGTCGTATAGCTGGATACTAACAGAGAGAGCAGATATCAGGCGTTGAAGGAAGATGACTACTGGTCAGTAACGACGCTCACCAGGTTGAAGGAGAGGTTGACTCTAACCATGTCCGACAGGGGCCCTTCGGACGAACAACAGTTCGAGTCCTTCGAGGTTGGGTGAGTGTGGTGCCGGCTTGCTGTCATTGGGGCTGTTACGTCTTGTCTGAAAGCAGCTAATGGACGATGCAAGTCATATGCTATTTCTCATGTTAGATTACGACCGACAAAACCCTCATCATCATGCCCCCATCACGCAATCACCCAAGGTAAGCATACACTTGTCTTTGGATATGTGACACACTGCTGATTGTGATCTTCCAGCATATTTTGGACATCGGAACGGGGAAAGGAAGCTGGGCCCTGTGAGTTGCTCTGCTTGCTTTCCTATGTTGGGGATTGTTATTAATGCATGCACAGCGATATTGCCGACATGTATCCATCTGGTATGTGTGCCCCCGGATCTCGTCCCGGTTCGCTCGGCTGAATCGATCCTAGCAACTGTTCGAGGTGTTGACCTCTACCCACCCCCCGTGAATTGGGAGCCACCGAATTGCGTGTTTGAAGTGGACGATATCCTCCGCGACTGGACATGGAGCGAGCCCTTCGACTTGATTCATTTGCGTTTTATGCTGGGCGCATTCACATTGGAGGGGTGGGACCGACTGTACGAGCAGTGCTACGAGTGAGTCACCTCTTGACCCTTTCCCCGTAAGAGGAGCACGTCTCATGGTCTTGCGCCGTCTAGGAACCTTACGCCGGGCGGCTGGATCGAACACATGGAGTTAGACGTTCGACTGCAGAGCGATGACGATACCCTGAAAGAGGACAGTTATTTGGGAGGGTGGGGACCCAATTTCATTGGCTGCGGTGAGCGATCTGGACGACCCCTGTTGACTCAGGAAACGATGCGGGGCGCCATGGAGAAGGCCGGGTTCGTGGATTTACACGAAAAGCTCTACAAGATCCCTCTGGGGCCGTGGCCGAAAAATAAGATTCTCAAGGAGATTGGGCGGCTTCAGTACTTCCACTGGACGTCTGCCCTCGAGGGGTGGGCGCTGTGGCTTCTCACTAAGTATGGAGCGCCCTCTCCTTGGACCAACGACGAGGTTCAGGCTTATTTGGCCAAAACTCAGGCTGAGCTGCAGAATCCTCACATACATGGCTATGAATATGCGTGAGTCTCCTTCCCTCTTTCTGAGCTCGGGGGTTGGCGTTTGCTGATGGCGTCTAGTCGTCGGGTCTGGGGGCGGAAACCGACCGAGGAGGAAGCTAAGGCTATGTAGAGCCAATGTCAAGTCCTCTGCGTTATATAGAATTAGATATACCCATTAGGGTGGGAAGCGATGGATTGGCTCAGGGCATCTCTCGGTCGTTTTCCAAGATATGGCGCTGTGCGACGGCAACGATAGACCTTGAATGAATCCGCTTCCACCCCTTCAATTGAGTTCTCATGACATTGGCTTTTAAATCAGGGCATGCTCTGCTTTGGCACTCCGTGTCTCGTGTACCGATTAGTAGTAATGGATCTGAACGTGTTTCGCTTATCCTCGGGATGAGATAGTTCAATGTGATGACTGCCGTTCAACCATCATCAACCCGTCGGCCAGCAACTCTTTAAAGAACGCAATCAAATTCAATCAGACAACTCTATCTTACCCTCGTCTCGCAGTATACTCTGTAGATGTATCAACAGTCGTGAGAACCAGTGTCCAGGTCACGAGAGACTAACCCAAACAGGCAACCCGGCTTCCGACAGTCCGGCGGATTCCCTCGGGAACGGACACACGTGACCTTCTAGGAGCTTCTCTCAAGCTAAGACGATCCGGGGATCGAGAAAGCGCCCGGCAAAAATTTCGTGACTTTCTTTGGCTTCATCTCTCTTCTTCCATCTCCATCCTTTCCTCCTTCACTCTCCATCCCTTTTTTCCCTCCCCCTCCTCTTTTCTTCTACTCCCCGTACTTCCCGTTCTTGCTCTGGGAGTTCTGTTCGGGCAATCTCAATTATCTTTCTTCTTTTCCATCATCTTCCTATCCCCCTAGTTCAAAATGCAAAGAGCTCTCTCTGCCCGGACTTCGGTCCTGTCCGCTGCCTCCAAGCGCACTTCCTTCTACAAGCCTGCTGGTTTGAACGCTCAGCAGCAGCGTTTTGCTCACAAGGTACGTTCTCTCGCCTTCTTTCCCATTGGCAATGGCTTCTGCTTCAGCCCGTCGCCGTGGATGGGCCTTCCGTCACTTCCCGGAGACTTCCATCAATCCATCGATGCTAACCCAGTCTGCCATTAGGAGCTGCGATTCGGTGTTGAGGCTCGTGCCCAGCTCCTGAAGGGTGTGGACACCCTCGCCAAGGCCGTCACCTCGACCCTGGGTCCCAAGGGCCGTAACGTCCTGATCGAGTCCCCCTATGGCTCCCCCAAGATCACCAAGGGTAAGTCACTTGGCCCATTCTTATCCCGATTCATCCCGGATTCATACCCAATGGTCAACTTCGATGATGAACGATGGAAATACTGACCTCTATAGATGGTGTGACTGTCGCCAAGGCCATCCAGCTCCAGGACAAGTTCGAGAACCTCGGTGCCCGTCTCCTCCAGGATGTGGCCTCCAAGACCAACGAAATCGCCGGTGACGGTACCACCACCGCCACTGTCCTTGCCCGTGCCATCTTCTCCGAGACTGTCAAGAACGTTGCCGCCGGCTGCAACCCCATGGACCTGCGCCGTGGTATCCAGGCCGCCGTCGACGCTGTCGTCGATTACCTCCAGCAGAACAAGCGTGACATCACCACCGGTGAGGAGATCGCCCAGGTCGCGACCATCTCGGCCAACGGTGACACCCACATTGGCAAGCTCATCTCCACTGCTATGGAGCGTGTCGGCAAGGAGGGTGTGATCACCGTCAAGGAGGGCAAGACCATGGACGACGAGCTGGATGTCACCGAGGGTATGCGCTTCGACCGTGGCTACACCTCCCCCTACTTCATCACCGACGCCAAGTCCCAGAAGGTCGAGTTCGAGAAGCCCCTGATCCTGCTGTCCGAGAAGAAGATCTCCGCCGTCCAGGACATCATCCCTGCCCTCGAGGCCTCCACCACCCTCCGCCGTCCCCTCGTCATCATCGCTGAGGACATTGAGGGTGAGGCTCTCGCCGTGTGCATCCTGAACAAGCTGCGTGGCCAGCTCCAGGTCGCTGCCGTCAAGGCCCCCGGCTTCGGTGACAACCGCAAGAGCATCCTGGGCGATCTTGCCGTGCTCACCAACGGCACCGTCTTCACCGATGAGCTTGACCTCAAGCTCGAGAAGCTGACCCCCGACATGCTCGGCTCCACCGGCTCCATCTCCATCACCAAGGAGGACACCATCGTCCTCAACGGCGAGGGCACCAAGGACAGCATCGCCCAGCGCTGCGAGCAGATCCGCGGCGTCATGGCCGACCCCGCCACCTCCGAGTACGAGAAGGAGAAGCTGCAGGAGCGTCTGGCCAAGCTCTCCGGCGGTGTTGCCGTCATCAAGGTTGGCGGTGCCTCCGAGGTTGAGGTCGGTGAGAAGAAGGACCGTGTCGTTGATGCCCTCAACGCCACCCGCGCCGCCGTCGAGGAGGGTATCCTGCCCGGTGGTGGTACTGCCCTGCTCAAGGCCTCCGCCAACGGCCTGGCCAACGTCAAGACCGCCAACTTCGACCAGCAGCTGGGTGTGAGCATCATCAAGAACGCCATCACCCGCCCCGCCCGCACCATCGTCGAGAACGCCGGTCTCGAGGGCAGCGTCATCGTCGGTAAGCTGACCGACGACTTCGGCAAGGACTTCAACCGCGGCTACGACAGCTCCAAGAGCGAGTACGTCGACATGATCGCCACCGGTATCGTCGACCCCCTCAAGGTCGTCCGCACCTCCCTCGTCGACGCCAGCGGTGTTGCCTCTCTGCTCGGTACCACCGAGGTCGCCATCGTCGAGGCCCCGAGGAGAAGCCCGCTGCCCCCGCTGGTGGCATGGGCGGCATGGGTGGTATGGGCGGTATGGGCGGCATGGGCGGCGGCATGTTCTAAGCTGATTAGAAACACCGCTGTCACATTTGCTGCTTTGGCCCCGGCCATCCGTCCTTGTTTGAAAGGTTATCCAGTCCCCCTTTGAGCGCGTCTTTGCATTATATGGGCATCTCCGGATCTGTTCCTTGTTTTGTTTTATCTATTTTCCCCTTTGTTGTAATGTGTTGTACGTCTTTGTTTCCTTTATTTCATTTATTTTTTTTTTCTCCCTCTCCCTCCTCCGAATCCCTCTAGACCTCTTGACTCCGCTTTGTTCTTGAATGGTTGGTTTCTTCACACATCTCCACTCCACTATGTTGGACATAAAAAATTCCGCCGGGAGTTCAGTCCTGTGTACCATATCTGTATTTTATGGATTTACAATCTATTCACCTTATTCGAGATTTCCATTCCTATCTGTAGCTCTAACTAGCCAAAAGATGCCTGATATGCAAGACTTGTCTACCCAAGAGACCTCATCTAGCCCTTCCAACTAAACCCCAAACCAATATAACATAGGAAACACAAAACAAAATCAAACAAAAGAGATCAAGTAAAATTCGTCCCCCGTCTCGAAAACCCACCCCCCTTCTCAGAAACATACCCCGCCTCCACCTCCGCCGGCGGCAAAGCCGACATCCCGCGATCCACATGTCTCCCCCAGATATCATCATCGCGGATCTGCCTATTGCCCCGCCGGAAGTACCTGTACCTGCTCAGTTTGCTCTTCACGGAGGATGTATCCCCTCCGCCGGTGGGTACGGTTTTGTCGTAGCTGATGTCGTCGTCGTTGTGGTTATGGCGGTGTTTGTGGTTGTTGGTGAAGATGACGAGGCGGGTGAAGGCTGCGAAGGAGGCGAGGAAGACGTCTTTGGCTACGGTGAAGGTTATTTTGTGCGCTTCGGAGATGGCGGCGCGGAGGCGTTCGCTGAAGGCCATTATTAAAGCGGCGACTATTATTGCTATTGATGTTGGGGCTGTTTCGTTTCATCTTGTTAGATTTGGTTGGATTTGTTTGGTTTGGTTTGGTGGTGTGGGAGGGAGGGAGGGAAGGGGAAAAAAAGGGTATTTGGATGTGGATATTGGGATAGAGAGTACTAACCGGCTATTTCGAACATGGTGGCTAAACTGAGGTTCGTGGCTTCGCCGCTCCATTCGCTGGCGTTCATTCCGAAGAGGGAGGTGAAGAAGGAGAGAGGTAGGAAGCTGTTGTTTATTTATCAGTATTTTGAGCTCCGGTGTGTGCGTCTAGCAGATGAGGGAGAGGGAGACTGACATGACTGTGAAAATGGTAAACACCATCACTGCTTGCGACTGGCTCTGCGTGACCTCTGCTTGCCAGCGTGCCATGCGGGACTCGTCGACGTTGGCTTGCTTTTGTTTGAGATCGAGGAGGTTTTCGACCTTGACTGGTTAGCCGGGTCAAGAGATAGGTAGGCTAGATGAGAAAAGAGAGGAGACGTACGGATTTCTGAGCAAGCAGAGCATTCTCTTTCATCTCAAGCGTCTGACTGCGGTAGTCGTCTATCCGGGCAAGCGCCTGGTCGACAAACACCCTCCCGTAGCCCTTGTCTTCGAAGTACTCGGACATGACTTCGAGCGTCGCGTGCTGCTGGTCGAGCAGTTTGACGATGGTGCCCAGCTCGTCTATGATGTCTCTCAGCTCTAGCAATGCGGATAGGTCCTCGCGGTTCTGGCGGGCGATGAGCTCGTCTCGTTCGCTGCGCTCTTTGGCGGTCATCATTTTGCCGTCTGCGTTTTTGTTGTATTCGGCGGGGTGGGTGTTGAAGCCGCGGTTTCGGAAGCGTTTGAATGATTTTGTTACGGATTCTGTCTTTGGGGGTCTTAGTATATTGAACAGAATAAGAAGGAAATAGAGGAGAGGTAGTTAGTACCAAGATTCCAATCGACTCTTCGAATATGCGTAAAACCTGCAGGTCATAGTATAGCGTCCTGTCGAGAAGCACGGTAACAGCGTGCAGCGCGATCAATGCGGCCAAATCGCCAGCCGTTTCGAAGCGTCTCGCCAGATCTCCGTTCAACTCGTTATAGATGCTATTGTGCAGGTTTGTCTGCTCATAGAGTTTGTCCTCGGCTTTGGTAGGCTCCTGCTTGGGGAAGAACGTCACGACGGTTTTCTGATCCACAACCCATAGCCAAAGCTGATCGACCATGAGGACCTTGCCGTCCGTGAAATTCCTAGGCGACTGTGTTCTATATTGTGGCGGGGGCGGCTCGCCCAATTCCTCGTTGAGGTCGATGGGTTTCCGGGTTCGTTTCCAGAGCATCTGATCGTCGTCTCTGGCCTCCGTCGACCGCAGATTCGGATAGCCGAACTGGTCGAGGGTTCGCCTTATGTGGATTGGGGGGTCCGAGCCCAGGTATTTCCAGATGAGCTTCGATTCCAAATCTGATTGTGCGACATGATCTGGAGCTGGTTTCGACCGTCCCTGTCGCACTCTCTCTTCGATGATGTTTCGTCGCTGTACGAGATTCCAGTAGGTGTCCCAATGTAGCTGAAGTGCGTGTTAGATCTGACCCATGCAATTTGATTGGTGGAGACTCACGTATGGAAGCTGTCGATAAGAAATGAGGGTTAGAGCAGATCTTCTGGGCGTGGAGGGCAAGACTCACATATAAAGCTAGTCGAGGATCATCAGGCGCTCCCGGCGTGTCCATTGGCGAAGGATTGTTCTGTCGAAAATGGATACAAGCAGGCCGCACAAAGCGCGAGTGCGGGTCTACGTGCCGGTTATAAAGGTGTGCCCACCAGTTCCGGTCGTTGAGCACTTTGCGAAAGCTATTCCGAAGAAATCAGAACGTCAGCTACATGAAGACCACAATGGCAATGGTGATTGTCTTACAATTCCGATTGTTGGTCTTCGTCGCAGGCTTTTCCCAGGACCGGAGGAACCCATCCGGTATGGGTATAGGGAACATGGATCCAGAGAAGTTTCTCGGTGCCCGGCTCTGGTCGATCAAAACGGGGGGCCACTCGAGGTGCCTCGGAAGTCATTTCATTGAGCCGCTCCCTCATTGACGTGGGAATGGGAAGAAACTTCTTATACTTTGCCGAGAGGCTCGTCCTTGAGACATGTTAGTCGCTTCTCTTGTCGACTCTCACCTTGCTTCGACTCACCTGTGGGTTAGTTCTAGACTACCAGTACCAGAGCTCCCCGAAGATGGCCTGACAGGCTCGACTTTCTGGGCATCCTGTGCAGGCTCTTCTTCCGGACGACTGGGATCGAGCTCTTCAGAGTCTCGTTGCTCTGATTCGTCTTTTTGCTCTGAATCCTCGTCAAAATAATTTCCAGCTGTTGGCTCTGTGACATGAATCCTGGGGGATTTCTGTACCACAAAGCTACGGCTTTGCTTCATCGACGGCCTCATGGGAGCTGGTTCCGGCTCTTTTGATACCGCACCACCATGCATCTCATCTATCATGGACGAGCCGTACGGGGAAGAGGGCCTACTGTCAAAGCTGCTCACAGAAGAATCATCTAGCGGAGTGGTCGGCATTCCGCCCGTCTGCGTGAGACGTTCCCCGAGACAGATAGACGGGCCATTCTTTATATAATCATGCAGAGTTGACTTTGTTGACCAAAGCTTCAAAGGCGTCTCATCGCTGACTCCCCGCGCAGGATCCTCAAAAAAGCCGTTGACTTGGACCTTGACCTCCCTTTTCACATGCAACGGGTTGTCTCGCATCGCAGATAGGCGAAGGGCTGCCTTTGTAAAATACTGTAATTCTTTGATAAAGCCCATCCGCGTAGTCCGTTCTTGCCCTTTGAAGCATGCCGTGCCGACGTGGTCGGTAGCCAGGGGTATCTCTTTCTCGTGTTCAAAGTCCAATACTCCTGACCTGATCGAAGTGATGGGAACGTGCATCTCGACCGTGCTTTTCGTCACCGAATCCGTGATGGGCAAAATCGACTCGGCCGTCTCTAAGAAGGTCCAGAGCTTCATGTCGGCGCAAATTGACCTAAAGCGACTAGACAGATGCAAGAGATGCGGATGCCGCGGCCGAAAGAGTTCTCGTAGCCGATATGGGACACGGTACTTCAACTGTAGCAGGTGGTGGACGCTTTTGACATACTCCGGCGCGGACAGGTAGCTGGACCCCTGATGGGGCGTTGCCAAAAAGGCGATCCCATAGCAGCTTGTGTAAATGGACTGGAGGCTCGACGCTGACTGGCTCGCGATAATCAACGCTGCTTTGGCAACGAGGCCGCCAGTGCTATGGCAGATGAAGACGATCGGACGTTTGCTGATCTACCAAGCGTTAGTATCCCACACCGTCCAGGGAAGGTAGCCGGAAACCCGTACCGTCGACTGTCTTTGGTCATGTAACTGTGTCAACAGTTTGTTCGCCAGATCTTCCAGGTCAGCCTGAGGCTTGAGCTTCCCGTGGTCTGCTAGCAAGACGCGCGCACGGGGAAGATGCGTCGCGAGTTCCGAAACAGGCCATGGTGTCTCCGAGTTCTCATCCGACCATGCGCGTACGGGGTCTGCGCCAATGGCGGGCACCACAACAACGCTAAATCAACGTCCTTAGCCTGCCAGTCCTAAGCTTGGGGGAAGCGGGCTTAACTAGACTTACTCCAGGTCAGTCTCAGGGCGAGGAGGCACCGTGCCAACAGTTTCGCGGCTCATGGTCGTCACTTGAGAGTTCTATTTGGGAAATCATTTCAGAGTTCCAACTTCTTTGTGTATTTCCCGCGGTTAAAAGGGACAGGGGTGGGGGGGTGTAAGATGGAAGGTCAAAGGACCATAGTCAATGAGGGGGGTGTCGCCATCATCTGACGACGCGACAAGAAAAAAAGAAGCATGCCCCTGTCTCTGCAGATGACTCCGCTACGGGGCACTCTTTCCCCGGTTTTAATTTGGTCATCTCAGCCTCATGGCTCAACATGGAATAAAGCGACTAAAAGTGGACGGGGGTGCCAATCATGAGGGGAAAAAGGAGAGAGATCGGCCTTGGTCGGTGAACTACTCGTGTTCGCGGCGGCGCACCTGACCCCATGCGGTCTCAGCCTTCTTTTGTTTTACTTCATAAGGTCGCATTTGCCTGGATATGACTCTTTGTTGTGGAGTCATTGGGGCGATGACTTGCATCGAATATGTCGCCTAACAGTCCGGTGTGGTAAGCTTAGTTCGCTATGACGTGAACCCACCGGAGCTATACTATCCCTGTCGTTAAGCCTATGGGGAATGTGGGTATTTCGAGATGACATTTATTCCTCTATTCCATGGATATATTCAGATATATATGTACAGGTTCTCAAAATGCGACGCTTTTTTTGGAAATCAAAAGAACCACCTTTCCCTGGAAAAATGCGAACACAGAAATACACGAGGGAAGGGGCCAAAAGAAGAAGGCTGCATGTATCGCAAGGCGGTATCATCAAGCATGAATCACAGTGACGACTGGCAGATAAGGAGGCCAGTCGATCGCGAAATTAAGGAATAAAAAAGGTATTAGAAATGAACAGCGCCAATTGACAATGCAAAGAGGGGAGTTTGACATGCAAAGAGAGGAGAGACCTCAAAAAACACCAATGGCTGGCCCAGAGCATGTGTCGGAGCCAAGGGATCCACTCGTGAATCAGGTCAAGACATCGATTCTGCGTCAGTGGAAATGTGCCTTTCGTTGACGTCTTGTGCCATTTTCTTCCCGAACTCATAAGTGGAGATCATGATGGCACAAGCCGGTGCTACTTTCAAGCACCGTGCCACCCAGCCACGGAACAGTCCGGGCATACCTTCTTCATGGACTATGTGCAAGAGAAATTTGGGTAAAGAGAGCAGCTCTGGAGGGACCGGCCGCCCTTGCGCCGCAGTACCGAGGGCATTCGGGACCTCGCTGCCCAGATGCCGGAAGACCTGTTGCCGTGTCTTCCCCACATCGAACGGGGTGGTGACCAACGCCGCCAGTGCACCAGACGTCGCACCGCCCACGAAGCTCTCGAAGAACGTCGGCGTCTCGTCATCTTGTGGTGAATGTCCTGTGATGTGGAGGTGCGGTAGTCCATGCTCGTGGGCTGCTTTCCGCGCTTCCAGCAGGTATTTTTTCGCCTCTTCGTAACCCCACCAGTATAAGCCGGAGAATGGGACATCGCGCCACATCGTAAGAGTCAGACCCCTCCAGAGCGAACCGTAGCCGTGGATCTGAGTCATGCGGTGCAATCCCTCAAGCGTCGTCTTGAAGTGCCCGGCGCCGGTGCCGGGGGTGGCTTGCAGTCGCGTTCGAAACATCTCGATGGGGCTGATAGCTGCTGCTGCGCCTATCCTCGCAGTGGCTCCCGCCACGAACGGGGCATATGCATCAGGGCAAAGCCGGTTGATGGGGCTCTTATCATCCGATCGCAGCCAGTCGTACCCCGCAAAGTAGATAATGTTGGCAGGAATGCTCATCATCATCGTCGGGGTTAACCCCCGCCAAAGAGTCCGGGCCCCTTCATTCCGTGCAATTTTGCGTATACCATCCAGGGTAGACGTAAACGTTTTCCGCCGGGTTTCTTCCACCGCACAATCCGCCATCGCTGCCGGAGAGACTCTCACAGTTCCCCCATTGGGCCCCACCATGCATATTTGCGAATTTTGGCCGATCCAAAACACTTCCCGACAACAAGAGGTCACGCCGAGGTTCGGGGGTACGTTTTTCAGGGTCTGCGTCGTGTGGGAGGTGAAGGGCGAGGTGTTCTTGACGGATGATTGCGACTGGAGGCGGACACGGACCACGTCAAGAGGGGTCACTAGATGCCAATGTGAGTATATGTGCGCCAAGTCGCAAGAAGCTATTCCCTTACCTAAAAGATTCGTGAGGATACTCCCGCAGGTGGCGGAAACCATCCGTTGAGAGATGGAGATGTTTTCATTCTTGCGACTAGCATCCGGACTAGGGGCTGAAACCGTTCTCGATGGGGTCGTCATTGTTGAGCCCTTAGTCCAATTCCATGACTCCGACGAACCCTTGTCTTTTGCAGCCCACTCCAAGTCGCCTGGGCGGTATCGGTCTCCAGGCACAGGGTCGGACCTAGCACCCGACATGCAGGCAACAACGGGGCGCCGAACGGATCCACTTCCAACAACACGGTCGGGTATATGAGTTCAAGTCCTAATATCGAACCAGGGCCTGGAAGGTCGATAGAAAAGTAAAAATGAGGCAATGGGGGGAGAAGGTTCGGGGAATAATGCGTCAGTGAAAAAAGAGCGAATGGTCGAGATCGGATGGCGGCGGTGGCGCTTGGACCAAAACAGTTTGGTCGCTGCGATAAGCAACCAACAACGTTCACCTTTCTTCGACCCCCTTCGTTCTGGTGGGTTGCTGGTACCCTGCGGTTTCCTTGGAATCAAGCTTAATTCTATTTATAAATCGAAATGGCCCTGTGAATCGATCGTATCGTTATATCTCTACTCATCTTTGCCTAGGTCTTTTGGTGTTGAGGCCCACACTAGGTTGGAGACCCCGGCTTATCAATCAGTCTCCGTCATTCTCCGCGCCCTGCACTCTAGCACCACGCGTGATTATGGAAGACAACGCCGAGCTCGAGTCGTTTCGACGTCAGTGGAGAGAGGAGGTTGCGCATCGTGCGAGACCGAGACAGGAACCGTCGCAGCCGAGCCAGAAGCGTCGGACGTCAACTGCCCGACCGAGTCATTTCCCTCCGACTCGCCACGGAGCGCTCGAGCGCAAAGAAGAGGAGGATAATGCCCCGGTGTCGTTCGACCAGGGTGAGATTGTGGAAGGTGTTGGTCAGTTGAGTCTGGGAGTCAGCGACGAAAATGCTTTGCAAGCTCAAGAGCCACCTGGGGAACCCGAGTCTGCCCTGGAGCACTTTGAGCGCGCGGTCGAAAAGGAGGCAGAGGGAAGCTTAGGGGACAGTCTGCAGCTTTACCGCAAAGCATACCGAGTAAACCTGATACCTTAATCCATGCAGATGGCGAATAAGCTAACAGTTGGTTGTATAGCTGGACTCTACAGTTGACAAAGCGTACCGGCACAAGCATTTTGCCTGGGCGTGGAAAGAGCCCGCGCAAAAACTAGTCCCCAGTGCTGCTGCGGCGACGACCACAATCCCACCAGGCCAACAATCGCAGGATGAGTCCGAGGCTCTACCGGTCTCCGAGCTTATCGCGTCCTTTGCCCATTGTCCGATTCCGCAGGCGGAACCCATCATCGAGGGCGATACCCCTCCCCCGTGTCCCATCGCAACCGCGCCGACGGATGTACTCGTTGAGATATTGAAACAGGTTGCCGTGATGGACCCGGCATCGCTTGTCCGAATGTCCTTGGTCTGCAAACGCTTCGCGTACCATTTCGCCCACGAACAGCACATTTGGAAACGGATATGCCAAGGCGCGGAGTTCGGTTTCAAGGCCATGCATTATTCATTCGCCTGTGACGTCTTCGGGATCCCCGAATATACTCTGGCCGCCCGCTACACTCCGTTTCCCACGGACGCCCCGGTGCAGATCCCTCCGCCGTTGTCTTCCTGGAGCGATGTCTTTCAGATGTTCCCTCGGATTCGCTTCACTGGAGTTTACATCAGTACCGTCAACTACACTCGCCCCGGCGCGGCATCCTCGTACCAGAATGTGTCGTGGAACAGCCCGATCCACATCGTGACCTACTATCGGTACCTGCGGTTCTACCCCGACGGGTCGGTCATCTCCCTACTGAGCACCGTCGAGCCTCTCGAAGTGGTGCCGTATATCAGCAAAGAAAACGTTCTGGCGGCACGAGCCACCTCGCACAAGCAACACCAGCGACACGCCTCCGACGCAGGCACTACGCTAGCAGGAGCTTCCGATCCGATCCCGTCGGTCGCCATGGGGGCGTTGAAGTACGCCAACCGGGGTCGCTGGCGTCTTGCCAAGCCCTTCCCCTCAGAAGAGGGCGAGGAAGAGGATGTCATGGCCGCCGACCCACTCCCAGACGCCTTTTCGATGCCCGTGAAAACCGACGACGATCCCCGCGACGTCGTCATCGAAACTGAGGGCGTCGGCCCCAAGTACCGCTACCTTCTCTATCTCTCCCTCCGGTCACCTTCTGCCGGGAAGGCTAACGCTGTCAACCCTTCGCCGTCTGTCCCGTCGAAGAACACGAAACTAGTGTGGAAGGGCTATTGGAGCTATAACAAGCTGACGGACGACTGGGCTGAGTTTGGACTACGCAATGACCGGGCGTTTGTCTTTAGACGTGTGCGCGGATGGGACATGGCATGAACTATGAACGAAGGTTGATGATGTAAATGTCATGGGCATTGGTGAAAGAATGGATAGAGGGTCCCCTGGTTACGATCGGAGATATCAAAACTATATATGAGATAGATGAGATCATGATACAAATTGGTTGTCTAGTTATTGAGTGCACATACTTGGATATATGTAGTTCCTGGTGTTGATATTGATAGGTATTATTGGAAGAGATCAGTATGACGAGATCAGAACGGAAGATTGTATTGGTTATGACCGACTTTACCATTCAATCTTTCTTCGCCCCAGTTAATACGATTATAGAATCCTTCCCTTTTTCTTTTTATCTTGTACTTTCTCTTCCCTTATATAGGTCAGGTCTTCTCCACCTCCAATCCCGAATCCAAACACCCAAACCGAACCATGGAATCTCCACGCCAAGCACCTTATCGATAAGCAACGCCAGCCTTAACCCATCCAAAAGGCAGAAAAAAAATTTCGGGGAAAAAAGCACCGCAAATAGCAACAACTAACACAATCAACACCAAGACGAATCCTCTCCCGGGCTGACTGGCTGTTATACCTGTACATTCAGGATTCACCTATAACCTACGATTCGGTCGCCCGACACCTTTCCACAGACACAATGCCCGAGCGGGTACGCACCGTCTTTGACGACGATGTGGACAGCCACCAGCCGCCGGTGCAGACCGCACCGCAGGAGACTGTCGCGCCCGAGCCGCCTTTGAAGAAGCGGAAGACGAAGGATGGCGATTCCGTCGCGGATAGAAAGAAGAAGAAGACGAAGAAATCTACAGTTACAGACACAGCGCCGGCGACGTCTCCTCCTCCATCCTCCGAAAACAACGTCGAGCAACGAAACTCCCAAGACTCCAACCCAGCACCGCTCAAAAAGACACAGAAGAAGCGAAACGATGCAGTGGTGGATAGACCCGTGCGCGACAAGAAACACGAGTCCGCCCTTACAGACGGCAAGGACAAGAAGCGGCCGCCGAGGGAGTTCCCCGGTCTCCGGGACAAGGCGCGCGCTTTGTACGAAACACGCAAGAACTTGCCGATTTTCCCGCATGGGGACGAGATCAGGCGGTATCTGAGCAACAATGATGTGATGTTGTTGGTGGGTGAGACTGGTAGCGGAAAGAGTACCCAGATTCCGCAGTTCCTCGTCGATGAGCCGTGGTGTCGGCCGAAGAGGGTGAGCCCTGTCGGAAAGGGTGCTGCCGCTGCCGCTGATAGTGGAGACGGTGGGAAGGACAAGAAGAAAGGGGATGGGAAGATGGTGGTGGGCGGGTGTATTGCGATTACGCAGCCGCGTCGGGTGGCTGCTATTTCGCTGGCGCGGCGTGTTGCGGAGGAGATGGGTACGCCGTTGGGGTCGTCGTCACCGGCGAGTCAGGTTGGGTACTCGGTGCGGTTTGATACGTCTACGTCGCCGAGTACGCGGGTGAAGTTCTTAACGGAGGGGATGCTGCTGCAGGAGATGCTGCGCGATCCGGCGCTGACGAAGTACAGCGCTGTGGTGGTAGATGAGGTGCACGAGCGCGGTGTCAATGTGGATTTGGTGCTGGGTTTTCTGAGGAATCTGGTGACGGGGAATCGTGAGGCGCGTGGTGGGCTGCCGTTGAAGGTTGTGGTTATGAGTGCTACGGCTGATATGGAGAGTTTACTTGGGTTCTTTGAGGAGGGATATACGGGTGGCGTGGACAGGGGTTTGGTACAGGAGAAGGAGGAGGCTACGGGGACGGACGAAGCGAAGACGCAGGACGACATCGCGGTGTGTCATATCAAGGGCCGTCAGTATCCTGTCAAGACGATCTACGCCCCGGCGCCGGTGCATGATTTCGTCGACGCGGCCCTCAAGGTCATCTTCCAGATCCACTGCAAGGAGCCCCTGCCCGGCGACATCCTCGTTTTCTTGACGGGGCAGGAGACGGTGGAGGCTCTCGAGCAGCTGGTCCTCGAGTATGCCGAGGGCATGGATACCGCGCTGCCCAAGATCCAGGTGCTGCCGCTGTTCGCGGCGCTTCCCCAGGCTGCGCAGCAGCGCGTGTTTCTCCCCGCGCCGCCTCGCACCCGCAAGATCATCCTGGCCACCAATATTGCCGAAACCTCCGTCACGGTGTCCGGGGTCCGGTTCGTGGTGGACTGTGGAAAGGCCAAAGTCAAGCAGTTCCGGACGCGTCTGGGGCTGGACTCTCTCCTGGTCAAGCCTATCTCAAAATCGGCCGCGATCCAGCGAAAGGGTCGTGCCGGTCGAGAGGCGCCCGGGCAATGTTATCGACTTTACACGGAGAAGGACTATCTGGCTCTTGACGAGGTCAACACCCCCGAGATCCTGCGTTGCGATCTAAGCCAGGCGTTGTTAAATATGAAGGCCCGTGGGGTCGACAACGTGATGGGCTTTCCGTTCCTGACCCGGCCCCCGCGCGAGGCCCTGGAGAAGGCACTCCTGCAGCTCCTGAGTATCGACGCCCTCGAAGATTCCGGGGCGATCAGCGCCACCGGACAGCAGATCGCCAAACTCCCGCTTACCCCGACGCTGGGACGCGTCCTTCTGGCGGCCTCCGAGTTCGGTGCGGGTTGTCTGTCCGACGTGATCGACATCATCTCGTGTCTCAGCGTGGAGAACATCTTCATCAACACCAACTCGGAAGAGAAGAAAGAACAGGCAGAGAAGGCACGGCACGACCTCTACCGGCGCGAAGGCGACCATCTGACCATGCTGGCCACAGTGCAGGCCTACGCAGCGGAGCATAGCGACCGCAAGGCATGGGCCGAACGACATCTGGTCTCCCACCGGGCCATGCAGTCCGTTATGGTGAGTTCTCTACTTTTCCCAGCCATCAACAGCATGCCTGTTCCCTCCCCCCATGCCCAGCTCCTACGCAGCCCAGCCATGCCCAGCCTTTGCTGACCGCTTCTTAGGACGTGCGCAAACAACTCACCACTCAATGTCGCCAAGCTCAGTTATTGCCCAACCCCTCGGATTCGCGGGGTACTAACGGTACTAACTCGTTCGACCCGTCCCTGGTCCGGGAGCCCTCCCCGGTGGCCATCCTGAAGAGTTTCCTGCGTGGGTTCGCGACCAACACGGCGCGACTGGTCCCTGACGGCAGCTATCGCACCGTCGTGGGGAACCAGACGGTCGCCATCCACCCGTCCAGCGTGCTGTTCAGCAAGAAGGTCGAGGCTATCCTGTACAACGAGTTTGTGTTTACGAACCGCAGTTATGCGCGGGGGGTGAGTGCGGTCCAGATGGATTGGGTGGGGGAAGCGTTGGCATGATATTCTTATTTACCCCTTCTCCTTTCTCCCTTTCTTCTTTTTTTTTTTTTTTTTTTTTAAATTCCATCATGAATCATTGTGATTGCTGCCCTTTCAGCCTTGTTTTCGACCTGTCCCTGTATATAGAGACCAATTGACTGTGGATTGGGGAATGATGGCCGATGTTTGGTCGGATCAACATCCCCACCACTAGACTCGCCTTAGTCCTTTCTTTCTGTGGACAGACTAAACCATGACCTGTCATTCTCCTCTCCCACCACGGTGCTGATCTCCAGTGGGGTCTGATGTGCCCTGTAATTCCGGATCCTCTCCAACACACCGGGCGAGTTTCATGCTGTGGGTGAGTTGGCCATTCTTATCTACCCGGTCGATCGTGTGATCAGGATCCATTCAAGTGGATTTCATAGACTCGAATTAATCAGAAGAGGATCAAAGATCAAAGTGACGAGTCCCAGTTGAATCCGACTATATAATCAGTTGAGTCTGGTCGGGTGACGGGAGACACCTCAGTCAGCCCAAGTCACGCTTCTTCCCTTGCATCATCGTCCTCTCTTCTCTTCTTCTTCTTCTCTTCGTCTCTTCGTCTCTTCCGCATCGGGACGTTCCATCTGGACAACTTTCACTTCTCTTTTCTTTCCTTTTCTCCTCCTCCTCCTCTTCTTCCTCGTCTTCTTGTTCTGGGCCAACGAGTGATAGATCATCCTGTTATCGCACAACGCCACCCCCGACTTGCCTATCATCAGGATCGCGTCACATCACCGCAATCCCTCTACATCCCGTCATCTTATCGAACTAGTCGGGTTGATCTGCGTCCCCATCCCATTTATCCCTCCATCCTCGCTGTCCTTTTCTTCCTTCTTTAGTTCGTGGTTTCAACTTGGTGTAATTATTTTATTTTATCATTTATTTTTTTACTCTCCACTGCGTCTTCTCATCATTATCGTCAATCCGCGGGGAGATCCACCGATCGGACATCCCCAATCCTCACCACACCATGGCGTTTCGTCTACCACCACAAGTCCCCCATCGTCAACGTCCCTACTCCACCTCCCAACCCCCGCCCTCGACCTCTCCCCATCCGTTTCGCAGCCCCCGGAAAACGACTCGACTGAATGGGTGCTCTTCTCCCCCTCCCAACCTTCCGTCACCGCCCATACACACACCACCTCCACCGAACATACCCCGCGCACCGCGGGCGCGTCTCGTCTCAGTGACTTTGGCTCCTTTGGCACCGTGACCCGGTCCGCCTTGGGCCCCGAACAGGAAGATGACGCCGACGACCTGGATGATGTGTTGGACGAGGATGGGACCGAGTTAGACAGTCTAGACGACGGTCTACACGCCTTCCGAGCCCCCGAGGTGGATCAGGGATCCGCCTCCAAGTGGGACCAAGGGGACAGCTCCGTTCTTCCGGCCCATGACGGCCTAGGCAGCTTCCAAGCATCTAGTCAGACCGTGCAGGACCAATTGTGGCAGCATGAGCAGTACAACCCCCGGCGGAGACCCGAGCTGCGCCTGCGCCGCCATTCGAGCGTCCAACGCCAGCTAGATGCCATGGTGGATAATGACCGGACCGATGCGGAGCGGGACCGCTGGCAGCGGATCGAGAGGTGGAGAATGGACCAGAGCCGGATGCTCTTGAACGAGATCGAGAAGGAGACGCGGAAGCGGCGCAGCAGTTGCGCGGGCGTGTCGTCGAGTGATCGCGCCATGCCACCGTCCGTGACTCCGGATACGCCACGCAGTATCCCGGAGGCGGCTCCCGCGGAGAAGCCCCAGGAGGGTGATCCGGAGTCGCTTTGGCAACGGATCACCCGCAAAGTCATTCGGGATCTCATCGGCATCGACGATTCTCTGCTCTCAGTCATCTTCGGGGAGTCCCTGGTGGACACCGATCATGATGCGCAGCGTACATCTACGGGGACGAGTCAGCCTTTTGATTTGAATGAGGCGTTGAATAGGGAGCTGGGCTCCGTGCCGGACGACCAGAACCAGTGGCAGAGCAAACTCCTTCAACGCATCGCACACGAACTCGGCGTGCTGGTTCACCAGCTCTGCGAGCACCCCGGCGCATTCACGACGTACCTCAACGTGTCGAATGACGCTCACAACCAGTACGCGGGGATCCCGCTCAGTCGTGTCCCGGAAGAGGGAGCGGAAGCCCCAGACACAACGGTATCCACCCGGCCTGAATCCTCGTCCAAGGCGACGGGCATAAGCCTGGGAGAGTCCATGCCCTCGCCGCATTTTAGCCCGACGATCCGTAGTTCCCATTACCACGAGCATGCAGCGCAGTGGGGCATCGAAGACGACGCTGATTCAAGCCGCGCAGCAGAGCCCTTATCGGAGTCCGCGCGTGTTCAGCACGAGAAAGAATACTGGGAGCGCGAACTCGACGTCATGATGGTATTCCGGTACCTCCGCAACCGGTTCAGCCATCGCAGCACCACCTCAGATTCGCACCACACCACATCACGCCGTCCCCCACAGGACGCCTCGCGGCGCGCGGCGGTCATTCGCCAGCACCACCCGCTCGTAGCCCGCGCTCACTCCCGCTCCCAGGCCCAGGCCCGTCGCCAGTCACAATGCTCAGCCAACGGTGCTGGTTCAACAGGGGTCTCCTCGCCAATCCTCCGACAGCACTTCCGACGCTCCAGCTCCAGCTGTGCCAGCCAGAGCGCCAAGCGGTCGGCCATTTCCAGTCGGCGAACGCTCACCAGCTCCAGCCGAAACTACTGGGACATTGGGGGGAGCGTCGACAGCGGCAGCGCCGTGGTCCCGGTGAGCGCGGGGGTACCGGCGTGGGGGGATGTCTAGCATGGTTGGTTATCGACGTACCTATCATTTGGATATCGATAATCCTTACCCATCTATCATGTCTCCCAGGAAGTTCCGTGCTTCCTATTGTCACGGCTTTATGTTTATTTTTATTTCATGATTATATTCTTTGGTCTGAACGGTTCGGTTTTCGGGCGTTGGCTGCTTATATACGTGTGGTATGACATATGATATATATACTGTACTTAAGTCTCTCTTATATACTATATACTAGCCGCAAGGCTCGGGATATATATTTTGGTTTTACTTGTCTTCGTTGATCCCTTTTGAATATTTATCATTGCAAAGTTATCAAATTCGTATGAAGAACATGCTAATCATGAGAAAGTAGGCAGACAGGTGTCCAGGGTTGCCCTCAACAACAGGTTCCGTGGTGTACACAGCAGGTAGACAGACAATCGACTCAGTCCATCAACAATTTGTAATACCCACTCAGTGTATGACAATAAAATCCATATTCATCCAACAGATTTTACTCTTGAAACAAGACTCCTCTATGACCGATGGGACTAAAATTGGCAGAATGAATGATGGGATTATCACTGCGTGGTGGTCTTGAGTGACCTGCTTATTTATATCATGCCTTGAAAGGGTGTCTTTTGGTAAGATGCAACTAGAGTCATGAGTATGAAGGAGTTGTCGAAGGAAGAGAGGAGTCTAGACTAGGACTGACAAGGCTGAGAGACGCAACAATATCGGGCTTGATCTATTGTACAGTATTTACTCTATTGAGTTCGTTAACCATTTGCAGACTGCATAGCTAGTTGATAAGAGTCTATAAAATCACTCTACTGATCTCTGGATAATGATATAAAAATATCAACTAGTGAGTACCAGCTTGGTCTTCCTCTGAAAGGACTGATATCACTGAACTACAGCCATATCATATTCATATCGTGCCTGCTGTAGCTTGAGCTATACTAAGTAGTTCACCATGCGGTGATAGCAGTCATTCATCATTCATATTTAGATAGTGTTTGGCAAGAGTGACCAGTAGAAAACAGTCATAGACAAACACACGAGCTGAATATCATGGTGAGGGCTGCTTCACTCATGTTCTTGCTCTACGCTCAGTTTATATCAAGGTGACTTAATCCTCGTTGGTGGGGAAGTAGGTTGGTTGTCGTTGGAGGGAGCTGAGATGGTTTTTGGTAGGAGTTCCACTACATCATGTATTGTCCTTGATAGGTATCTAGCTCTGCTATCCAAGATCTAGTGTGGGGTATTTGATCAAGATCCCTATCTAGATAGGTAGATTGGTTGTATGACGATTGACTTCGATGGTATCAGTTCAGTATGGGGTTGTTGTTAAATTATAGGGTTGCGGGCAGAGATGGATATCTACCACTACGATCTGTACTCCATCCGTTTAGAGAAACGGTCAAGGTATAATACCACATTAAAAGAAAATCAATAAAGGCCTCTTTTTTTTTGGTCCACGAGTTGATATCTTGTCCTAACGCTAATCATGACATTTCCCATTTCCCCACACCGCCATTTAAGCGGCATACGCATCAGGGAAGCGCTTCATGTTCTCCTCGACGGGACCGTGGCCACGCAGGAACTGGGCGTAGGCACCGTCCGAGCGGAGCTTGCCACCCTGGCGCAGCTCGACGTACTCCTCGCGGCGGAAGGGGGTGAAGCCCCAGTTCTTGGAGACGATGATCTTCTGGCGACCGGGGAACTTGTAGGTGGCGCGGCGGAAGGCCTCGATGGCAGCGGCGCGGTTGGCGTCACGGGTGCGGACGGAGACGAGGATCTGGCCGATGTTCACACGGGCGACGAGACCGTTGGGCTTGCCGAAGGCGCCACGCATACCGGTTTGGAGACGATCCGCACCGGCACACGAAAGCATTTTGTTGATACGGACAACGTGGAAGGGGTGCACACGCACACGGAGGTGGAAACCTTCCTTACCGGCGATCTTGACGAGGTACCTAAATATTGTTAATCCTTCTGCTTTTTCGTTTTCCTGTTTCTGTCGGTGGTTGAGGTGGCATACTTGTTGGCGCAGATACGGGCGGCTTCCAGAGCCTCGGAAGACAGCTGTTCGTACTCGTTGGAGACCATGTGGACGCACAGGGGGAAGTCGTCCACGTTGGCCTTCTTACGACCCAGATCGAAGATGCGAATCTTGGGGTCGGGCACACCACGGTTGAACCGCGACTTAGGGTACGGCTGGAGGGTGGTTAGTTGCCATCATGACCTGGAGCGATAGAAAACGCATGAAAAAAAGAAGAAGAAAAAAAAAAAAGGAAAATAATAGAAACGATCGGCCAAATGAAGAGATGCAACAATTCATAGATACACGAGATCATGGCCACATCGTATGCGAAATATCCCCCATGATGTCTCTCTCATGATCATGATCGCATAAGCGAGATTCCGCCCTCACAAATCCACAACGGATCCCAATAAAACAGAAAAATGAAGATCAAACGCAACAGTCCAGAAAACCGTCAATAACGCACCTTGTTCTTGCAGTAGCGGTAACATCTCGCGGGACGACGAGCCATTTTGACGGATGGGGATGACCTGACGGTTAGTTGTCGAAAAAGGTGGTGGTGTCGAAGACTCAAAAGAACCCAAGGGGGGAAAGGGAAGGACTGGGTTTCCTCCGTTGATTTCCAAGCAGCGCCCACTAACGAGTGGCAAAACCCTAAGCCCTAGGGTGTCGGCCAATCAGGGGCTGCCCTGTCTTACCGCATTTGTCATTTCTCTCCAGTCATGATTCCCATGTCATCGATGAGACGGACATCGGATACTTATACGGAGAGATTCTGTTTGATTTATAATGATAACTGACAGGTTTATTGATGGTGTGGTTATGGTCATGTTTTGAGGTCAGTATCTATTTACGGAGTACTATCTACCCACACCATATCTGTAGTCTACCTGACAGAGCATGTCCACCTACAAGTACAACTACAACTACAGCATTACTCTCTACTGATAAAAGATAGTTCAAGTGACCATTCATGTCATTTCTACCAGTCCCGTAAGATTGACTTCCACAACATGAACCCATCCAGCGTCACCCTTACTGGCTGGTCAAGATGTCGGAGTCACCAGCATCCAGCACGGTCATGGTGCTGGTGCGGAAGAGCTTACCGCAGGCAGTGCCCAGCTCGATCTGTGCCTGTTAGCAACCTTCCTCCATCCTCGACTTGAGGATTTTATATCAAGATGAACGTACGTTGTTGCCAGCGAAGTGGTGCACGGGAGCCTTGGCGAGCATGGCGTAGTACTCAAGCTCACTCTTGCGGAGAGGGGGAGTGTTGGCCGCGATGATGACCAGCTTAGCCTTGCCGGACTGTACAATTGAAGATTCGTCAGTGGTTTGTTCCGTGTTGTTGTATATGGGCTTTGCGTCTTCCGGGTTCCCATATTCCACACACAAATGGTCAACATACACGCAGGGTCTTGATAGTCGACTTGTAGCCAAGGGTGACTATAATCAAAATCCAATTAGCATCTCCCGTCCTGTCTTCGAAGCTTCAGGTTCATATTAAACATACCCTTGCCGGACTTCATCACAAGCGCCAGGCGCGAGTTGATGGTATCACCGGACTTCTTGCTCTTGGGGGCCATCGTTGCTGATATTGCGCTCCGGCCGGAAACTTGAAGTAAGGCTGGGGGGTAGAGGATGTGGATGGGGAGTGAAGATGCGGCGGGACAAAAATGACTTCGTAGAGATTTGATTTTTGTGGGTTTGACGAGTCTCGGACCCCCACTTGCTCCGTTCCGGACTGGATGAGTCAGCAATGTTCTATTTCGGTATTGGTGAGTCAGCTTTTTATGTCGCGTTGCATTAATCTCATTATATAAGCATTATTACTGGGCAGGTATTACTGATGTAATTCATGTAATTACGGTACTCTTCATCTCCCCTGAGGCCAGCATGTGGTGGGAGCATGGCAGGATGTTTGTCCACGATGGGAGTCGTGGCGCAGTGGCCGCCCTTTCTGGCCCCTCGTCTGACGCAAAGACTGTTGCAGTGTTGTTGCTGTGTTGTTATCGTCCGGATGTTCTGATTAGGCGTTCCTTTATTTATTTTATTTCATTCGAGATTATTTTATCTTCTTCCATTTATTAAAGTTCTGTCTCAGGCGCACCGCTGGGGAGCCTGCTGGGGAGCCTTCCGCTGTATAGCGCAAGGACTCGGGAAGTGAGGATGATGCTATCTTTATCTCGGTCTAATTTTATGTTATTTTACTTTATTTTCTTTCCTATTCTCCATGACTCGTGACTCGTATCTCCAACTCAAGTCGAGGAACTCATAGGATAGATAGTACTCGTGTTGCATCCTCCTAAACTTACTATACGACTCGCTCTCCTTAAATTGTATATAGTATATATACCTATATCTTAAATACTGCAGACCGGAGATTATGCTGCAATAAAACACCTGCAGACGGCGGATATGCTGGTCTTAATACGGACAAGACAGACAGACAGATTCCCTAGACAACCAGAGTAAACCGTACGGAAACAACAATTTCTATCGAATACTCAGCTCAATACTGGTAATTACCGTCACAATACCACCCAGTGCCCGACTTCCACTCTTGTTGGTTGTCTGGATGGCCCGAATTGGGATTATCCCTCATGCTGGTCAACCGATGATCCCCTAACTTATCTTGATACATCTGTCGACACTTCTTCTTCCATTTCCCTTTTCTTTCATCTTGTCCGCAACTGCCCATCCTTGCTCTGCACTTCTCTTCTCCCCTCCTTCTCATCCTCACCTCATCCTCTCGTAGAATGGTGGCTAGTCAATCCAGCCATCCATTCTAACTTAACCTCCTCCCCACCACGGAACGTTACTAGGCAAGATCTAGTGGTGGTGTCCACTACGGTGGTTTGACCGCTACTACGACGTTAACTGACTATATACCCCCCGCTCCTTAAATTCATCGATTTAATTTCCCGGCCGTTTCATCGATATCTGGCTTCTGTCCACCACTACGTCAACGTCTCTCTCCTTTCCTTTCTCCTTTCTTCTTCTCTTGATCCAGAACTCATTCGCGCTCGCTCTTCGTCGTCACCTCTTTGTTGGTGATCATGTCGGCGACACCTCGCAAACCCGGTACTCCGGGCAGTTCCCGCAGCTCTTCCACCGCAGCGGAAACCAGTCCTCCCAATGGATCCCCCGCGCGCACCCATTCGCGCGCCTCCAGCACCGCTCCCAACGGCCTGCAGCGCTCTCCGTCCTACCGGGGCTCCACGCCCGTGTCGGCGCGAGCGGCCGCCCGCAAGCCCGGTCGCTCCAACCTCAGCATGTCCAACGTCCCCAAAATGAGCCCCGACCCCACCGAAGAAGAGGCCCGGGCGCAGAACGCCGCCCTCATCAGCGACCTGAAGGAACAACTTCGCAAGGCCGAGACCGCCTCCGAGCAATATGGGAAGCAACTAGGTGTCCTGCAGATGCGCCTTGACGAGGCCATCAGCGAGCAGGGCAAGCTGGAAGACCAGAGCCATGAGCGGGATAGCAAGATCGAGTCCCTCAACAACGAGATCCGCGATCATGTCCGCCAGATCCGCGACCTCGAACAGGCACAGGAGATGGAGCGGAATGCCTTGCTGCAGGAGAAGGAGCAGTACGGTAGTCGCGAGGAGGAAATGCACGCCACCATCCAGCGGCTGAAGGAGTCGCTGGCCCAGAAGGGAGCGAATGGTGATGGCGACAAGAATGTCACTCGTTCTTGTAAGTGTCTTTGAATTGTGTGTGGTTGGTGTGAATCTTTGCTAACCCCCCTCTTAGCCAGTTTCCGTAATCGGGCCTCCCCCGATGTGGACGGTCAATTTGCCCCGTCGTCGCACCTCGAGCGCAGCCCCTCTCGCAACAACTCCAAGCTGCTGTTGCAGAAAGATAAGTTGATCGAGTCCCTGCGCCTCGAACTCGCCGAGTCGCAGATCAAGCTCGTCGAGATGGAGAACAAGGGCGGTGGCCGCCAGCGGGAACTGGAGAAGGACCTGCTGGAGGCTCGCATGGCCAATGCCCGCCTGATGGAAGACAATGAAAGTTACCAGCTCCTCCTGAGTGAAAGAACATTGAATGGTGACTTTGCCAAGGGTGACTTCATGCGCGACGCCCACACCGAGCCCTCCACGACCAAGGAGTCGGGTAGTGGCCTGGGCTCCTTGGCGGACGAGCTGGAGTCAGCCGACGCCCGATCCGAGGCGGACGACTCCCGCAAGCTGGAGTCCGAAATCCGGACGCTGAAGGATCAGAACAAGGCCCTGACCCTCTACATCGAGCGCATCATCAGCCGCGTCCTGCAGCACGACGGGTTCGAGTCCGTCCTGGACAAGAACGAAAACGCCGCCCAGAACAGCGCCAAGACGACCCAGAACAAGGACCTGCCCCCGACGCCCGTTGAAAAGGACGACGCCGCGCAGCAGAGCTTCCTCCAGCGGGCCCGGACCGTGGTGGCCGGCCCCCCTCCCACTCGGGCCCCGCGATCGCGCCCGTCGAGCTTCATGCCTCCGCCGACTAGTGTGCCCCCGTCGGCCTTCGAGAACCCGGAGACGGCACCGAGCATTCCCTTGAACCGTGGTCAGTCTGTCCGGACCAGCCACCGTCGCGCCAGGTCGGAGCAAACCGATCCGGGTGCGGCCGCCCTGGTCACCCAGATGTATCGCGGCCGCGCCTCTGGAGGCCCCATGAGCCCGACCCTGATGGGTCCAGGGTCCCGCCAGAGTGTCATGTCTGCCACCAGCTACATGTCGTCGGGCATGAGTGCCAGCCGTGCCCCGTCCATGTCCAGCCAGCCGGACCGCGGCCGTCTCAGCAGCTCCGACAGCGTCACCAGCGACCCCCCGGGCGATACGGCCTCCACCGGCGCGACCTCAAACTCTCCTCGCTCCAGTATCGGAATGAACAACTACCCCGGTGCGGTCATGACGCAGAACAAACTGCGCCCGCTGCGACTGGTCAGCGAAGCCAAGGCCGCGGATGAGGATGATGCGGCGCGGAAGAAGGCCAACCGCGGAAGCTGGATGCCGGGTTGGTTCGCCCGCCCCGGTTCCAGCGAATCGGCGCAGCAGCAGGCTTGAGTTCGCTCGAGTCGTGCCGTCTGAATGATTTGAAACGTTTGTTTTCTTTTTTTTTTCTTATTTCCCAATTTTTTATCGCGGTTGGTCGATTCCACTACAGTGTAAAGTGCTTCCCGGCTGCTATGCATGCCTGGCTGGGCGTCTGGTAGTGGACGGTCCGGCTGTTGTCACGTTTAATACCCTGTCATCCTTGTTTGTCATGAGTCTCTTGAGTTGAGATGTGGTTATGAATCTGATGCTGGATGGATTCCGAGATGTACTGTGGAATGCCTTTTTGTGGGACGGGTTACTTTGGTATTGTTTCATCTGTTGATGCCTGCCTGCCTGTCCTTTTATGATGAACATACATACGCGATGGTTTATATATTCCGTTGATAGAGTGATGATTGCTGTAAACGGTCCCTGTATTTTATATAGTATTGAATGTCAAGATCCTCTCTTACTTTTCTCCATCACTCAAGGAAATACCAATTCCTGACGATCAATGTCTATTCTAGTGGAATGGATCCCTTTCTAGACCAGAGCATGTATACCCGGAACAACGTTAGTGCGCCCCGAATTGCGGCCAGCTTGCCGGAAATAACACCAACAAGACGCTTCAATCCAACTATTGACACATCACCACTCCGTCAATTAAACAGACTCAAAATACCGCCCACCATGCCCGGCTCCCTCTCCCTCTTCTCCGTCAATGCCGTCCTCCTGATGTCGGCCGACGACGGCTCTCGCATCTTCGCCAAGTACTACTCGCCGCCTCACCCCCCGGCCGGGACCGCTCCCAACTCCACCGACTACCCCGGCGCCAACCCCTATCCGACCCTGAAGGAGCAGCGCGCCTTCGAGCAGGGTCTGCTAGACAAGACGAACAAGCAGACCAGCGATGTGATCCTGTACGATAACCGGATCGTGGTCTTCAAGATGGAGAGCGACGTTATGCTGTATGTGGTGGGCAGCGCCGACGAGAATGAGGTCTTGCTGTATAATGTTGTGCTGTCGCTGCGGGATGCTCTGGGGATTCTTTTCAAGTATTTTCCTCCCTTCTTATTCAATTGATCCCCTCTCCTTGTCTGTGGTAGGACCTGCACGCTAACGCCGGTGTCTTTTTCACTCTAGGGGCGCAACCGACAAGCGCACCATCATCGAGAACTACGACCTCGTCGCGCTGGCCATCGACGAGCTTATCGACGACGGCATCATCCTCGAGACGGACCCCGTCCTCATCGCCTCGCGCGTGAGCCGCGCCCCGGCCCCCGACGCGCCCAACCTTAAGAGCATCGATCTGTCGGAACAGGGTCTGATGAATGCTTGGGAGCTTGGGAAGCGTCGTCTGGCGGAGGGATTGCGGCAGATGTAGAGCTGTCTTATCTCTTCTTCTTCTTTTTTCTTTTTTACAAGTGTTTGCATCGGTGTGAATTTCCTTGTTTTGTTCACCCTTGTTACTTATGTTTTATTTTTCAACTTTCCTGTGTTTAAATCTGGCTGGTCCTGGCGCAGGTTATTTACTCTATTTTTTTTTTTTTTATTGGATTGTTTATTCCCTTTCTGGTTTCTTTGCTGTCTGGGATTATAAAGATACTCCGTCTTGTTATAGTCTTGCGAAAGACACCGGGATATGAAACGTGGCTTAACATGAATACCTAGAATTGAGACAGACAAAGTAAAACATATATATTGAAACAATAAGAATAAAAACTAATCTAAGATAAAGCCAACTTCATACCCAGACCTAGATAATATCTAAGTAAGAGGAATTAACTAATAATAGAAAGCCATGGAAAGCAGCAATACAAGCGGCGACTCAAAAGGGGAAAAGATGCCCCGCATACGTCAGTGGGCCAGCCAGAGAGACCCGATCCATTTCCAGACTCTTCAACTTCAAACTTCTTCACCAGTCCACTTTTCTTCCCTCACCTAGAGAAGTGAGGTATTGTTTCTGCTAAATACTTGAGAGTCACTACCGGTAGTCACTGCCCAGGATGAAGCAAAGATTTTCGTCCTTGGACGTTAAGGTGGGTTTGATTTTTACATGCTTCTTTCCGCTTCTCCGAAGGAGCTGCGGGGGGAGGGGAGAAAGAGAAAGCTTGGGCTTGAATGAGGTTGGCTGACGCGCATGGACACGATATAGGTTATTTCGCAAGAGCTCTCTGCGGAGCTTGTTAATCTGCGAGTATCGAATATATATGATCTATCTTCGGTGAGTGCCTACCCAGCATCGCCTACATATACAGGGCAGAGCGCACACAGATACAGCCATCCCTCCCTACAAGACAAATAAGAAATCTAATCGAAGTCTCTATCCAGCGAATCTTCCTCTTCAAACTCGCCAAACCCGACCACCGCAAACAACTCGTCATCGACTCCGGCTTCCGCTGCCATGTCACGCAATACTCACGCACAACAGCGACCGCGCCCTCGGGGTTCGTAACGCGCATGCGCAAATTCCTCAAATCCCGGCGCATCACCTCCATCACGCAGATCGGCACCGACCGCGTCATCGACTTCGCCTTCAGCGACGGCATGTACCACATGTTTCTGGAGTTTTTCGCGGGCGGTAACGTGATCGTCACCGACGCCGAGTATAACATTTTGACGCTGTTCCGGCAGGTGCCGGCGGGTGTGGGCGAGGAGGAGATGCGCGTGGGACTGCGCTATACGGTGACGAATAAGCAGAATTATGGGGGCGTGCCGGAGATTACGGAGGAGAGGATTAGGGGCACGTTGGAGAGGGCGGTGGAGGTGTTTAAGAGGGAGGATGGTGCGCCGAAGAAGTCTAAGAAGAAGAGGAATGCGGATGTGTTGAGGAAGGCCCTGTCGCAGGGGTTTCCGGAGTATCCGCCGTTGTTGCTGGATCATGCTTTTGCGGTTAGGGGCGTGGATCCGGCGACGCCGTTGGAGGAGGTGTTGCGGGATGAGGGGGGTCTGCTGGGTGCGGTGAGGGGTGTGTTGGAGGGGGCGCGGGGAGAGTGGGGGAGGCTTTCGATGGAAGGGAGTCATCCGGGGTTTATTGTTGCGAAGGAGGATGCGAAGGCTGCGGCGAGGGGGGAGGTTGTGGGTGGTGATGATGATAAGGCTGGTCTGCTTTATGAGGACTTCCATCCGTTCCGGCCGCGTCAGTTTGAGGGGCGGCCGGGGGTCAAGGTGTTGGAGTTTCCGTCGCTGAATGCCACTGTGGATGAGTATTTCTCGTCGATCGAGACGCAGAAGCTGGAGTCGCGGCTGACGGAGCGCGAAGAGGCCGCGAAGAAGAAGCTGGATGCTGTGAGGCAGGAGCACGAGAAGCGGATCGGCGCCCTCAAGGATCAGCAGGATGTTAACGTCCGCAAGGCCGGCGCGATCGAAGACAATGTTTACCGCGTTCAGGAGGCGATTGACGCCGTGAATGGCTTGATTGCGCAGGGCATGGACTGGGTTGAGATCGCTCGCTTGATTGAGATGGAGCAGGGACGGGGGAACCCCGTCGCTGCGATCATCAAGTTGCCGCTGAAGCTCTACGAGAACACGATTACCCTGCTGCTGGGGGAGGCGGGCGACGAGCAGGAGGAAGCAGAGCAGCTGTTTTCGGAGTCCGAGTCTGAATCGGAAGACGAAGGAGAGAGTGTCCAGGCAGCGCAGAGAGCGTCCTCCGCTTTGACTATCGACGTCGACCTTGGCCTCTCGCCGTGGGCGAACGCTACCCAATACTACGATCAGAAGAGGAATGCGGCTGTCAAAGAGCAGAGAACCGCCCAGTCATCGTCGAAGGCGCTGAAAAGCCACGAGAAGAAGGTGAAAGACGACCTGAAGCGGAATCTGAAGCAGGAAAAGCAGGTGCTTCGACAAGCCCGGAACCCCTTCTGGTTCGAGAAGTTTCTCTTCTTCATCTCCTCCGAAGGGTATCTCGTCCTGGGGTAAGTCATCTCCTTTTGATCACAACACCGCCATTCTAACCCATACAGTGGCCACGACGGCATGCAAAGCGAGATGCTCTACCGCCGCCACCTCCAAAAAGGCGATATCTTCGTCAACGCCGATCTGGCCGGTGTTACACCCATGATCGTAAAAAACAGAGCCGGACCCGGTGTTCCCATTCCGCCCAGCACCCTGTCGCAGGCCGGTAACCTCTGTGTTGCTACGTCCAGCGCGTGGGACTCCAAGGCCATAATGCCCGCGTGGTGGGTCTATGCGCACCAGGTCACGAAAACCGCCACATCGGGCGGCGGTCTGCTTCCTGTCGGTCAGTTCGAGGCCAAGGGCGAGAAGAACTTTTTGGCTCCTTCGCAGCTTGTGTTGGGCTTTGCTGTTATGTTCCAGATCAGCAAGGAGAGTCTCCGCAATCATAAAGTGCAGATGTTTGAGGACACCGCGGCAACAGAGGTTCCCACGGAGCAAGATGTTCCTGGGACAGCCGATGAGAATCAAACAGTAGAAGAGAAGAAGAATGCGGATCAAGTCGACACAGCTGAGACTTCTGAACCATCCGAGGAGCCCCAGGCTCAGAACTCGGAGTCTGACGACGAAAAAGACCCGGATACCGTCCCTGCCAGCAACCCGTTACAGCGTGGGGTTTCCGAGCTCAACCTTGCAGATAAACCTGTGGAAGAGGAAGCCAAGGTCGAGTCAGAAGATGAAGATGGGGAAGAGGATGAGAAGGCTGGCGCAGACGATGCGGAGAGCGTCACCTCCCAACCCCAAGACAAACGGGAGCTCTCCGCACGGGAACGTCGCATGCTCCGACAAGGCAAGCCCATCGACTCTGATCCCAACCAAAAGGGAGCCCCAAGCCCAGCAGCATCAAAACAACCCCCCGCCCCAACCCGCGGCAGAAAAGCCAAGGCCAAGAAAGCCGCCGCCAAATACGCAGACCAAGACGACGAAGAGCGCGAACTCGCCCTCCGCTTACTCGGCGCCAACAAAGCCAAGGCCGAAAAGGCCGCCGCGGCAGCCGAGGCAAAGGCCAAGCGAGAGAAGGAAGCCGAAGCGCAGAAGCAGCGTCGCAAGGCGCAACACGAGCGCGCCGCCCAGGCGGAGCAAAAGCGACAGGCTCTCTTCGAGGAGGGCGGCGGCGACGACTACGACGAGGAGACTGCTGCTGCCGAGAGGGCGGATCTCTCGTGGATCCCTGCGCTTGTGGGAACGCCTCACCCCGAGGACGAGATCCTCGCTGCTATCCCTGTCTGTGCGCCGTGGGCTGCGCTGGGCCGGTACAAGTACCGGGTGAAGTTGCAGCCCGGGGCTGTGAAGAAGGGTAAGGCGGTTAAGGAGTGCGTCGGGAGGTGGGTGTCGGAGATGACGGTTGGGAAGGTCAAGAAGGAGCATGCTGAAGATGCTGGGATCAGTCGAGCTGATGCGGAGAAGATCCGGGCTAGAGAGGGGGAGCTGGTTAAGGGGTGGAAGGATACGGAGATTATCAACACTGTCCCTGTGGGCAAGGTGCGCATCATGACTGCATCCGGCGGGGGCGGTGGAGATAGCAAGGCAAAGGGGAAGGGTGGCGGTGGTGGGAAGCAGGGAGGAAAGGGTGGGAAGAAGAAGTGAATGTATCTAGCTTGTGGATAGATTCTGTTCGTGTTTGATGTGTACATAGATCGGACATTCAGCCCTAATGTCCAGTCCTCATTCTTCCAACCACTCCATCATACATCATATTATTTTATTGGATAGCAGGAAAGTGTTTGCACTGTCATCTTCTATCGGAAACTAAATTATCCACACTGGATGGAATTGTTGGTTCAGATGGCACTACTATGCTATATGATGTTGGCAAGATATATCACCGCGTAGTACATGATGCGGGGAGTCACCCAAGTATACTATACCCACACAACCAATATTTCTATAGCCTATACCATTCTAAAATACTAATTAGATGATATAAATATAATATCTGCACAAATTGACCCGTATATTCATGTGATGCTTTAGATCATTGTTGGAATTGAATAGATACTGGCTGAGTCATACACACGACGTCATTCACATTTTTTCCCATATCTTTTCTCTGCGCCTTCACCCACTCAATTCCATGTCGGTCCGGGCTTTTTGATCAGCTTCTGCAATAATTTACACTCTACACGGGCTACAATTTGGACAACAAAGGGTGACTTCTCAATCAATGTGTTTGAAAATTGCATGCCTAGCAGAAGCGAGTCCTCCCCACACCCAGCAATAGCATCAACCCTTCTCTACCCAACCCCGCGTCGGATCGACTCATCCACCCTTTGCGCCAAATCCTGCTAAAAACATACACCTGGATTGACGCTGCTTCCTTCTTGTCTTCGACAAGTTGCTGTCTCTCCTTGCTCGCAGTGTCGGCGGTGTTCCGCGCTGCTTGTCCCGGTCTTTTACCTCTGCCGCCGCCACCGTCCCCGTCGCAATGTCTTGCTACCTAACGACTCGCGTCGCGCCAGTCGTGCGATTGAATGAGGAAGGCCCTGGTAGTCGAACTCTTGCAGAATGGTGGGCTAGTGAACGCAGCAACCAAACACCAGAGGCCACCGCCATCCAAGAAGCTGCCCGACTCCTCCAAACGAGCGACATCCCCGTCGCGTTTCCCACCGAGACAGTCTACGGATTGGGCGCCGATGCAACCCGGAGCGAGGCCGTGCGAGGCATCTACAAGGCGAAGCAGAGGCCATCCGACAACCCATTGATCGTTCACGTCGACTCGCTGGGAATGCTCGACCGACTCCTCAACCCCGACCTGGTGAGCCCGACGCGCGAGACCAAGACCCCGCGGAACACCATCCCCCCCATCTACCAACCTCTGATCGAACGCTTCTGGCCCGGCCCTCTCACAATCCTCCTCTCGAACCCCTCCGGCTCCCTCCTCGCCAAAGAAGTCACCTCCACGCTGACCACCTTCGGCGTACGCATGCCCGCCTCCCCGCTGGCCCGCTTATTGATCCACGTTACGGACCGGCCGCTGGCGGCCCCGTCGGCCAATGCATCTACCAAACCCTCCCCGACCACCGCCGGACACGTATACCACGACCTGCAGGGCCGCATCGAGCTCATCCTCGACGGCGGCCCCTGCGGCGTCGGCGTCGAGAGCACCGTCGTCGACGGCACCTGCAACCCCCCCGTCATCCTCCGGCCCGGCGGTATCGGCATCGAAGAGCTCCGCACGTGTCCCGGCTGGGAGAAAGTGGGGATTGCGTACGACGACGGCACGTCCGAGGTCAAGGAGGTGCCTCGCGCCCCCGGCATGAAATACCGGCACTACTCGCCGCGGGCGCGCGTCGTCCTCTTCGAGCCCGGGAGCAATGGCCCCGCTATCTCGAAGCGTATTCTCCACGATATGGAAGATAGCGCTGTGGGGGTGCGCAAGGTGGGCATTGTGCGCACGCAGCACTGGAAACGAGGCTTGGGGCTGCTGTCCGAGCCGGAAATGACGGAGTCGTTGAAGACTTTGCCGTCGCCGGTGCTGGATCTGGTGGGGTTCTTGGTGCCTGTCGACGACGACAAGACCAAAGACGCGGCTGCGTCTAAGGAGATGTTTGATTGTCATCTGGGGGATGATATCGAGTCCGTTGCGCGCAGATTGTTTTTCGCTCTGCGGGCTATGGATGAGTTAGGGGTTGATATAATCTACGTTGAGGGCATATCGGACAGGGATGGTGATCTTTCTGCAGCTGTTATGAATCGGCTTCGCAAGGCAGCTGAGGCGGAGATCAAGGTTTAATTGTTAGAATCATCTTAATCATTCTTGGTATAATGTTGCTGTCTATATAGAATTATCATATTTGATATTGCAGATGCGGTCCTAGCTCGTTCATATTCAAGATTTAGAACTAGCTAGACAACCAATCTACAATTATACACACTTCAATGTCTCCATAAGTTGAAATAGATACATAGATCACCATCGTGCTAACCGACATATCCAGTTCAGTCCCGGGTGGCCCCATAAAACATATCTATGGACAGCGGAAGGGAGCGGTGACTCACCCGCCTATCATCCTCCTCCGCATTACAACGGGGAAAGTGACGCAGTCCAACGACCGGTTGAACAAACACTGCCTGATCATCCGGATGTACCTTACTCAAGCAGAATAGTCAGATCTAGGGCTGAAGTTGGCGATGGTCGCGGAATTACGCGTATCTTCGCTTCTCCGCAGTCTGCCGGAAACTGATTTTTCTTCGAAATAAACCATCCTCCATCTTTGCTCTTCAGGAGTCCTCGCCTCCTGGGATGTCAATCGTTGATTAAATAATTACCGAGTTTGGGTATTTCACTGCTATTGCTTTCGCAGTTTGTTCCTACGTACTCTTTCAAAACCTTCACGCGCCTCTTTCGCGACTACCAAGGCAACACCATGTGTCAATCCGACTACCACGACTTCCTCCACGGTCTACCCAAGTGCGAACACCATGTCCACCTGGAAGGCTGTCTCACCCCGGAGCTGATCTTCCATCTGGCCGAAAAGAACCAGATCAAACTGCCCGACGCTAAAACAAACCCAGCATACTTGTCCATCGAAGCCCTAACCCGCCGCTACGGCAATTTCACCTCGCTCGACGACTTCCTCAGCTTCTACTTCACAGGCATGTCAGTGCTGCACCACGAGTCGGACTTTGCCGACCTCGCCTGGGCCTACTTCCAAAAGGCGCACGCCGACGGCGTCCACCATGCCGAGGTCTTCTTCGACCCGCAGGTCCACCACGACCGCGGCATCGCCTACACGACCGTCGTCGCCGGATTCGCAGCCGCGTGCCAACGCGCTGAGAAGGAGCTTGGTCTGACAACCCGGCTCATTCTGTGCTTCGTGCGCCACCTCCCTGTCCATTCAGCCGCGCACGTCTACGAACAGGCACTGGCCAACGACCACTTCGACACGGACCTGATCCATGGTCTCGGCTGGTCGTCTACGGAAGTCGGTCCTCCCAAGGACATGTTCCGGGATCTGTATGCCGCGGCTGCAGCGCGGGGGATCCCGTTGACGGCCCACGCCGGCGAAGAGGGTGACGCGTCGTATATCAGCACGGCGCTGGAGCTGGGCGCCCGTCGCATCGACCACGGGATCCGCCTTGTGGAGGACCCTGTGTTGATGGAGAAGATCGCTCGCGACGGCGTCATGCTGACCGTGTGTCCGATTTCGAATGTACAGCTGCGGTGCGTCGAGGACGTGGCGCAGGTGCCGATTCGCCAGTTTTTGGATGCGGGTGTCAAGTTCTCGATTAATAGTGACGATCCGGCTTATTTTGGAGGGTATATCCTTGCTAATTACTGCGCTGTGCAAGAGGCGCATCGCTTGTCAAGGGATGAGTGGAGGGTCATTGCGGAGAATAGTGTCAATGAGAGCTGGATTGGGGCGGAGAGAAAGGCGATCCTGCTGAAGCGGATTGATGATCATATGCAGAAGCATGCTGGATTGGTCTTGTAAATACCCTCATATACCCACTGGTGATGATGATGATGATGATGATGATGATGATGATGATGATGATGATGATGATGATGATGATGATGATGAGGATGATGATGTGTGTTGTATATAGAAGACAGTAGTTAAACAATGTACATGCATAGGTGACTAATTATGAATGAATTACATCATGTGTTTGGAGTATAGAGAGCAGCTATCATCATCATCCATGTCTGCATCGCAGGAAGCTTTCTGACCTTCTAACAACATGCGACCCAAGATCAATTCATTGATCGGACTACCCAAGAGCAGAGTTCTCACCTCACAACCCCTCCGCTGCGCACACCGCGTCATATTTCTACGCGCCCCTTCGATAACCACCCCCCAACGTCACCCCTCAGTCCCGAAACTCTCCTTCGCCCACCACATCCACAGAGCCATGTCGTCTGAAGTAATCCCAGACCGCTACAAGCTCATCTTTTACGTTCCCACCACCCACCTCAACCTCTGCAAAGACGCGGTTTTCGAAACCGGCGCAGGCAGCTTCAACAACTACAGCAGATGCTGCTTCCAGTCCCTCGGACAGGGCCAGTTCCAGCCCTCTGACAGCGCCAACCCCGCGATCGGAACCATTGGATCCCTCGAATCTGTCGAGGAGATGAAGGTCGAGGTCATGTGTCCGGGTCGGTCCGTTATGTTGCGGGCGGTGGAGGCGCTGGTTAAGGCTCATCCGTATGAGGAGGTCGCGTACGAGGTGTACAAGATGGAGAATGTGTGAAATACTGCTTTCTTTGAGGCGCAGGGTTTACTCGGATTGTTCTGTCTAATACGGTGCTTTCGGAATGAGATGTTCAGGTCACACAGTGTGTAGTTGCAATGGGAAGGATGTGTGTTTTGCAGTGGGCTTTTAAGTTCCTAAGATAACCCGCTTGATTTATGGCGGGAGGGGTAGATCGTCTCTCCCCCTCTTCTTTATCGTCGCAAGTCTCGTGCGATCATCCTAACTTTATCGACAAAACCCACGTGGTATACACTTGCTATTCGCTTCCAGACACGTTTGATCTCGAAGACCTCGGTTCTAGGGTGCACAATGGCGACAACGGTAGCCACGCGGTTGGATCAGCTCATACAGCAGTACGAGGCATTGCACCCGTTGTCTAAACAAGCATTCGAGAGGGCTCGTCGCGTCTTGCCATCAGGGAATACACGCTCGTCGCTATATTCCGATCCCTTCCCATTGGCCATCCAGTCTGCAGAGGGCAGCCGTTTCACAACAGTCGACGGTATCGTATTCGAGGACTTCGTGTCGGATTATACGGCCGGGATATATGGCCATTCGCACCCGGTGATCCGCGACGCGATCCAGGACGCTCTGTCCACGGGGTTCAGCCTGGGCGGCGTGATCGGGAAGGAAGCTGAGCTGGCGGAGATACTGCAGCGACGGATCCCTTCGTTGGAGAAAGTCAGGTTTTGCAATTCGGGCACTGAGGCGAATACTTTTGCTATTGCTACTGCTATTGCGTTTACGCAGCGGAAAAAGGTATGGCATGGAACTCTTTTCCCCTGTTCCTGGAGACTCAGTGCTAATTAATGGTTGTCATGACCACAGATTCTGGTCTTCGACAAAGGCTACCATGGGGGCACATTGAACTTCGGCAAGGCCGACAATCCAATGAACCTGCCGCATCAATTTGTCATTGGAAAGTACAATGACGTTGCTGAAACCAAGCCGTTCATCACCCAAGAGCTCGCAGCGATCCTGGTCGAACCCATGCAATCTGCCGGGGGTATGCGTCCCGCTTCCCGCGAGTTCCTCGCCTTCCTCCGCCAAGCAGCCGATGAGGTCGGCGCCCTGTTAATATTCGACGAGGTTGTCACGACCCGTCTGCACTACCACGGGCTCCAGGGCGCCCTCGATATCAAACCCGACATGACCACAGTGGGAAAATATCTCGGCGGCGGACTCCCCTTCGGCGCCTTTGGCGGACGCGCAGAGATCATGGATCAGTACGATATATCGGGCTCGCTCTCCCACTCGGGTACCTTCAACAACAACGTCTTTACCATGACAGCTGCCGTGGCGGCCGCGAAACTCATCACAGAGCCAGAAATTGAACGACTCAACAGTCTAGGAACGCGGCTCCGTGAACGGGCCAACGAGATGGCCAGGAACGCTGGGCTCACTCGGTTATACTTCACCGGGTATGGGAGTACCGTGGGCGTTCATTCTACTGGGGACGAGGCTTCTCTCTTGTTGGACTCTTTCTACTTCAGTATGTTGAGCCAGGGCATTTTTATCGGGCGACGGGGATTCATAGCGCTGAATTTGATGCATGGGGAGGAGTCTATCGATCGGTTTCTGGGGGCGGTTAGGGTGTTCCTGCGAGACCATTTTACCGTATGACCGCTATACTATACTGTATATATATTAAAGCCAATTTTACCCTCCAGTAGGCTGGTCATGGCCTCATTTACTATAGATCTCCAGAATCATGCCTAAGGTGTCGATTTCTGAATTGGGACTAGCCCCTGCCGCACCGGGCGGGAGTAATCTGTAGGCGGTGATTGGCCGCAGCAGCTCCCGCAAAACGTCTCTTCGACTCCGACTCGGATCGTCCACCATCATCACTATCGTCAATCGACTCCTTTCTCCTCACCCCATCCCCTTCACTCTCCTCTCTTGCGCCGGCAATGGCCTCCAAATTTATCCCTGCCGTCCCGCGGGTCGGCCGCCAGTTCTTCCAGCGCATCCCCAAGACCCAATGCAGACCCTTCTCGGCTGGCCCGCAACGCTACAGCGATGCCCTCTCGGTGGTACGTATAGCAATTGTCCTGTCGTGGATGATGTGACTCTCTGTCGCGGCCGGATCGGATCTCAATTGATCGAAGATTTGGCTCCTGACAAGGGATATTCTTTTTTTTCTGGTCTTGTCATGCTAATTGTTTCTGTTCAGCATCGCAACTCGCCCTCCAACAACCCGTCCATCCCTTTCAAGTTCACCGAGCAGAACCTTAAACTCGTCGATGAGATCCTCAAGCGCTATCCCCCCCAATACAAGAAGGCTGCCGTCATGCCGATTCTCGATCTGGGCCAGCGCCAACATGGTTACACCAGCATTAGCGTCATGAACGAGGTCGCCCGCATGCTCGAGATGCCCCCGATGCGTGTCTACGAAGTCGCGACTTTCTACACCATGTACAACCGTGAGCCGGTGGGCAAGTACTTTGTCCAGCTCTGCACGACGGTAGGAGAGGATCTGCATTTTTTTTTCTTTTTGGATTGACTGACGACTGTCCAGACACCGTGCCAGCTCGGCGGTTGCGGCAGCACCAAGATCGTCGAGGCGATCACCGAGCACCTGGGCATCACTCCCGGCCACACCACTGAGGATGGCCTGTTCACTTTCATCGAGGTCGAATGCTTGGGTGCCTGTGTCAACGCCCCCATGGTCCAGATCAACGACGACTACTACGAAGATCTCACCCCCGAATCCATCAAGACCCTTCTCACCGCTTTCAAGGAATCCTCTCGCGCTCTCGAAGCCGGCGAGACGGTCAAGGTGCCCGCCCCCGGCCCCCTGAGCAGCCGAGACTCCTGCGAGAACGGCGCCGAACTCACGAACCTGCGCGAACCCCCGGTCTTCGATCCCTCGACGATGATGAGAAAGGATGGTGCCTTGGACCAGGAGCAGCCGGCGCAATAAACATGATACATACAATACAATAATCTGCCAACGAAACAAAAGAAACAAAAAGACAAACAAAGAAATGATATCATTTGTGTGCTTAGTTGGACGGTCGGGTTTCCTTTTCTTTTTTTACTTATCTCATTCCCATTTTATTTTTTTAGCTTGACTTCCTGGGTGGTAGATCCCGCACTGAAGCAAAGCAAACCGCCTGGTGTCAGTTTTGTACAGTATGTTGTTCCCACTGGCTGTTTATTCTCAAAAAGGGAAGCCAGATATAGTGGAAAATTGTTGGACTGCTATAGATGATTGATTTAGGAGTACCTAATGCAGTTCTTATCATCTGTAGTATGCCTCCATAACCAGTGCAAAGTCACCGTGTGTAGGTCCGTGCTACTCGAGTGAATAGAGTAATGTGAAGAGGCAAGTTCGAGTGAGAGAAGAATAGGAAATGAATTATCAGGTCATGTGCCATGATTCACTCAATCTCTAGGACTATAAAACCGAGCTCTACATCCTCGAACCTTCTACTCCTCGCATCTCTCATACTTGCATCTCTCACATCTCGATCTTTCACATCATCAAATTCATTAATCCATAATTACCTGGTCAAACAACTTGTATTCATCGTTTCATCCTATCCAGGGAGCTGCATGTTATCCACCCAGCTTGACTCCCTGGATCGGATGCCCTTCCTCCTACTGTGTTGTTACAGTCGACGCGTCTTTTTCCATTCCTTCTTAAAAGAGTACTCATACAACCAGACACAAACTGTTCAACACCCTAAACACCACAAGTCCATCAAATGAGATCGTCTGCCTCCAACGATGGTCCTTCGCAACGCATCGCCTCACACCCCATCGCCTCCTCCTGCGAGACCAAGACAGCTTCACCATCCTTGTCCAAGAGGACCTTCTCCCGCCGACGTTGGAAGATACTGACATCGACGGTCCCCTTGGCAAGCAGGTGGTAGATGTGCACGGTTTTACTCTGTCCGTAGCGGCGGCTGCGGCCTATGGCTTGGGTCATGGCCGAGTCATAGTCATACTGGGTCTGTGCCAACATGGGCGAGAGAAAGACGACGTGGTTGGCACATTGGAGGTTTCTGTCAAGGTTAGTCAGAGAAGGCGAATAAACGATTGGGAATGCCCAGACTTACAACCCAGCAGCCATCTCATTATCTAAACTCAGGATCAAAACCCTCTCATCGCCGGAACCAAACTTCTGCAGTTGCTGCACTTTCTTCGTCGACACGCGGTCGGTGGGATATATGACGAAGTGCGGGATCCCGGCCGAGTCCAGCGTTCGAGATGCCACGTCCATGAGCTCGGAGAATTGGATGAAAAGCAGGGTATATTCTCTCGCAGGAATACTCTGGACGATCTGCACGAGTCGATCCAGTTTGCTGCTGCTGGACAGGGGACTTTGATTCATGGCGATTTCTCTCAGGGACAATGCCTTTACGACATTGTGTCTTCTTCCAGAGCCCCGGCATCCTTTGACTGCACACTCTTCCTCGCGGGCCACCATGGCCATGCAGTGGGGGCAAAGGAGGTGGCCGCATGACCCTAGAATATCTAGTTGCGCGACAGACTGGGGTTGCGTCTCACAGCCGCGGCAATGGAGGTCTTCTCGCCCGTCCTGGATCATACGTGCGATATAAAGGAACCGAAGGGCCCTTTTTTGCAGAACCCACTCCACCACCAGATTTCGTATGGTCTCCATGGTGTCACCCAACTTTTTGTCTTCGTTAGTCGTCGGAATTTGCGACGCCGGTGGTTCAGGGCACCCATCTGTTTCGTTTTCCATGGGGGGCTCGCTTTCCAGAAAGTCGGCTTGTGACTCTGTTGCAACGGAGTCCGGCGATGCTACAGAGTTGTCATGTTTCTCTGGGGAGGGCGCGCTCACGATTGCACTTTGTATCAAACTGTAGGCCTCATTGGCCACGCGCACGTCGCCAAAGTCGCGATCCAAGATGAGTGCTGTAAGTTCGGGGACTGGCTTAGGTTTCGGCTTGAAGACGGTCAAAAGTGGGCGCATCTTTTGGACTATGTCACGTAGCTCTTTTTGCAAGTCGTGGAGATGCGATTCGCGGGTTTGAATAAGCCGCTCGCAGGTGACACCCTCGACAAGTTCATCATCCGACTGACTCTGGAATGCAAGAGACGTGCACTGCTTGAGCAGTGCCTCTTCAGGCGTCTCGCTACTGTTGATCATCTCGTCCACACGCCAGGCCTGGTCACTCCCGTAAGCAGCTCTACCGGTTTTGCGAAGCTGGCCGCTGCATGCCATGATCTGACTGTACAGTTCGAGGTAGACGGTCCGTTCGGCGAGAGACTGGGGGGCTAGAACGATGTGCTCGACGAAGGGGATCTCGTCGATCTCTGCGATATTCTTCCGCATGAAACGATCCAGAAATCTCTGAGCAAGCTCATGGCGGCTTCGATGCCATGCTTCAGTGCGAGGAGTTCGGAAGGATTCGAACGCTTCAGCATCGGACCGCTGTTTTCTGATCGTCTTGACCCGGGTGTTCTCGGATCTCTCGTCATCGTCGTCAGCCCCAAGATGCACACCCAGCAAGGAAGCTGTGGTGTTGACGTCGGGGGCATCATTGAGTGGGGGCGTCCCAGACAGTGCCCACTTCGACCTCGCCTGTATGGTCTGGAGGGAGACAAGCTGGCTTGTGTTGACATAAGTGAACTCGTCAATGACAAGACGGTCGAACGCAAATGCGTGGAAAAGAGGAATTTTGAGCAAGTCGGGAGCCAAGTCGTTTTCCTTACTCAGGAAATCTTTGGCGATGTCATCAGCAGATTCAGTACTTGATTCTGCGTCTTCATCGATGTGGTTGTCGGAGTGGACGTGGGTGCGAGATCTGAGTCTGATGCACCGGTCTATATTGGCCCGTAGCTTGTCCGGATTCTCGTCATCACTTGCGTCCGAAGAATCGTCGGCACTGGAGATATCGGCATAATCCGACTCCTCCTCTGTGTTCTTGTCTCTATTGGCGTCGGCATATCGCTGCCCCCTCAGTCTCTGGGAGGGGATATAAGTGTATCTCTCCTCGCTTTCCTCCATGCGTTTCCATCGAAGCCGTATGGAATCTAACAGAGCAGCCGTGCCATGATCCGTCAGTATTTTGACCTGTCCCTTGAGGGCATCTCTCGCTCCTTGGAACCAATCGTCGAATCTCCGGCCTGGTCCATTGGGGATCTTGGGCACTCCGGTAAACCGTTGGAGTCTTCGAAAATACAGACTGCTATTCAAGATGGACCAAGAAACCAGGATAATGTCGGCCTGTTGAAAGTCGCCCACAGTCTGCTTCGAAAGAGCCAAGCTTGAATGAATGACCAGGACACGGTACCTGTTCCCAAGAAATTTATGGATCTCTGATTTCCACTGCTGCAGCATCAATTGCGGCGCCACGATGAGGGTGGCTGTGGTGGGAATGTGTTCTGGAACTGTCTCCGACATGTGCGGCGGACTTCCATTATGCTGGGCGTCGATCAATCCAAGTATGATCGCAGTTTTCCCGTAGCCGACTTCGTCCGCCAGCACGCCTCCGCGGACCACTTTGGGGGTAGTGACTCTGCCCTCTGCACGCCACATCAGAGATGGTATGAACGACTCCTCAATCTCCTGTTCGATGAAAGGCTCCACGTTCTCACCCTCTTGCTTTATCATCCACCCCAAGGAACGGAGCTGTTCAGGGCGAAGACTAAACCGGAATTCCGGAGGCTGGCTCGTTTCAGCGTCGGCTCGGTTGTTCGCCAAAACAAACTTTGGGAATGCGAATTCTCGTGCATCGAGATAGTTGGGGACAAGGCGCCAATGGAAAGAGACGTCCTCCACGACATTGTGCCCAAGAAGCCTGACATACGCCTGGTGCAAAAGTGTCTGCACGTTGAGTGTGATATGGAAATGCCCAACGTTTTCATCATCGACGCAGTGGAAAATCAAAAAAGCTGGGGGCCTCAATTTCATACGTCGTTCGTACACGGCCGCGCCGTGGAAATCCTCGTAAGCCTTCACCTTCCCGGCTCCATCGCGGCCCCATATCATTTGAGGCTTTGGCGGTACGCAGGAAGGACATGGTTCAGGACCCCCTTTATGCTGGTTTTCGTGCACGACAGCATTCCAGGTCTGGAATATCGAAATCCCGGATACCTTCTGGAGTAACCAAGAAAATTCTCGCATCAGCGATGGCGAGGACATAGGGTCGGCCACTTCCCAAGGGCCTTTGCTCCATAGTGATTCGAGTGCCGCGGCCGGTGCCGTGACAGATACCAACGTGATATTCGCATCAATGCAGCCAGCGTTTTCAACAGAGATGACGGTCCACGGCTTCAGGTGATAACAGTCAATGGGGGCATCGGGGGCATAAATGTGCAGAGCAACTGCTGGCGCCTTATACCATCTGCGATAGAAGACATTGGCTGTCTGTGGGTCGTCCTGCAGATCTCTCGATCGCCATTTGTGCGATACCTCCGCCAGAGTGTGCCGTTTGGAATAACCTGCGTTACGGCGATGTTCCAAAGAGAAGACAAAGGTATCGTGACGCGCGATTCCAAGCTTAGTTGGGTCCAGAAAAAGATACACGGCGGGCATGCTTCCTGACGCTTCCCTTTTGTGCAAACATCCATTGGCGGTCCCGCAATCCGGCAACAGTTTGTAGAGGCCTCGGATATCAACATCGAGATTTTTGACATCTTCGTCGAGAGTTACAACGTCAATTTCACTCCAAACGACGGAATTGGCAAATTCGTCTTTTTTCAGTCCACATCTGGCCTCCGTCGAAGGCACCCTGTCGCCAAATCCATAGAAATCACATTCGATTGACGAACTGATAGGGCTGCATATCTCCCAATCTCCCTCTAAGAGCGTTCCGGGCTTGGGGGTCATCCGAGCAATGGGATGAAGGAGGACTTCGCGCAGGAAAGACAAGCTAGGCTCGGAACTGGGGGCCATGGCAAACAGAAGCCACTCCAAACCAGTGCTGCCGATCAAAAGTTCGAGTGTCGAGTGTTGGCCTTCGTATGAGACTGTCCAGAGCTCGCTTCGTTTGGAATTAGAAAAGCGAAGCTCATCTCCGACAGTTTTGAGGACTGCCTCCATAAACTCTCCCCAGTCTCTACTGGCTATCGAGGGATTTTCTTGCTCGAAGCAGGAGTATGCTTCAACGGAAATACCGTACACCACCAATCTCATGGGCAGGGTCCTCATGAGTCTACCGGCAAAATCCAGCGGGGAGCTTCGCTCTAAGCCAGGGCAGCGCTCATAGGCATGCGATGGATTTCCTGCACAGTCTGCACATGATGTGTGTCCGCACAAGGTGCATCTCAAGATTGCCTGACGTGTAGCGAACTGTCTTTCGCACATGCAATAACGAGCACTTGTCGCACTCTGTGCCAATAAGCTGGGGGATACCATCTTTCCATCAGGGTTGACCGGTACAAAGCATGGTACCTGGCTGTATTCAGCTCTAGGAGAAAGGTCTTTGTCCCTGTGGATGGTGTGCTCTGGAGTGGGCACCGCCTCGCCTTTCTTGAGAACACCATGGCCGACGATCAAGGCCGCTAAGATCGCGCATCCAACGACAGTCGAGCTCATCGCGTTCCCAGCCAAACCATGCAGGTCTCTCTTGGACTCTCGCGACAGCGAAAGCCTGTCCAGGGGCAATCCTTGCAATGCAAGTGCCTCAAGACCGCAGATGGGTCCCCCGCGAGTTGTGACGTACGGAATGCCACTGGGGGTGATGCAGCCAACGATTCCAAAAGCACGGCAGTCTCCGTCTCTGTCTACACCCTGTGAGAGCTCAAGATACCGTCTGCGATATAACAATCAGGCTTTGAAAATCTTCAACGACAAAGAAGGCGGACTTACTCCTTGTAGTTCATGTCATATCCTTCCAACTCAGCAAGCTTGCGAAGATAATTGATATCCAGAGTTTCCCAAACACGCTCCGGCAACGACCTCGCCCAACCATGCCAGTAGAAATCAGGCATCTGACAAATACCTTGGTCTTTCGACTTGCTGACCGGACGTTCATCGCCAAGCTTCTGATCGTTGCGGTAGCTTTGGTGTCTGATCTGGTACCTCGACCATTCGCGAGGATTGCACGAAGTTTTCCCAATGACGTCTTGTTCGATCTGGCCCAGGCGTCTATCATCCGCATCAATGAGGAACATCCCAGCAGGGGAGCTTGCAGGACGCTGGAACCCTTCAAAGACAGCCGACCATCTCAGCATATGTCCCTCTGAAAAGTTGCCCTTCTTCATGAGCTCTCTATCAACGCAGAAAAGATATCCCCGCTCGCGGGTCTGCGGAAGATAGTACGATTTGGTGTCTACACCCAAATAGACACTATAGTAGTTGATCTCATTCCAGTGCTCCTTGATGGCATCCCAGGGCGCGCTGCGGACGTTCTCTAGGATGACCATCCGCGGCCGATAGGCGCGAGCATAGCGGATGATGCCCCAAAACGTACCCCCAGACTCACCGTTCTGGTCCAGGGTCTTGCGGTTGTTGTTCAGGTTTGAGAAGTCCACGCACGCGAATCCAGCAATGAGGAGATCTGCGTTCTTGGGGATTTTTTCTAAAGACCCGTACACCGTTTGTCTGCTTCTTTGTTAACACAAACATACACCCTGGGCTAGTGACGGTGCTGTGTAGGGGTGGGAGGGTGGGTGGGTTTTGGGGCCGGGGACCGGGGCGAGAGGGAGAGGGGAGAGCGAGGAGGGGGGAGGGGGGAGGGCAGCAGGGGAAGGACTTACGCCACTCGATCCCTCAACTCGGTCACATCGCGAAACATGACCTTGGGGTGAAAGTTGCGTTCGATGTACGCCTGCTTGAATGGCACGATCTCGGCACTGAACAAGTGGCGGAAGTTGAAGGTCGTGTCGAAGTGCTTTCTGAGATCTAGGCTATGTTAGGGTCCACTCTACCGGCAATCAAAAGAAGGAGAAGGGATAAGGCATACTCTGCTGAACGAGCTCCATAGCCAACAACGGACTCTCCGTGCCAGAACACATAGTGGCCACCCGCAACGCCCTACCGCCCAGATGCTTCAAGACAGCACCGAGGCCCAGAACCAGCGCCTTGGAGGTGATATCTTGGTAGATATCGTCGAGCTTGTACAGCGGAGACAGGTTGGTAGCTAGCTGCGTGCGAGGCTGCCTGATCGCAGTGGCCAGCCTGCTCGATCTAATCAGCTCGGGGATGTCGACCTCGGTGCGGATGAGGGCCGCTCGGAGCTCCTCGTCGGGGGAGGAAGCGGGCTCTTCTTCCTCTGTTTCGACGCCCTCGAGTGCTGTTTCTGGGTCCGCGTCTGGGCCCTGCAGCCTTCTCCTTTTTCTTCTGGGCTGCTTGATGGGGGATGGGGAGGATGAGGAGGAGGATGAGACGGATGAGGAGGAGGAGGGGGAGGGGGAGGGGGAGGGTTGGGGGGCAGGTGAAGTGAGACTTCCTTCGAATGGCATTCTTTCTCTGTTCACCTTGTTTTTTGAGACTTATTATTTTCTGTGAAGAAGGCCAAAGGAACTCAAGTGGAAGGAATGTACCAAGATGGAATTCAAGAAGTCAAACGATATCAAGCCTGTATGATAGTATGAAAGCAAGATGGGGATGATGATGTAGGGCACGTTGTGATCACGTGGAGGATATGAGGGTAGATGTATGATAACAAAAGAGCCAAAACACGTGCACGTGAGGAGGAGAAAACCAAAAGAAAAAATTTTCAAGAAAAAGGACAGGCCAGAAAGAAAGAAAAGACAAAACTAAAAGAAAGTTGGAAGAAAGCAAGTGAATGGACGTGTTGTGGACGTGTAGTGAAGTGAGTGGGCGAGCGAGTCATCTTCTCGCTGGTGAGTGATTTTTACTTCTCTTTTGGGGCGTTGGATGTAGGGCTCGTTTTGTTTTACTTGGTTACTTGGTTATAACCTGGTTACTAGGCTGGTTACTTGAGAAGAGAGTGTATGTTGACTTTGGAGTTCGCTGGGGGTTTGAATGGGAATGAATGGGTGTGGATGGGCTTGTTTGTTACTTTCTTTTCTTGATGGCTATTTTTTTTGGACTGGTTATTGGTCACTTTGACTGATTGCTAGAATGCGGTGTACTCTATTGACTTTGGATCTAATAAATCATGTAGCTGGTAGTTGAGGATAGGATCATGGTCTGATATGTACGTCTAGAGGGTGAAAGATCCTTGGGACGCAAGTGTTGTTATCACTTATACTAGCTACATCTCCTGAAATTGTCGAATCACTTCAAATGGGATACAACAGCAGTGATGCGAGTTACTTGGAGCTCACTACTCGACTATGAGACCATGGAAGAGTTGGGAATGTCTGATTGCTGATGGATGGCCTTTGGGACGTGTTCAGTGATAGCTCAATATTAAGTATACCTCATGCTTGGTCATGGATTGTACCTTTCAACTTTACATCAAGCTAGCCTGTGAAAGCATATTTGATTGAATTTGGTGCAAGACATATTTAATTGAAAGTGTCAAATCAATTTGAGAACATGTGCCAGATATCCATGCTAGGTATACATTCAAGCCGCGAAATAAATCAGGCCTCCAAAACGCCATCCCATGAAATAACAAAAAAGATAGAATCAAGCAAGATGAGTATGAACAAAGTGATTAGTATGACAACACCCCGTACCGACATCGCAATCATATCATCAAATCGACATTACTATCGCATGGCACCCTGCATCAGCTGCTGCCGCAGCACCATGATCTGACTCCGCTCCATTGGCGGGAGCGCATCGATCGCCGCCTGCGGCATGCTAAGTACCTGCTGCAGGAGCTCTTCTTGCCCGGGCATCGATGGAGCTGCAGGGGCTGCCGCCGGTGCGGCAAAAGGCGTGCCGACCATTGGGGGGGTGGAGACCTGGCCCGGAACGGCCGAGAAGGGCTGGAAGGGCTGCGCAGCCGGAGGAGGGGCTGCCGCTGCTGGTTGCGCCGCTTGTTCCACCACTGAGCCGAGCGTGCTGTAGTCGACGAGGTTCATTAGGAGCATAGCCTGGAACATCGCGTATGATAGTTGAGGCGCCTGGCGCAGAAGCTCTGCGGCTCGAACCGGGTCCGCCATCGACAGGGACTTCATCTGGGAGAGGACATCGAGAAGCTGGTTGGGGCGAGCGAGGAGAGTGTTTGGGAGATGGCGTTCGGGCAGTCCAGATGCGGGGCAATTCCACGCCGGGTGGCAGGGAGGCAGCGGCGCAGATTGCTGCTGCGCGCCTGATTGACCGTCTTGGCCCTGGAGCTGCACGTTCGGCGCGGGCTGAGAGTAGTCCGGCGGGACAGAGTCCTTCTCGTTGTTGTGCGGCCAATCCACGCGTATTTTGCGGCCCATGATCTCGTAATCGTTCAAATTGCGCACTGCGGAGGCCGCCGCGTCGGCATCGGCAAAGTCGGCAAATCCATATCCTTTTGGCTTCCAGTATCGGGTTCATCATCAAGCGAAATTTGGTGACCGTGCCGGCAGAGCTCAGATATCTTTGACCTGTTCCTCGGTGAGATCTGTTGCGTGGTTAGTTGAGGTTGCTGGGGAAGTGACTCATAGATAGACATACTGTACGGAATATTCCCGAGGAACACGCTCTTCCCAGCTCTTTTCAGGAGCCATCTTGCCAGATAATCCGACAGATATTCACAGCTAGTTGTTGAGCAGGAGAAAAGAGCGCGGCGGAGTGTTTGACCAGAATTGGACAGAACGCGGGGGAAAAGGTGGGAGTAAGGCTCGTATGGTTGCAGTCAGTTACGGCCCTTTCAACAGGCAGTCAAGCAACAAAGAATATGAAATGTACGCCAACAGCAGAAAGCAGAAGCAAGAGATGGACGAAGCATGAAGCCGAAGAATAGAATCCCGACGCAAGAGAGGCTAGATCGGCGCCCGATCCGGCAGGCGGTGAGGGAATGAGCTGAATTGCCGGAGAGAAACCTCAACTCCACTCTTCCTCACTCCTCCGTCCGTCTCTCCTCCACGCTCCAGTCATCTTCATCCTTTCCCTCCCCACACTATCATCATGTCTCGCATTCCGAAGGACCAGATGCAGAAGCTTCAGATGATGCTGAAGAAGACCGGGTCTGGTGGAGGCTTCGGTGGTTTCCCCACGGGCGGTGGTCAAGGCGGCGGAAAGTTCTGGGGAACTGTCGCCTTGGTCGGCATTGGATCTTATGTCGTGTCGGACTCGCTCTTCAACGGTATTGGGCCCCTGTTCATGATTGACTCTTGGTCAATCCGATAAAGAAATGTTACTGACTGGTCCGAATCTAGTGGACGGTGGTCACCGTGCGATCAAATACTCCAGGGTAGGCGGTGTTAAGAAGGAGATCTACAGTGAAGGTATGCGATAATCCGAGAAAATCACAATACAAGGAGGGGTATCTGACTTGTCTACTCTGATAGGAACCCATTTCCGAATTCCCTGGTTCGAAACGCCCGTCATCTACGATGTGCGCGCAAAGCCGCGCAACATCGCTTCCCTGACCGGTACCAAGGACCTGCAGATGGTCAACATCACCTGCCGTGTTCTGTCCAGACCCCGTGTCGACGCT